GATTAAGGGTATTGAATTGTTACATATACCCAGTACTTATGTATGGTAGTGAAATGTGGACTTTAGCCTCTGATACTAAAAAGCGTTTGGAAAGTTGCGAAATGTGGTTCTTAAGAAGAATGATGAAAATCCCCTGGACTGACAGAGTTAGTAATGAGGAAGTTCTTACACGAGCTGGAGTGCAAAGGAAAATGATACGTAAGATGTTGATTAGGCAGTTGAAGTTCATGCGTCACATTATACGTAAAGAAGGCCTAGAGAATCTTGCTTTGACAGGGAAATTTTGTGGGAAGAAGGAGTAGGGGAAGAAGGAGGATACTTTGGATGGACAGTCTGCAGAAATTGTTGGAAGAGAGAGGAGTGAAAGAACTGGGAGTGGTACTAATACAGAAGGCTAGGAACCGAGGTTTGTGGAACAGCATGATCGCCAAAGTCAATCGATATGGCACTTAGAGAGAGAGAGAGAGAATATTATACAGTAGAAGTAGCAGTAATGACAGCAGCATTTTTCTTACCCTTTCAAGTTTTAGATAAACAGGCAAACAGAGTTTTTTTTCTCAGAATTTTGGAACCCCCACCTTTTTGTTTTCCCTTTTTTAAAGTCACTTTTACAGAATTCTGGATCCGCCACCAGTAGAGATACTACTACTACTACTATTACTTGTAATTATGATAATAAAAATAATAAAAATAATAATATAATATCAATTGTGAAAATTGAAATAACAACAAATAATACTGAAAATGATAATAACCACCTTCTCTTTCCGATCATTTGATTGATATCTTTGCAGGCGAAGGATACCTAGCCATATGAATGAACAGTCCTGATCAGGTCATTTCTGGATTTGTTATCCTTTTCTTTAACCCGGCAGTAATCAGTCTCAATATGCCTATAAGTTGTCTGAACCTAGGTTCTGGTTATTAATGTGATGGACAGTACGTCTAGCTGAGTGAGGTCCATTAGTGCGACCATCTCCAATAATGATCGCCAGTTTTCGAACCATGTTTTAAACTCTACGATCCATTTTAACTGCCTTGAACGACCGTAAACCTGCACCCCCCCCCCCCCTTTTAATCTTTATACGTCATCGATACTTGATACTTGAACTGTAGATTTAGTGGAGTTTTTACAACGAAATAATGAGAAATTAGTCAAATCTTCTTTGACAAGATAATGCCAAAGAAAAGAAACAACAAGTAGTTTTACGTTTAACGAAGCAATAGAAGAGCAACAAAAATCAGGTTCGCTCCCCATCTCCCCCCCCCCCCCAGCATTTTTTAAGGCTGCTGTAGTAGAAAATTGGCACAATTATTAATGAAGCACATCGGGGGGAATCATCCTCAGATGTTTAACCGTTTCGTTATATGATAAACTATCATATCTACGAGTTGATAGAAATTAGGCCTAACATTATTTTGTTTCAAAATTCTGCATTTTTGTATCATTATGCTATTACATTATTATAGGAATACAATTTATTATCAGAGTCTTTTCTCTCTACTGTTTATCAAGGCTATATTATTTAAATTTCAGTTACCTATGGATAATTCTGTTTTATGTATACATGTGCAAGGATGGATGATAGGGAGGTCATTCCGTCGCTGACCAAAGAATTGGTAGTTACTAAATTCTCGGGAGATGCATTCCCCCCCCCCCCCCCGAAAGAAAGAAACATTCGTCTCAAAATGAACGAACCACCTCTACCTTTCCTTCCTCCTTCTCTTGTTAGCTTTGTGTGGTTCTTATAACATGTCTGTGAGTTTGTCGGTATAAGTGTATGCTGGGGGGGGGGGAGAAATATATAGGAAAGAAATAATTTCAATTGCATATGAATGTTATCATTGTATTCTTCATCATAACTATATATCGTTTTTGTTCAAATATTTTTTATTTTGGGTGAGATGCACATTTATTTTTGTATATTTATGTTTAAAAAGGTAAATTCCATGGTTGAGTATTCCTTTATATATGACATTTATATTCATTGTATTCATTTCGTTGTTATCGTGGTATTTTGATGCCTTACTCGTGTTACACCATGTCCATAAAATATACTACTCAGATGTAGATCATTATATTACTAATAATTTTACCCGTGTCTCAAATATCCATGGATACGATACAAGAAATAGTCATTTTAATTTTGTTTTACCCAAGCGAAAAGGACAAATTGGAAACTCTTTTTATTTTAATGGTATCCAATTTTGGAATTCTCTCCCAAAACATGTCAAAATAGTTAAGAATTTTTCACACTTTAAAAGTGTATTAAAACAATACCTAAAGCATGAATCCCTTCAAGAACAGTAATATCAGTTATCTTAAATCACAGTTCATTATGTGTAGCGCATGTTTTTAAGTTTAATCTTGCATAATATACCGTAGATCATTGTTTGCTATAAGTTCTAGAAATTTTTGTTGTTGTTTATGTTATATTATTTATTCGTAATATTCGTAGTAGTTATTAGTTGTGATATTTTATTCTCATGCCGTACTGTACACGTACTTTATAGGACCCCGTTGGAAATAAGTCTTTTCCGGCTTTCATGGGTTATCCTGTCAATTGTATCTTCTCGTTTCATTTTGCTTTATGTATGCATTCATTGTACTATACTTGACGAATAAAATCAATCAATCAATCATTATATATTTTAAATAAAACACTATTTGATTTTAAAAAATCTAGATTTGTATTTACAATTTGTACGTAATCGTTCACTTTTTAAAAGCAAGGCGTCACAGCTTCCTGCTGCACTGGTCAAATAGACAGTGGCAATCCAGGACCCTCTTGAGGGGGGGGGGGGCGGTGGGAAAGGGCACATGACTCTGAACATTCACTGACAATCACGCAATATAACAAAACACAGAACAAATCAAAGCTTAGTTATCATAATCATTAAATCATTTAGTATCTTTTTTATGGGGAGGGGGAGGGGAGATGGGGTGATCTCAATTTAGTGCTGCCACAATGCATGGAGGGGAGGGAGGGTGGCATTTTCTTTTCGCACCCCCCCCCCCCTTCTTTAGCGATGCCCCTGCTCTCAACTTGTCTCCAAAAACTGCTTTTACCAAAGACTGAGTACTGCATTTCTATAACATTTTAGTTTTTAGAACACCAACATCAACATTCCATTAGGCGTTTAAATAAAAGATGTTGTATTGCCCTTTGCGACTGACCCAAAATGTTGAAATCTACGGTCGGCTTTTTAAAAAAGTTTTAATTATTTTATCGTTTTTTTTTAGAAAAAAATATATCAAAGCATTCAAAACTGAAAAATATCAGACCAAAGAGGGGGACACAAAAAAAAATCCGACCGACCGACCCATGTTTTGACACTTAAAGGGCAATACAACATGTTTTGTTTAGGCCTTAGGAAACAACATTTTAACATGGTTGCACATTATGATCCGAAGCATAATAGCCAGAACTAATGAGGGCGAAAGACAAAGGAAACCGAGTGACGCAAATTGCAATATTCTTTTGTTGTTCATTTTATTTACACGAATCTGCGTTTTGATGCCATAGTATTGAATCATCATATCAAATATATCAATATAGCTTGGCTTACATAAATATATATGACTCAAATGTACAAAATATATACAAATACCTTTATAAGGTTTATAAGGTATAAAACACACGGAAATTCTAACTTCTTTTATTTGGATAATCAAATAGTTAAAGGATAAAACTTGTCCCTCTAATGACAAAACTCATCGCAAATTAACATTTAACATTCATTAACATGATTAAAGGAACTTGTCACATACAGGACAGAATAAACTAATTATGAAAACGAGTATCTTCTGTATTGAAACGGAAAACACTTATCCAGAGGTCACCCTTTTACTTGTGGGATGTTTTTTTAATACTGAATATGTCCATTTTCCAATTCCCTTTACTGTCAAATATGAATCTCTAAACGCATATTGGAATAGAGAAGAGGATGTTCAAACAAAAACGTATATTTTTTTTGTCAGCTTCTTGTTTAGTAGTATGAAAGAAAATTAATTAAACTTCCTATTCGGATTTTTGTTTCACGATTCGTGTGTAGATTGGCAGTTGGGAGGACTTAAAGATAAAGTTGAGTTCTTGTCATGCGATTGCAGGTGAAAGAAACAGTGTGGACTCGATCAAACAGAAAAGATTGATCATCTAGCATATAAGTATTGGTGTGTACTGCAAGATTCTGTTATCATCAAAATGAAAAGAAATTCGGCCCAGTCTTGGTAAAGTTACAAGCACAGTACACAGAAATATGTATATGGGACTACACGAACATGTGGCGTAAAAATCCGTCCCGATTGTTGTGCTGTTACATGCCATATTTAGAATATTAATGCATTCGAAGAGCAATGCTTTTCAGGAAACATTTTTAATGTTTTTCCACACTTGCAGAATAACAATGAGAACGCTCACAAATTATTTGTCACCTCTTCCCAGAACTCAACCTTCTCTTTAAACGTTGTCTTAGGATTTGCTCAAAACATGACAACAAAGTGGGCCTGTATAAGGGAAATCCATTGGGGATAGTATTAAAGCACTCTGCAAATCGGGATTTAATCCAACCGATCAAAATATGTTTTTAAAAAATAATGTATTTTTTTTTTTAACATGATTTAAATTGGTGATTTTAAATCAGCGTTTCTTAGTTAAAAAATACTGTTAACCATACAACCATACCAACAATTTTACTAAAATACATATTAATGCTTTTTAAAGTAAATGATATGTGTCGCCAATCCATATTTCTCTGGGGAAGTAGAGATAAAAAGAGTTCGTTCAAAAATTTATAGGAGTTTATAACAAATTGTTTTAAGTGATGAAATAAATTCTTTAGCCTCTTAGGATATTTTACATTAGTTGTACAAGAGTCTAGCAAACTAGATCATCTCAGTCGATTCAAAAAATTCCTCGGTATTCGGTTTTCAACTTTAATTCATATATCCTCTTTTTTTTTCTATACAAGTCTATTGTCACAAGCAATCGACTTTCTACTAGGTAATAGTCTTATTCAGACGGCATTTTGCTAGTCGGCGTAAGGCAACCCCTGCAGCAGTAGATACCTCATGTATATTTCACTGACACCATTAGTTGTCCGCACGCTCTTACTCGGACCAACTTGCCAAGATTAAGTTAACACGACCTTCAACCGACCAGCGTTGGACGAAATATGTCGACTACTGCTTCGTTGGACAAGCACAAAACAAAAGAATATACGCCATGATGTGACCCAGTGAAACCAAGTTGGCCAAACTCTGTGTATAGATGGCTCGTCAAAGGTCACGGATACTCCCGGGTGTGAGTGAGAGCATCCACACGGTCAACTTACGCTACCCTCCAGTCGTGTTAGCGGATTACTCCTGGAAAAATCCGGGAGTAAATAGGTCGGGGTAAAGGTAGGCGTAGCTAACACGATCATCGTTCAGACGGTCACCTTTACACCAACCTCACCATATTTACCCCGACTAGCTCTTAACACCGACCTTTACCCCCAGGGTTACTTGCCTCCGTCTGAACTTATACCTATTCTAAGTTTTCTTTTTAACGTGTCAACAGATTAAGATTTCGCAAGACTCTTCTTCATTAGTGACTCGAATTCACATGAAGGTTTTGCATGTTCAATTTCATTTGGTCACTAGAAAGTACATGTATATCATGCGCCCTCACCCCCTTGTTCTGTGTGCATGATCGTTTTGTTTTAATACGAAAAACTGCTCATTTCATGTCTGGTATTTTGGACATTAAACAATCTTCATCAGTCTAGCAATCGATAATAAATTGCTTTATAAACCTCTGTCGACGTATTTTCTCTTATAATATGTTTTAATCTGTTTTAACAATAAGATCATCACATCATTTTAAGTGGACTTTTACACAAAGAAGGCATGTACATAAATTAGATACCCTGTTCCAAAAAAAAAACCTAAAGTCCAAATCAAATTACTTAATGATGGCATATAACGACATGTACATATATGTGATAGCATCCAATCAATTTTCTAAAATAATATACATCAAATCACTTGATGTTAATGCCAGGAGTTTAATTAGTGATTCCTCAACTGCACATCACAGGTCTTTAGTATGCAGCTTTTAAAGATTTCTGTGTATCTGAAAGTTCCAATACTAAGGGCAGTTATTGATTCTGGCGTTTACAGGGAGTGATCTGGTCTGATCTATAAATGTATTTGATGATGATTTGATTTACCCGATGATTGTAGATCGGTAAGTATCAGGGGACTTATAACTTTAAATCCTCTTCTAGGGTACTTGGCAGTTGAAGATCCATGCATTTATTAGCAAAAGACGCAACGGCACCAAATTGTTTTCGGACCCGTTGCCTTGCAGTTACGAGACCACTGCTCCACCAGTGAGACACCATGCATTGTCGGATTGTTCCTTCCAACCAGATCTACAATCAGCATAAAAAAATGCGTTTCTTTACACCAATCCCAGAGTAGTTGCCATTGCGGTGGAATTGTCCAGTGGGATGGGAACCAGTTCGCAACCCCCGGGAACGACGTGCTGCAGGAATCCCATGAGACCTGAACTAAGCATCATGGTAGCTGGAAGGGTCACCACCCAGGCAAAGAAGATCCCTGAGAACAGAGGCCAGTCAACAGCCTTACGCGTCCTCAGCCAGCCCACGCCGCAGACGGAGCCAACTTGACAATGGGTGGTGGAGATAGGGATGCCTAGGTTGGATGCTAAGAGTACCGTGGAGGCAGACCCAAGCTCGACACAGAAGCCACTGAAAGAAGAATGTGATGAGAGATGTACATTGAAGATGAGCGTGTAGAAATACACTTTACAGCTACCTCTTTTGCACACATATTCAATTTAACTGTCAACAAACAAAAATCTGATGATGTTGAATAGATCTCACACCCCTCTCTCTCTCTCTCTCTCTCTCTCTCACATCCTCTCTCTCTCTCTCTCTCTCTTTTCCACATCTTACGCAATCACAAGGAGAGAAAACGAATTTTAAACATAATATCACGACCTCTGTTACTATATTTTATCACTTTAGCTTTAAGATTTGGATCCCCCGCTCGATATTTTATTGACAACGTCATCGGCCATCATCATTAAAACCATCACATTGCCGGCGTATTCTTCAAAATGTCAATTCTTTCCTATATTCTTTGCGACCATCTTTGATCAACTAACCTGGACGGGGTCATTGGGGTGAGATCTTCTCCGATTGTCTTGATAACGCGACGGCCGAATAGGAAGAGACCCAGTGAGATGCCTACACCTCCGTAGAGTAGGATCCAGATAGGGGTAAGGGTCTCCTGGTCTACAGAACCGGTGGTAAAGATGGTCCAGATACTGATCAGGGGACCGATGGCGTTGCTGTAAGTATATTTTTTTTTTAAATGATGATAAAGTCGTTTAGTGATTAAACATGGTGAAGAGAGAGAAAAAGAAAATGATAATAAAATCGTGTAATAGAAACTATGGATGGCGGAAAGACACAGGTGGTAAACAAAAGAACATTAGGCAAATGGAAGATGCAAGGAAGAGAGCCTTAACAGCTCCTAGAGCCTGTTCACACCGGTAGAGATAGCGCGGTCTAGCGCGCGCTAGACCGCGCTATCTCTGCGGTGTGGAAGGTACAACGTCGTTTCGGTCCGCCCAACAGCGAGCCATGGCGAGCCAAAACGGCGTGCCACTGGAGCACATCTAGCGCGCGCTAGACTGAACTATCATTGCCAGTGATTTGATGAATACAATACATACATACAAAGGAATTGATGAGATTGGCTGCAAAGCTAAGGAAGAAAGAAGAAGAAAGGGAAGCTGTCCAAAGAGAAGGATGGATAGATTGGGTCAATTAATATGGAGAATAACATGTGATACGAAGTTTGTGGAACTTTAACATTCGGTCATTACTAGATACTAAGGGGACATCACAGTAAACCTGAAGTCACGGGACCGAATTCCCACAAGACCACAGCACCCGAGATCGGAAATAATGGTCTCGATCTCGCGAACTTTTAGAAAAAAGACCCCAAGATATATCATTATCGTGGGCTGTCGCACTCGGCCTAAAACACAGATATTGTCAGTTTTGTGGGTTGTATCCGTAATCAAGGCTACATCTAACTAAATCGCAGCCTACCTGACATCATTTCCTCCGTGTGAGAAAGCGGCAAAGCAGGCGGATACCACCTGCAACGGAGAGCAGATGGCCCGAACCTCTGTCGTGTCTTTGACGGAGTCCCATTCCTTGGATCCCTTCTTAACCAGCCATTTATCAGAGTTACCCTCGCCTTCGTCATTTACAGTCATCTCGACCATTATTGCTCTGTCGTAGTCTGGCACAGCTGTGAATACAAATTGGGATTGATATAGCGCTTATTAAATACGGAATACCATCTCTAAAGCGCTTTACAAATATTAATACCCTCGTATATAATCGAATTCATTCACGCTCAATGTGCACCATCTCCACTCCCTGGGGAGTATTCCTAAATATGGTCACCGTGGGGGCATAGGCAATTACTAATACAAATGCTTTCGTCCTCCTACCGGGTCCCCATTTCTATGTTGGGTATTGAGCGGGAATTGTAGACTTATGCCTTGCCAAAGGGCATTAGTGCAGTGTCGGGGATCGAACCACGACCTTCAAAATTTAAAGTCAAGTGCTTCAACCACTCGACTACGAGTCACCATTACTTAATACGAATCTATACGATAGTAATAATGATAATAATTTGACTTATATAGCGCCTTTTTTCAGAGGATACAAGGCAATACTAGTATACATTTGTAATGCACCATGTAAGTTCCAACACAGCACCTACACGTATTCACTGAACTCTTGTATTATAAGATACAGGAATATGAGGCGTATTAAACTCTTAAGTCATCATAAAAAAATACACATTGGATTCAACATTTCATATCTGAGCAAGGCTTAAGAATTTCTAAATCTAAGATCTATTGGTAATATTCTTACCTCCGTTGCCCATTCCATTGGACATTCCAGTGGACATTCCATTGGTCATTCCACTGGTCATTCCGTTGCCTATGCCATTAGTCATCGGGGGTTCGGGAACCAAAATGGCGTCTGGATCGTCAGGGTTTTTCTTCTCTAGTGAGGCGGCATCACCAGCGTTGTGGGCATTGGGTAAACCTAGTAGTTAAAAGTATAGAAAGGACGTCAATGTTGCAGGTGAACAGCTCTTACATTAATATAATATTATCTTACCCCGTAAGAAGAAGGAAAAAAAAGGGGGAAAAAACACTTAAATATCAATATCTCACCTTTTAATTCAGTCTCTTGTTCTTGATCAATCTGTGTGTGTCCTTCCTCTGCTTTTTCTAGTTTCTCCTGTTTTTTTAATTCTACAACAAAATTTGATAGAACGATCATAGAGTCTTTATTTTTGTATTATTATTTGTTTATCAATTAATAAACTGATTGATTATACCCCCTTCACAAACACGGATTTTTCTTGCGAGTCCGTACGGATCGCCAACTCGTAGTCAATCGCAAGCATCCGTAAATAACTCGCTGGTATCCGTAAATAAATCGTCACAACTTGCAACAACTCGTAGACGCTCTTAAGGATCGTGAAAGGAGAGGCAAATTTTTTGACATGTCTTAAATCTTCTTACGATTGTCCACGGATTGATTGTCCGTAAATAGCTCGTAACAATTCATTACCATCCGTAAATCGCTCGCAACAACACGTAACCATCCGTAAACTGCTCGCAAGAATCCGTAAATGACTCGTAACAGAATTTTGTAACGATTCTTTACGGTTAGTTTACGATTTATTTACGGATTATTACGAGTGCTTACGTGTGTTTACCATTTCATTCGGGTCATTTTACGTGGCTTTACAGATTGTTACGGGTTATTACGAGCACGTTACGTGTAGTTACGAGTACTTATCGAATAGATACGTATACTTTACGTTTGCTTACGAACTGTTTACGATTTGGGGAAAGGTATAAAAACTGCAAATTCGAACACTTCATTTTCAGTTGTAATTTTTTGGCTAAAAATTGTAAGGACTCGAAATACTCGTAACTTACTCATAACTATTCGTAACAACACGTAAACAGGTCGTAACTAACACGTTAGTTGCTCGTAGTTATCCGGGACAACTCGTAACAAATCGTAGACTTTCGCCTTAAACAGCTCGTAATAACTCTTAAACATGTCGTAAAAGTGGCCAAATCGTAAGGATCCGTGAAAGATCCGTCAATTTATGCGATCCGAAAGGACTCGTAAGAAAAATCTCTGTATTTGAAGGGGGTATTAATATTATTGACTGATTATTCATTAGATTAATAAAATATTTGTTGAATTTAATTGTTAATTATTTATTAAGTGTAAGTTATAGGGAAACATGGAATAATGAAAAACCTCCGCGGCAAATAGGAAATACACACCGCTACTTATTTAACCTTTTATGTTACATAATGGAGATACAGAATATGCAAGAGTTCAAGTTGAGTAATTAATATTCATTATAACATATTAATGCACTGTTTAAACTGCGCTTTGATGGGAATGTCTTTTAGGAATATTTTTATTATAATCGTCCCTTTTTTCCTCTCCGTCTTTCTGTGTTTTTAAGGTAAAACTGTTGGCTTCTTTTTTAACTGTTTATATTCAATATGTTAAGCACGCGATCGTTTAATCTGCGATGACAGTTTCACCAACAAATTACATATATATGACTGTTTAAGAATATTTTTGTTGGAACTTTCATGAAAAGCAAACAATTGTATTACAAACTTACTATAAACTCTCTTTTTAATCCAAGGTATGATGAAGAAGAATCCAAATCCAGCGACAACTAGTCCACCACCGATTGAGATGACCATCACAATCCAAAGCTCATCAAATCCGAACACTAGAGTATAAAATATATTCAAATATTTAATTTCCTCAAACGAAATAATGATATGATTTTGGTACAGTATTTATAATTGTATTAGTAGTCCGCTTATTATATTGTTAACACGCACGTGTTTATAATTGCAAAATAACGATGTTCTTTTGTTATGGAACTGTTCTTCCGGTATCATGGGTATAGGTCAGTATTATAGATATTTGTAACCTGTATCTTTAATGGGTTATATATATTTCATTGGAATTTTATCTTTTGGTATAGGTCAGTGTTATGAATATTTGTAACCTTGAATGGGATATATATATATTGGGATTGTGTGGTCATGTCGAATCCTGTTATGGTACAGGCCTAAATATACACTGTAATTTTGATTTCAAGAAAATGTATCACTGATAAATATGTACTTCTCTCCTCTCTGTTTGCTTTACTTTTCCCTCTCTTTTTGCTCTCTCTCTCTCTCTCTCTCTCCCCCTTTGTCTCTTTTAGTTTCCTTTCATTTTCTATAGTATCTTCTATTCCTTGCTGTCAGGGGAGATACGGTTATAATATGCTATTTAATATGCTATTTTATATTTTAATATGTTGCCCTATACAGCAACATCTCCTACACTTATTGAATGTGTCAAATGTTAATTAGCCTATACATTTGTTTGTAATTGATTAATATTATATAATGTATCTGAAATAATGATACCGCATCTTGCATTTAATTACATCACTTATAATTGTTTAATAGGCCCTAATTACTTTTCAACTTTGAAGGTAACCCAAGGCTAAACTTCTTATTTCTGTTTTATGTAAATCATCCATTGGAATTGGGACAGGAGGCTTTATGCCACAGTAATTTAGTTAACTTTTTCTGTCCCTGGCGTTCCAATGGTTGATAATTATGTCTTATTTTGTATTGTGTACACTGATATGTAATGTTTTCCTTTGCCGAATAAATAATAATAATAATAATAATAGTCGTGGTTGTAGCAAGAGGGGTAGAAGCAGTATTAGTAGTAGTAGTAGTAGTAGTAGTAGTAGTAGTAGTAGTAGTAGTAGTAGTAATAGCAGTAGTAGTAGCAATAGTAGTAGTAGTAGTAGTAGCAATAGTAGTAGTAGTAGTAGTAGTAGTAGAAGAAGAAGTTGTAATAGTATAGGCGCGAGTGGTGATAGTAGGAGTAGCAACATCAGTAGGCTTGTTGTGGTGGTGATGGTGGTAGGAGAGGTAGCAGCAGTTGTTTTTTTATTATCAGTAAACAAATTAGTAGTAATACAAGTAGTAGTAGTAGTAGTAGCAGCAGCAGCATAATTAGTAGTAGCAGTAGTAAGAGAAGCAGCAGTAGTCGTAGTAATAGTAGAATTAGAAGCAGCAGTAGTCGTAGTAATAGTAGAATTAGAAGCAGCAGTAGTCGTAGTAATAGTAGAATTTGAAGCAGCAGGGGGTTAATTTAACTGTCCTGTTCGGATCGACAAGACTAACAATACTATTGTGCATTGTGGCGAATATAAAGGGGGTATTTTCGGAGGTATAAAGAGTAAGTTAAAGGAAACCTCACCCTAAAGAAAAAGTGAAGGTATTCTGAAAAAATGAGATGTACTCCTGCCTTTTGATGTACAATATTCCTTACAAAAATGGACAAAAAAAAGAGATATATAAACAAAGATATTCTTGGCATGATGTGATGCCTTTTAGCATGAAATGGGCGCAGCCAATTACTTGAATATGTGACGTACCAGTTGAAGGTGTACATGTATCATGCACCAAGCTTTAGTTGTAAAGACTTTTTAAACAATAAAAAAAATCCTTACTTTTCAATCAGGACAAATCATAGCTAGGAAGATTGAAATTATATTTGGTGAAAAATATATAACAGGGAAACAATTGTAACTAATTAACTTTAAAATAGTAAAATTTAGCAGTTGACAAATCTATTTCATTTATGAGAAACCTTCATCCTAGAAAAGCACCAACTTATTTATTAAATTTGCGTTCCGGTAATTTTAGTATAAAAGATAATAGCAGGTGAATGAAAATAGCAGGTGAATGAAACGCTTCATCACCACCCACATCGGGGAAGGAAGCATCCATAAATCTGAATACAATTACTTGATAAACGACTTCACATAGTACATCATGTTATCAAGAAAATGGCGCTGCCCATGTTGTTTTTAGAAACTGTACATATTTTTGCTCTATGCCTCTCGCATACACTTTGGTCGGGAATATTGTAGTTTGATGAGCAAGAATATAATAAATCTCTCAGAATTAGTAGGGTTATTGGGTTTACTTTAAGCCTGAGCCAATTCTACAATTCTATAATCATCTTCAATCGCATCTCCATGATAGTAATCCTTGCACAAACTTACATACTGATGATCCGTAGAAGATGGAGAAGAAATTGATAAAGATGAGGAAGAAGTACCACATCGGAACAGTGTATATACCCCACTTCAGAGGGTCGTCCTGTAAAAAAAATAAAACAGGTTATACCAAACAACTGACTTACCTAAATTTAGGTATCATAGCAATAATAGGTCTAGGAGTATTCAAAGTGGCAATACGGAAAATGAAATCGACATTATATGCGATTATCTTATGTCTTAGCTGCCACGTTAGCTAAACCAGACATCGATTACCGTTTTATAGTTCGTGTCATTATATGTTAAATTCTTCCGGTGAATATTTTTGACCCGCTGCCCTATCACGTCACAAATTAAATAATTCCAACCCAGCTGTGGGTTAAGGATTATGATCAAAATTGGGTTTAACATCCCAGTCACAAGACCGACAACAGATCGCCATTGAAAAAAAGGCTTTACAAGATTCGACCGCTTTGGCGGTATAACTGAAGTTACACAGAGGAAGTTGGTCTGATGTCCAAGTTTTCCTTTTGTTAAACGCGACTTTTGACCCACTGTTGCGTCTTACTGAATTAGTAAAAAAACGGAACAATATCGCATTAAGAGCACTTAATTACCCTTTTTATGACGGAGAAATAGAGGAGACCGTAGATACACGATGAGATGAAACCAGACAGCACGGGTGACACGAACCATGAGATTACTGGAAAAGAGACCACAAAAAGAAACAATTTTGTATAATAATCGGATTTTGGCACATTAACTTGTACTGGGATTTTACGATGGATGCTAAATAATGAGTTACTCCTATGGATCCGTGCCTGATTCCAGTGCCCCTTCAATGGGTGGAATCATACTCCGCCATTGTTGAGAATAAATCCAATACAACAACATTTCCGTTCACAAAATCAATAGAGAAAACCACTAAATTTCAACTAATTCTGATCATACTAACACAGAAGAAGAAAAAATGTTAATGTTAGTGTATCGTGAGCAGAAACTTGACACTTCTCTGCAGATCATAAACGAATCTTTCATTTTTTGGGAAACATGTTAATACCCATAGCAGAAGCAGTTTCGTTCGTAATGCACTTCAAAGAAGATTTATTTCATATATCTTCTAAAGCGTAATAATATACATATTCATATATGGTTAAGTAGATCACATCTCGATTTTAATATCTGACTATTTCACTGGCAAAAACAAATCATCCTAGAGAAGGATGTTAATCAGATAAGTGAACTAGATATTGGTTAAATTTTTAAGAAGTCACTTTTTTAAAAGCCTTGAAAACAATGTCGGGAAGCGTCCAAAGTCTGTGCCTGAAACCAGGCCGATTTCAGAATGCTTAATCATACCAAGACAGATACGGAAATAAGTGTTTACTAGTGGTAATACCTGCACCGCCAAAACCGACTCCAAATTGACCGGCTCATGGCCATAGGAGACAGTGTCATTTTGTTTTCGGCCTGCTGTCAGTTTGCTGTCGGTTTTTTTGGTGTGACAGGGATAAAATGGTGTCTTCATCAAATCGGCCTTTAACTTTTCTTAGCTGATTACCAGATGTATGATCTTTGCACGATGTTATGTGCTTCACGTACAAGGTGGCGGTATAAACTAGGTTAAACCTTGACTGTGTGTCTACCTTTACGCGCCAACCCCAACCCCTCCCCCAGGACGTCATAGACCAATATTTTGAAAGAGGATGAAATAATGATATTTAAAAGTGGTTTACATGGTTTTATGTTCAATATATCAACGTTTCGGAAGGCAAAGGTGCGGCGGCAAATATTGCTTCCTAGCGGATTTTCGGATAGAAGAACTATCACCGATTTGAATTCATATTATCGATTATGCTTATCATAATTTTTATGATAACAAATAATAGTTTTAGGCATGTTATGTCTGTGGAGTCACACAAACCACCCAAAACAACAAACTATGATTTGAATGTAAGAGCTTGCAAGCTTAATTTTGAACTGGTCGAAGAACATTAAAATGGGATTGAAATATTATCGAGCTAAGTCCACTCTGCCCTAGCTAAGCATGACGATAACGGTGTCCGTCATCATAAGCATTGGAATCACTTGGCAAGTTTTAATGAAACTACCAAATACTACAAGAAGGAACCACCTTATTTGACACCATAGTGGCATTTTTTTTTATAAAAATAAATTATGTCCCCCGAACGCCTATGCTATGGTTTCGATTGTCATTCACAGTTCATTTGTACTTCTTACATCATACAATTTTTAGGGGGATAACTCACAGCCCATTGACTTGCGTGACCCGTAAAGTTGGTCGAGGAACAATGGATACACTGGTTTTATCAGTCAGATTAAACAAAATGTTGGTGAATTTATCAACCAGACCCGGTAAGAAGGATTAATTACTGATTAACAACAGTGCGTCTACAACGGTTCGATATGGGTACTTAATACGCAACTGATAAAGATCCTACAGGTGATTTGTCTTTCCCAATGCATGGTAATCACATGCAAGTCATATGGAGGGCACTTCATGGTATCTTCAACATTAATAATTCATTTATCATTAATTGCTCACGTAGGCCGCTATCATTTGTTGTTTATTCATGTCCTAATTGATAAAAAATCTAAATATGAAAACATAACATATTGTTTATGTTCCTACATTCAAAGCCTATGTAAACATAAATATTCTGTACAGGAAAAAAATGCAAAACACGTTTTGGAAATTTTCTTTCTTTTGAATAGCTGTATTTACAAGACGGTAATCTCTCATCATAATGTGTGCATGCGTGTACGTGTTAGGTGGGTAGGGGTGTGGTTGTGTGCGTTCTGCGCGTGTGGGTGTATACTTACACTTTGGTATACACCACACACTGGTACCGCGTTATTAAAGGTATAGACCAGTTCTGGTCATGCAATTACATTGTGAAGGAAACGTTGTGGAATCGATCAGAATAGGTTGATCATCTAGCATATAGTATTGGTGTGTACTGCAAGGTTTCTGGAATCACCAAAATGATAAGAAAATTGGCCCAGTCTTGGTAAAGTTACATGCAATGTACATTAGTGGGCGGTTTTCCAGCAACATTTGTATCATCACGTATTAGTCAAAACATATTTTTTCACATGATTGGTAATAAGAGCTTCCATTTCATTTTTTAAAATGGAGGCGTTTCCAAAACTGGTCTTTACCTTTAAGCTATTGTCTCCGAAATATATATATATATATATATATATATATATATCCCAACGATCATAGAAAACTATGAGAAGAGATGGAGAGACTGGTCTACAAAACATGTTCCATCAGACAAATTCGTACTTTACCTTGCACCTAAGAAGTAATGAAGGCAAATAAGAAGAATAGGAATAATGATTTTAATGATAATATAATGAGAGCAAGAATTATGATTTTAATAATAATATCTACATGTATTGTGTGCTCAAATCCATCCCAAGCGATTTTCAAGGGGTCTGGATCTAGCGAATTAATGGCAGAAATATCTTCCAGGTATCCATTTACTACTACTGGATGCAGAGTGGGAAATGTAGATTAATGTCTCACCAATGGCAACAACAGTGTTCCAGTTGACTCCAACCCCTCCGTAGACCACCATATGGAAGCCCAGTGTTGCACCAACAATGCTGTGTGTAGCAGAAACTGGTACACTGAGGATAGTGGCAGTAAAGAGCCATATACCGGAAGCTGTCGTTAAAGAAAAAATATGAAATTTTATGTATTTTGGGGGTCTCAATTCTCAATGAATATTAAGTATTTCACCATGGGACAAGAATCGGGAGCTGCATTAAAAAAAAAGAGTTTAAAGCTAGAGTTGCTAACTGGATATGAAATTCGTTGATATCCGTAACTTTCAAATTATTGAATAAGAAAGTCATGATTTCAGAATACATTTTCTTAATCATGATCACAAACAAGATGTGTAACAAATTATCTGTGCCTATTAATGAGGCAATTATCAAATTCCCTTTAAAACAATCATCACTACATTTTGAATATGGGGGACCGTCAACATAGAAACATCAAATGTGAGTCGAGCATACCTCACCTAAATATACTTAAAGCCCCATTGTCCTACTTGTAGCTACTTGCTCCCTCTATATAGAAAACTTCCCCAATCGGTGCCTGTTGGTCCCCCATGATCCTCTTTTGCTTATGTTAGTTGAGAACTGAGTTAATGAGATAGCCACCTGTCAGTGGCCTCGCTGTGTGGTCTAATCCCTTCTGGCCCAGTAGTATTGACGGTCTTTAAGATATATTTTGACACGTTCAATAATTGTATATCCTTACTTTGTAGCCCTTATCAGCGCTAGACATGCCAATTGCATCAATGAAATGAGTTTGAAATCATCACTTTTAAAGCATTAGAAATATTCGTTCAAATTTGACATTTTTGCAGCGTATATTGCACCAGGGGGCTCTCATTGTAGCAAACAAAGTGTTATGAAACGTAAAAGACGGAAAATATATTTTAGAAAATTTAGAATAAATGCAAAAAGTAATGTGTTGTGGGTTTTTAGCACGGCTCGTCAACTGCAACATAAAGAACGATTCATTAGATATTCAAAAAGTCGTGTAGCACGCTCCTTTTAATTGTAATTTTAGAAAAAGGAAAAACAAACAAACAAATGAATAAAAGGCTTACTAGATCGTACTTCATGATAACATTTAACAGAACAAAAAGAAATAAGTACACACTTCTGCACGTATTGATAGATATTTCCATCACTCATTTATTTTTGCTTTATTTTTGAACTTTATCATTATGTCATTTATCTAGAGGCATCCTAGCCTATAATCTAGGCGGAGTGCCGAGCTTTTTTCTTTGCTGCTAGACTAACCTTAAGCAGAACGTCTGATACGGCGAGATTATAGGCTAGAGGCATCCTTGCATTAACCATAGAAATCTGTTTTAAGGAAAGTTTTAATTGTCTGGTTTTCATGCTAACATCAGCATGTGATGTTTCCATTTTTACTTAATCGGCTTAATTAGGATACATGACTCAATTTACTGACGTATGTTCTCTCTGTACTCAAACAAAATAAACTCTCACCTGACAAAGCACACAGGTTTCCTATGAGAAGTAGCTCATCACGGCCATTGTAGAGAAGGGGATCGAAGATGCCTTTCCGAATGGTATCCGACACCCTGTACCCAAGCAATATGGCGCCAGCCGTTTCAAAGATGGCGGCCACCACGCACGCTTGGTAGAGCGTCAGAACCCCAGCGCCGACTGAAGTACCGAAGGAATTGGCGACATCGTTGGCTCCGAGGCCCATGGCTAGCACGAAGGCGACGATGAAGCTTATGACGACTATCCATATTACCGTCGAATCTCCAGCATAATAGTGAGACATTTTGAATGAAGGGAGTTTCTGTAGATGTAATGATATAAAATGACGGTTTTCACTTTCCGTGTCGTTCACGTAGGAATCGGCCCAAGCACTAGTTGAACTTGTCGTTCAGCAAAAAATATAAGACTGTGCATAGGAAATACAGAATTTCCTCTAATCAAACATGCACTTTAAGCATTTTATGGTGGATTGCTGGTCATTTGGCCGCATATGGCGAACCGTAAAATCAACTGCAAAAGCTATGCTGTGTAATAAAAGTTGTCCTCCAAGTTCGGTATTTCGAACATAAAACTTTAAGGTCAACGTAGCAGGTTGCCCCCTGGTGTGTAACAAGTATATGCTTTCAGCCACTATAGAATATCAATCATCTAAATGATACATACATCAACTCATTGTCTTAATTATTAGTTTCTAACTCTAGATGATATGTTTGGATGTTGACACTATCCAATCTTGGAGCAATTGTTATATATTTGGCAATGCATTTACAAAATGTATTGTTTAATGTTGCCCATAATGTTGGAATATTTTTTCCCAATCTCTTTTCATGAAATGACTGTCACAATACTGTTCATTCTTGATAGGTAGAGTTTATATCTTCTCAGAACTTTATTAATCGATCTTTATGACTCTTTAGATTGTTCAATTAAGTTCTGCAAATATATCTACTTTATCTATCAATAGAAATATAGAATGTCACAATCATTTCGTGTAAAAAGATTAGGAAAAATTATTCCAACTTTATGGTCAACATTAAACAATACATTTTGTAAATGCATTGCCAAATATATAACAATTGCTCCAAGATTGGATAGTGTCAACATCCAAATTGCAATGGTAAATGGTGGCAAACCCGACACTACCAAGTACTGAAAATTACCAAGCTAAACATTCTAAAAGCAATAATGATTGATACTTTATATTTTTGCCAACTCTCACAAAGCGGTAGACCGTGCATATATTTGTAGTTTAGTAATGCTCTATCGTTAAATAATCCATTACTCTATATTCGAAAAGAGACTTGAGGGATTTTTTTTTTTTTAGGAATGCCAAAGTGGATGCATTCTTATTATGAATTAATTTATCTTTCTAGGATGATATTTAGTTATTTTCATAAAAGCATGTTGCAAAAGAAGCTACGACTGTAATTATATACAACCCAGTAAATTTCTTACTTATTATTTTGCATAAGTTTATGCTAACGAACGCATTCATATGTGATATTACAGATAAAATCATACTTAATAACAATTTACAGTTAGCTTTTCTTTTAGCCAGAAGCGCCACAGTACTAAGCTTTTTGAATATTTAGGATTTCGCACTCTTCCAAACATGACAATTTTATTAGCTGTAAAACAAAGAAAAACAAATCAGAATTGAGAAGATGATATCTAGAGATCTTTTCTTGTACTCATTTTCTCTAGCATTTTAGAAATAGGTATTTTATAAACGGAGCATGACGGCATGGTTTTAGTTCTGAAACCTTTCACCATTAACAATAAGTTAAGATAATTTCATGCAGAAACTAATTATCTAAAAAGATATTGCTTTGTTTTTTGATGATCTATTTTCGACTTTTAATTGTGTGTTTACCTCCAAGGAAATTTAGACCATTTTTTGTCTGTCTCTCTTGGTGTGATGTACCTACAGCCTAATATTTTTTCCAACATTTTCAGCACAATTTAAGCATATCAATGCACCACCTGATGTCTGCAAAGGATACCTAAAATTCGAGTTTATTTTTTTTAATCATTTACATGACAATATAGGTCTAAAAGTACATGAACCAATAACGTTTTTATGATATATGAATTTTCATTTTTCCAACGAACCTTTTGAGGTACAATGAACATTATATGCATCATTCACCGTGTAGAGACGGAACCATTGTATACTTTGTGGCAAAATTAAAACCTTGAAAATTAACTCATTGTTGATTTGTATTTAAACAAAAAGGAATTTACAGTTGCGAGCCAGTTTTTACAGCTCGATAAAAAAAGATTATTGGAATATATGGAATAAAGATGCATAGTCCTATATGTATAAAATGTTCATTATGCATTTAAAAAATTGTTTCAAACAAATTTGATTTAAATTTAGGAAAAAGGTGAAAGTACTTAAATACTTTGATAAAAATCCAATGTGAAACCCTCAAATATTAGGTCATAGAAATAGAATTGGCTAGAATCTGACAAAACTGATCAAACTTTGTTGATTTATTACTGATTAAAAAGCAATTTACATGGTAAAAATATTTCACAGCGCATCAAAATATAACAAGAACGCAAACGAAAATAACCCTTAATTAGAACAGATACTGAAACAATAGTGGTCGAATAACCATGACTTGTCAATGTACGTTAACTAGTTATCAAATCTATCTGGCAAAAATCATCCAATGATGATGAAAACGCCATTAATCTCAACAACAAGAACAACAACAACTATCCTTCATATTGATGATATATCAGATATCTGATGTAATTATAGCACTTGGATATTGGATAGGAGATGTATTACTAATTTTAACACAATGCGGCAAAAGCGGAGAAGAGAATTAGGAGACCGATACCTGAGTCGGAATGACATTTGTTGGGAGAAGCAAAATGCCCAAAAGATGCCAATCAATTATCAAATTAAAGTATTGTACATTATTTTATTACTGGGAAGTAATACGAACAAATGAAATAGTTTACCTTGGACAATACAATCTGAAAAGGAAGAGATGTGATGTACTGTTTGATGATTTGATGAGGCACCTTGCCTCACTGTTAACCTCCAGCAGAGCTACAACACCCGATCTTGTCAATATCACCTGGGGAAATGTCTTGAAGGATTCGGCTTGCAAACTATATCAAAATACTTATCAGCTACTAGCTATTGTTACAATTGTCAACTTAAATTTGTAGCAGGAGAAATAATCTTATTCGTGATGTAATCAGCTTCGAGCGGGGGTTATCCATTTCAGAAATAGGGATGCAAGGGCATATGTGTTGTGAGCATGCTCGCACTGAAAGCATGACGACTATACAATTTACACCGTCTAGAATATGGAGTGGTCCATGTGTAATTAGCGATAACAATTAATAGCTTGCCAAACCAGGAATAACGCGCGATTCAACCAGACGCACTGGTATTTTGTTCACATGCTTGGCTAGACTCAAAATAGACTTTAAAATCTTATTTGATCTAGCTCCTGATGAATTCGTGTTGATTAAGAGACATATCTTAGACCGCATCGACTTAACAGCTTGTCACAAGTCTAACCTTTGGAGTATCATGTGAACAAAAAATCTTGGGCATGTGAAGAGTTTGTTATCGGTCTCTCGGTGAACCACTCTAGGGACAAACACGGCCAAAGCTAATGATGTTGATGGGACAAAGAGTCATTGACAATCCAAGGTACAGTAATTATCTCAAATTGGCAACTATCCAAATAGCTGGTATCTCTTCTCATCTATCATTTGTGGAAAGTATACAAAATGCATTGACGTGTCAAATATTCTGCAAACAAAATGTTTCAAAGTGATCCATAATCGCTTATGAATAAGTTTGCTGAATACTTGAATATGTCAATCAAATGAGGTCCTTATTTAATATGTTCAAATGTTGTGAAAACATAACATAATGTTTACTATATTTCTACGATTACTATTATTTGAAGGGGGAGATATATCATGATCATGCGAGTGATTTATTTAAACTATTTAAAATAGGCGGGGCTCATAAAAATGTCAATCACAAATGTGATCGACATTAACAAATATATTGATCATGCTAGCTAAATAACTCTTCGCAAGTAGGGGCTCATAAAAACGTTAATCGCCCAAATTAATAAACAGTGGAACGGGTTGGGGGGGCATTTACTGTAATTAATTTGACTGAAACAAGATTGTAGGCTCTGACTGAAATTTGTTAAGTCTTGGGATTTTACGTGTACGGCGGGGACTTGTTGGCTAATTTTACTTTTCAGACGCCAAAGTCTTGCACAGTTTTTTTTCCCGCTTATCATCCATACGAGAAACTTCATCGACACTGCTTTGGAGCATTATTTATCTCTTCTTCAAACGAATGTGAATTTTGAGTGATTATTCGTTGTATTCTTTACAATTTAGTAAAAAAAAAAAAACACTTTATCAAGAAAACAATCCAACTAACCTTTGTTTCTTGTTTCTATTATCAGTATCAGTCATTAAATGGTAGGCTTTAGAGATACATGGGTCTACGTGAACCTCGATGTGTAACACACAGGCGTACTGGCACATTTTCGGGAGGGGGACTGACGCCTCCTGCATGAATACCATCCATCCTGTTTCTAAATATGCGAGCGAGTGAGCAAAGAGATGTTTTGTTATGATAAAAATGTAATTTCGTCATTAAAGTAAACTTCTTATGACATACAAGTTATATATTCGGAAATCTCGCTACCTGATTTTTTTTTTTTATAAATCTCCATGTTTGCCAATTTTAAGAGCTAGAGAGACTTTTTTGATGTAAAACAAAATCATTATAATTAAATCACAATGACATTTTAGGACACTTCGCTGCCTAATACGAGAACGTTTTGGTACCTATTTACCAGAGTATGATGATCTTGTTACGGAGAATCATCTTGTAATGGTTTTCAAAAAAAGTAAATTTTATTTCTGTCTGATTTTGTTATTCTCTGTTGGACATTTTACCTTTATGCATCAATACATTTTCATAGATTCTTATTGTATGAACATGTTATTCATGATGTTAAGATGGTGACGTCAATTGAAGTTATTCGGGCGACGATGACCGCTCCCATGTGACCTTAGATGTTAAATGTGCGGTGATATATATAGAAATATAAACATAAAATAAAATCGATTTGGGGGTACGTCGTTGGCGAATATAAGGATATTCAGGTGCTATTACTGCCCTAATATGAGGATATTCCATTATTTCGCTGCCCGAAACTATTCTCTTTCTTTAAAAAGGCACTCTTGAATTACTATCTCCGATGTGTTACTCTGTCACCAAGATACGCTAGCTTAGATTTGTTGAATTGATATATTGGGGCACCTCCCTGCCCGAATTAGTTATCCACCTCGCTACCAAAATATGAATTGATGGATGCTCGAATATCGGAACTTTAATAAACCGAGAGGGGTGGGAGCTGCACTCCTATCCCCAGTCCCCCCGCCTCCTAACACCTATGGGAACATGTGATCATTACGTAGCAGTCATGTGGAGAGCATTTAGTCGAGATTGAGGTGTATGTTTCAATGAATATGACAAAGTCTAATCATCTAGACTTGACAAACATGTGATCATTACTTAGCAGTCGTGTGAAGAACTTCTAGTCTGTATTAAGGTTAATGTTTCTCACTTTCTCTCCCTGCTTTTTCCTTCCCGTGCGCACCACGTTTATAAACGTGTTTAGGACATTACTTTTTCAAAGTAACAGCACTGCTCCATACGTTACCCCCAAGATGTAAATAGCACTGATTTGATGATATAAAGAGTCTGAACAATAAATGGCGATATATAACAAAATATATTGGAATCTTTAGGCTCTTCTGTGAGCTGATATAATTTATATAACGCTATAGCACAGAGGGGTGTGAACGTCTATTAAGACAATAGCAGTCAAGTGCGTGACAAAATCTAATCCTCTCGACTTGACAACATGTGATAATTATACTTAGCAGACGTGTGAAGAGCATCTAGTCGGTATTTAGTTTAAGGTTTCTTTCATCTAGACTTGGCAACATGTGATCATTACTTAGCAGCCGTGTGAAGAGCATCTAGTCGGTATTTAGTTTAAGGTTTCTTTCATGAATATGACACAATGTAATCATCTACACTTGACAACATGTGATCATTACTTAGCAGCCGTGTGAAGAGCATCTAGTCGGTATTTAGTTTAAGGTTTCTTTAATGAACATGACAAAATGTAATCATCTACACTTGAAAAATGTCGTTGACACTCCAAGGGACACTCATTTTATCCAGATTGTCTATTGTTTTCTATAACAGATCATTTTTTATCTTTAATTTAGGAGAAAAGTTGATGGAAATTCCCCGGAAATTTGATTGAGACATCAATCATCTGGATATGTATTACCTCCCAGTCTCTATTGATTTTTACGAATTTAGCCGGTGGAAGGTGAATCCACTATAAACAGCAACACATTGCTCGCTGAGATAAACGAGGAGAAACTAGCGTGGTTTGATTTACCCGTCCGAATTCGTCAATAAATCATTCAATTTCGTCAATAAATCATTCAATTTCATCAACACAAATTCAATTTCTGACAAATTATGGTCGCTAATCGCTACCGCGCTTCAATTTCGAACATTTTTCACTCAGTTTTTTTTTATGTCGGTGAATTATTCCCTTATTTTTACTTTCAAATAACAGCGAGTTTTGTTCCAATTCGAAATGCCTCGTCATTCTATATCGCGGAGTTTAACAGGAAGATTGATTCCTTGTTGTATTCAAATTGGTTCTCGGAAAAACATGCCAAAAAGGGCAGCCTTTTTCGCATTTTGGCCATTATGTTTAGAACATGATTAGGAGATTACTTCTGTTTTTAGAAACATAGGGTTTACTTCTCACATTTTTTTCCTCGAATTTCGTTCGTTTTTTATTTTATATAATGGCATTTCTATGATTTTTTTGGTAAATAATTTGTTTATATATTTTTCTTGTGAAAGTTATCATCAAGCATTTATTGGCCTTTTTCCTTCCTTTTTTATGTTAAATCTTTCGGCTTTATATGATGGATAGGGCCATCATTGTCTTCATTCCATTTGTAGTGATTTTTAGTGAGTGTCTGTAGTGTCTTTCTTCACGTTTTACTCTTATTTTCTAAATTAAACTTCTGTCTCTAAAAATTCAATTTTCTTTAAAGGACCAATTTTATGGAATGAGTTACCTTCTAGTCTTAAACCAAGCCCAACTCTGAATACATTTAAAAGGAGATACAAAAAATTACGTTTTTATGAATAGTATTTTATCATTTTTATATATATATATATATATATATGTGCAATCAGGTGTTAGATGTTAGGTGTTAGTTGGTAGGTGTTAGCTGTAAAGTGTTAAGTGTTATAGGTTAAAATTCTTTTTATGTCACAAGGGACCAGCCCTAACTAAGACTTAATTGTTCTTTCTTGCTGGTTCCTCATTCGTATATATATTTGTATTTTATGTTTATCTTTCGTTATGTTATTTGTATGTTCTTTACTTATCTGTATATATCAATGTTATAATTATGTATGTTTTTATATGATGAATGGAATAAAATGAATTGAATTGAATTGAATTGAATTGAATTGAATTAAACTAGCATTCAACATAATATTACTTCATTCAATTTCGTGCGAAATCATTGAAAAAACCATTGTTCTCGTTCAATTTAATTCAGGAGAATGCGATTTCATACTTATGTCGTTCCAAAATGTTTTAGAGTGCAAAATCGACTTGCGCCAAAGTGATGATACAGCATGTATTATGTTGGGATTTAGTCCAGTAGACGGTACTATATACAATCAACATGACCTGGAAAAGTTGATAAGTACAAGGTTTTTTTTTATTTGTGTTCTAGATCGGTATTGAAGTAACTTCAGCTTGGTTGCCAGCTTGGCAACCTTAGGCAACTTTTTGTATAGAGCCATATTAGCATAATCATCTAATTAGCATATGTGCAATATGTAATAATGTTGCTAATCTCAATCCAGGAAGCCTGAAAAGATGGATAATACGACTTTTCAAGGATTTTCTATGAAGAGGAATTCATTTATGACACCAGTATTTATTTTTAAGTAACGCAATTGTCTCAAAGAGCATAATGAGCTAATTTAGCATAATTATGTACGATATATGGACTTCATTGTCATTGTTTATCTATAAAGCCTAAAAAGGGTGCAATGCAACATTGTAAATCACCTTTTGAAAGACTACACATTAATTCATGAGAAGATATTCCATGTAGATGTAGTATAATTAGCCTAATTAGCATATTTGTAGAATATCGATTATTAAGGACTCTATTGAGTTTCACAAATTGCAAGTCCAATGTGGTGGTTATCTTGGTCGCAAGGCAATGTTGTCAAACCTCATGAAATGTCGAGGAAATGACGGGGTCATCATACGCATTGAGGGTTGGGCTTCAGTCATTGGATTTAGAGAGACTGTCGGAAACACACTCAAGATGGTTAAAGCATATGATAGTGATGGAATTGATGATGTGGTGAGACATGTACGTACATAGGCCAGGGATGTTGAATACAACAGTGCGAAATATGATCTGTCTATGTTTACCGAAGCCAAGCCCAACGTAGCTCAAACTTGTGGCAGAATTCCTGGAAAAGTCATATTATCCATGTTTTCAGCCTTCCTGGAATAAGATTAGCAATATTATTACATATTGCACATATATGCTAATTAGATCATTATGCTAATTAAGCTAATTAAACTACATCTACATGGAATATCTTCTCGTGAATTAATGATTAGTCTTTCAAAAGTGATTTACAATGTTGCATTGCACCATTTTTAGGCTTTATAGATAAACGATGACAATGAAGTCCATATATTGTACACATGCTTATTAGTTCATTATGCTAATTATGCTATTTAAGACAATGGAATAAAAAAACCGGTGTCGTAAATGAATTCCTCGTCATATAAAACCCTTGAAAAGTCGTATTATCCACGTTTTCAGGCTTCCTGGATTAAGATTAGCAACATTATTACACATTGCACATATACAGTGTGAGTCAAAAAGAAGTTTACACCTAGAAAATTGCTAATCATTTAAAAATCATATATGAACAGTAACTTATTATACATCTCATGAAAGAGTGTTTTATTTCAAATCATTTGGTATCATTTTTAGTGGTATGTGTTCACGCTTGGATGAACAGGAGGCATTGTTTGTGAGAGTGCAAAAATCGACTTGGCAGTTATTTGTGCCAAAGTTGCTTATGTGAAGTTTGAACACAACAATTAGGATTTGGGAATTAATTCGGTCTTTACAGATCCAAATAACATCCCTAACAAAATTATTCATGCCACACATATCAAATATCAATGAACATTTGTGCGCACGTGTGTGATGTGTGTGACTTTGCTTCTGCAAAAAGCATAATGGAATGCATTTCATTTAATACCTTCAATTCATTCTCTCATTCCGCTCATCCGAACATAATACATACTGTAGGCATCACTTTGCCGCAAGTCGATTTTTGCACTCTCGCAAACAATGCCTCCTGTTCATCCAAGCGTGAGCATATACCACATAAAAATGATACCAAATGCTTTGGGATAACACACTCGTTCATAAGATGTAAAATAATATACTGTTCATAGATGATTTTTAAAATAATTAGCAATTGCCGAGGGGTAAACTTTTTTTTGACTCACAAGGTATATCTGATCATTTGCCGATTTTTGTAATATGTAATAATGAAACTACAATGAAAAAGTCAGCTATATGAAACATGTACAAAAAAGAAATACTGAATCATTCTAAAGTGATCTAGCAACATAATTATGGTTGGACGTATCTGAATTTAATTCAGAAATGACATACAACAATTTTAATTAAAAAAATTACAGATATATTATGAAATATTTTCCTCTAGTATCAGCTAACAAGGAAAATAAGCGTTGTAAAAGGCCATGGATAAAAAGCAATTCTACGATCGATACAAACAAGGGATACATTGTATGAGGCTTATTTAAAACGAACTCTACCATTCATAACAAAAACAAATATAACACATACCGGAATAAATTAACTAACATTGTTCGAAATTCTCGTAAAATGTAATATGAAATCTACCTGGGAGATTATTAATGAATTGATTGGAAAGGAAACAAAATTAATTGTCAAATGAAAATGTTAGTACGGTTAGTACGATGGAGACTACGATGGTCAGGTAAAGAGGGTGTCTTCGGCAAAGTTCTTTGAGTGGGGATTGTGGTTCTCTCTCGTTGGAAGATGACATTCTGTTGCCATTCGAGTTGAGGAGCGGCAAAGTATTTGATTCAGCGCCATCGTCGTCATCGCCGATAGCCTCTCCAGCATGGATACTCTGTGGAAACAAATTGGCGGATCTTATCTTTCAAAGGTAAACTGGTCTATTTTTATTCAAACTTCGCGGGGTGAAACACCAATGTACCACCTGATATTGGTTTTTATTCTTTCATATTCAGACTATTCAAGATCGAGACAATATTTTCGCACGCATACTTTTAAGACTTGATTAGAATTTATTCTTAGCTACTTGTTACGCATATTGGCGTTTTACATTGCCATTAAAATTAAGCCCATGGTACCTCAATCCTACATCAATGTATGGCTCAGAAAGAAATCAAAATGATTATACAAAGATAACAAAAAATCCTTCGAATGTCTAAGTATTTACACATGGACTTTCAACTCGGAGGTTTCTGGGATACGCCCAAAATGTTAACATAAAAAACCTCTGTAACATAAAGGTTTTATACAGTCTGTATAATATGTCAAACAAATTATTCATCAACTAACATTTGAACCTGATATATCTCCATCATTGTCTAAACGAGAGGACGGATATCTTATGGGCTGCAGGAGGGCACAACATGCTACACAGTTGGTACTGATTCCACCCAACAGAAGCATAGCACCACGCCAGGAGTAGACCCGTCGGAGTGCTTCAGTAAGGATTGGTAAGGTCATCATCCCGACACCCCCAGCAGTAAAAATCACGGCAGTCACAGTCTTGTATTTGGCAGGGAAGTAGTAGAGAAGACTCGCGTATGCTGGAAACATAACCACACCATACCCTATACCTAAAAGATAGAATTGGAAGATCATCAGCTATAAATTGGGGAAATATCATAACCCTCGTAATGCTGTTGTACGAAAAAGTTGTCAAACATGACAAGTTCTATGCTATCAATTTGTCTTCTTCTAGAGAAATAAGCCTATCTCAATATAATTACGATTTTAACACGTACGTCACAAGTGACCCCCTCTATTGAAGCCCCCGTTCCTTGTCCTCCCATAACATCCTTCCCGTGGCAGGTGATAAGTTTGAAGAAAGAAAAACATAAAAACGAAGTGAATAAGTTCGGATAGTGCAGGACTTATTAAAATTGATAATATCAATGATGATAACAATAATAATAATAATATTATTAACAATTGTTGCGGACAGAATTTTGTCGTCATTTTCGTAATAACTTAGTTTGGCCGGTGGGGGCGTTTACCACTGCAGACAGCAAATTCTTCTGTGAGTGGGAAGATTTACCCAGTGATTCCGCCGACTATTAATCAAGTCAATCCTGTCGAGACCCAATGTTGTAAGTGTTAATTCATGTCAAATCCTGTAGTTAAGATGTTAAAGAGTAGTATGATTATTAATTTGTGATAATTTAAGGATTATTAGTGACTGTATAGATGAAAGTGTTATGAAATAGCTACATATGGTTGGGCATTTCAAAATGGCTGCTCGCATGAGCATGTATAAACAAGTGCATAGGATTGTACATGTATGTGAGTTGATAAAGGCACGTATGAAACATAAATAATGACATGTAAGGTTAGGGATATAAATGTTATGAGGTTAACAGGCAAGATAACCGTAGATAAATTACTTAGTAATGTGAAAGGGTGATTTAGCCACAAAACTGGCATGGTTAATTTTGAGTTGTGTAGAATTTGACTCGTGACATTGACAGTCAGTGGGTGTAAATCCCCACTCAGTGTTATTTAGGGTACGCATATGCTCGTTCCCTCTTTTTGAAAGCACCCCCTATCTGAGGACTGCCAACATTTCCGAACCCCCCCCCCCCCCTTCGCGGGCTTTTCGCGGGCTTTTCCTGCCTTGGAGACCCCCCTAAATCAGGAAAAATGCTCAATGTACCCCTCTAAATTCTGAATAACTTCTCAGGAGTCCAAAGAGACGAGAGAAAAAAGGAAAAACACCCCCTTTTTAAAGAAATCTCCGGGTGAAAAGTCATATACAACCCCTTTTTACAATTCTCGGACCGGACTTTGTCGCACGAAAAGCACCCCACTACCGGATATTTTGGCAACACGCATGCGGTCATTCCGACCCCTGAGTGGGGGGGGGGGGGGGGGCCGGGGTGTAAATGGACGTTTTGTATGATATGTTCATGAATATCGATGAAGTCAAGCTAATTAAAGCAGTTAAGTGGTAACAAGATACAACTTTTTGGCTTACAATAGAGCAGTATTCGATAATGCTTGTGATTGTTGATTTATAAGCAAGGTATTTATTATTGCTTATGTTTTGTTTGTTTGTATACAGATTGAACCACACTTCAGGTTACTACACGTCACTTCGCTTCAAAAGTTCAGTCATTGTGCATTGCTTTGCGCTTTGCGCATTAAACGTCATGGTATCATAACACGGCATTGGCAGGATTCCTTTGTGAAAGTATTCCTTTGTGAATGAAAGTAGAGCGGTGGACAAAAGAAGGCATCTCCACAATTCCACTAGAGTGTACCCAAACCAACCTCATCCCAGACATTTGTGTTTTTTGGAAGAACTTAAAGAAAATCCTCATAGTTGAATTGTCAGTTCCCTTTGAAATGAATGTAGGTAAGGCACATGAATATAATTATAAATCGAACAAATATGCCCCGTTAGTCAGGCTAATGGATATTCTGTGGTGTATCTTCCTTTGGAAATTGGCTCTAGAGGTCATATTTCGCCGGACAATGTGACGAGGCTAAATCAGCTGTTGAAAGAAATTGGAAAACCTGTCAATGTGAAACAAGTTCGACAGACTCTATCCAAACTATCTATTGTTTCTTCGTTTGTCATCTACTACTCAAAGAATGCCAATAAATGGGAAACCAAAATTCCCCTTCGCATTTCAAGTATGTAATTACTCACACACACAAATTGGTTAATACACATTGTAACCAGTCTTATATTTTCTTTCTACTGCTCGTCTCTTTTCATTGCCTGGCACTGATAGAATCCTCTTTGTATTACACATTAACTCAAATCAAACTCTTATAATACTCATTATGTATGCTTCGTATTTATTAAGTTGATATATCAAATGAAATTTCAATATTTAGCTCCTCTTATTTATAGCTAGGAATATCCATCACTCCTCAACTTTCACTATGTTGTAAAATTAGTTAATTTTTGTTGACGTTATATAACATTATTCACTGTATATCTACATGTATGTACTTTTAATGCCCTGCATTTTCCAGTAAGATGGAATTGTCCTGGGCTATTGTTCTCCTTTGTTGTGCAAGTTTGAACAATAAAGTGATGTTTAAAAAAAATAGATAGTTGGTGGATGAGGGTGTTTGTGCTGGATTAACGTCATCTATAATAATAATAATGATAATTATATCAATATCCATTTATATAGCGAAACTACTAAATAAATATACTCAGCTGCGCTTTGGTAATAAAGAAATAATCTTAGAATGTTATTGCTATTTTACGATACAAAACCAATCTATTGAAAGATTTCTGACAAACAGGCTTTGAATCTGGCAACAAATGTGGCTTTCTTGTGTCAAGTGGAAGATTTGTCCAAGGCTGTGAAGCGAACTGCAAATATATTATCCAAGTGTTATTTCACTTTTGTTAGAAGCATGAACAATAACATTGAAAGAACACAATACTCTCCCTTACCTGACAGGATGAGACACAGTAAAAAGTGGGTTCCCGTCTGTGAAAAAGACCCCAGGATGATTCCTAAAGAGCCCACAATACTTCCAGAAATTACTAACTTCCTCATAGAGACGCGTGACATTAACCAGGGACAAACGATAGCTGAAGATCAAAAAAGGAAAATTGATGTAGTACTTCATTGATGATTCGGGAGAAAGACATTATGCATAGTGTATCGGAGTGAAATTTCTGACACATTTCTGTCATATGAAAGAACAGAAACCCAACTTTCTAGAAATATGATTTTCTCTTTGAAATTCAGATACCGCCCGCCAAATGACTTTTCGGTTTCCTCTCTTCAAATTGAATTTAATCACTCATGCGTGAAATATAAGTTGCATCAAATGAAAGAAGAGGATCTAAGCTTTCCAAATATGTGTCATTTATTAATTATAAATGTGATTAAGTTATGATAAAACATCGATAATTCTCGGTTTCTTTTTTTTCTGGGACGCACTGTATATACGTGCCAAGGTCAAGTGTAGGTTGGAAAGCATACTTTTATAACTGACATGTCCATTATGAAACCCTAAACCTCCATACTGGTGATATAAATGTATATAATGCGGGTGGGGGGGGGGGGTACAGAACCAAAACAAATCAACATTTAATATTGAAATTTGGAAGGAGCATGAACTGACGTGTGCGAAGTGTAAATTCATTGTCGTAGTCAAAGGTTAACTTACTGGCTTTAGTGTTTTTATATGCTCTCCGGTGCGAACTGAGTCATATTTTTGAGCATTTTCAAACAAATTGTTATGACTAAATATATTTCAGAAATAAGTTTGGTTGAGAATGAACTTTTAACATATCACTGATATTTCAAACCTGTAATTTCAAAGCTAAAACCTGCAGCTGATTTTACAATATGTAATTAAAAAATGAAACTTGTCACTGTTACATATTAATCCCCTTGATGACCAACCTCAATACACCCTGTATGTCTTTTCATGACTATATTGAAGAAAGAAAGGATTACAACTTAAAACTGGGAATGTTGATACAAGAGACGTGACGTGAGCCTGCCCACTTTCCAAAATTGTGCCCGCTTGTAGGTAACGGTACGGTCTGCGCGATTTTCAAATTTCCGCCTCCCCCCCCCCCCCCCCCCCCCCCCCATCGGTAAATCCTGGATCCGCGCCTACAAAGCACTGAACTTAGTTAGACCGTATTTTCCGTCTCTTTCGTTCGTTAAAATTAAGCCTCTTATTTGGCTAAACGAACGAAAGAGACGGAAAATTCGGTCTATGACAAAGTAAGCTTGCATTTCTTACCCATTGACTGCGTGAGTCCATGTGACACGCCAATCGCTGTTCCTATCAATCCAGTTGACACACCTAGACTCAATGAGATATCATCGATGAAGACACCAAAAGATTTTAGAATGCCAAGCTCCAAATAATTAATGATCACCATTCCAGTCAGGAGTACACACTGGTAACGCCCTCCCGTAAACGTCGCCATTTATAGGAAGAATGTGTGAGAGAATTGCGAGGTCTATAATTATACCGGGCAGTGACGAAACGCGGCAACTGTATTGTAATACCATGGACCTATTACGGATTAAGTCCATGGTAATACAGACCCTTCCCTTTCCTTTGAGATTTGACAAATTGAAGTTTACATCTACACAATGTATAAGTATTCAACAAAGGCCAGAGGCGGCCCTCCCGGGGGGGGGGGCAAGGGGGGCACAGTGCCCCCCCCCCCACTTTTTCAAGCACCCGAAAAGTGCCCCTTTTTACATAGAAAAAATGCCCCTTTTACTTTTTAAGAAGTGCCCCTTTTTACATAGGAATAGTGCCCCTTTTTGACAAGTGCCCCTATTAATTTGTAAAATTGCCCCTTCCCCTTTTCAACTCTGATAAGTGCCCTTGTATTTGGACACGTGCCCCTTTTTCTTCGACAAGTTCCCATTTTCCTTTGCAATAAATGTCCATTTTCCATTCTCATAAGTGCCCTTTTTAATCTCTAGTAAGTGTCCCCCAGTTAGGTACGAAAAGTGCCTCTTTTCACTTTTGATAAGTGCCCCCTTCACCTCTGATAATTGTCCTATTTAATTCTGAGAGGTGCCTCTTTAACTTTGACAAGTGCCCCTTTTCCTTTGTAAGAAGTGCCCCTTATAACCACCCCCATTTTAACTCGGATAAGCGCACCTTATATATTCACACGTGCCCTTTTCCCTCTCTAATAAGTGCCCCTTTTCCCAATGATAAGTGCCCCATTAAAAAAACAGCCCCTTCCCATTTTTATAAGTGCCCCTTCTCTGGTAAATGACCCTTTTCAGGTACGAGAAGTTACTTCTTTTCACTTTAGATAAATGCCCCCTTCACCTCCGATAAATGCCCCTTTAAAATCTGATCGGTACCCATTTTCTTACAACTAATGCACATTTTCCTTCATTACAAGTGCCCCTTTTTCCGTCGACAAATGCCCATTTCCTATTCTTATGACTCACCTTTTTCATCCCTGTAAGAAGTGCCCAATTTTCACCTGTGATATTTACTCTTTGTACTTTGGCACATGCTCCTTTTCTTTCTTGATAAGGTTCCCTTTTCCTCTCATCATTAAACGCGCCCTAGCTAATTTCAAGCGACTAAGAGCAATTTCCCCCAAAGCTCGCTCGCTACGCTCGCACGCATCTATAGATGATATAATATGTTTCTTATCAAAGGTCTTTTCACTCTTTCGTTATGAAAATGTGCTTATATCCCCATTAGGATTGGATTTTTCCTCTTTGTAAGATGTAATTTATCGCACTGCGACCTCACACATCTTAAAATTTTTCCTCGCTCGCTTCGCTCGCTCGCAAACAATTTTTTAGAAATTCAAACCCAACTGCAAAGCAATATCTTGTATGGTGTTTAAAGTGAAACAAATATTGAAATCGTCCCCGATAATTGTAATTACAATGTAGGGGTATATTTATTTATTTATTTATTTATTTAAAAATATTTATACAGGATGACAATATCAACCAAGGCTGCTTTTCATATTGGTCCTGTATATACATACATGGTAAAATACAAACAATGAAATACAATATAGCAATGAAATACAAATATCATTGAAATATGCAAAACATGAATAGATTAATGAATATTGAATAATATAACATTTTATAAAATAACCAGCAACTGGATACATATATTTACATTCAAAGGTTTACCCAGGATCACAAAAAGAATGATTTGAAACAATGTAAGAAAAAAACAAAACTAACAAACTTGTATTTATTACAGTAGGGTAAAAAAATATATATATATACACACATCCATGAGGATATTGGTTATTTACAACATTAATGAAAGTACAATCTTTTATAAAGGTCTTTAAATGAAGAAATAGATGTAGAATTCTGTAAGTTAATAGGTAATGAGTTCCAGATAACTCCTCCTGAGTACATAAGACTGTTCTTAAAGCATTCTAGATTAGGTTTTGGTAATATTACATTTGTTTTGTCAGCGGCTCTAGTATTTAAGTTATGTCTATCGCAGACCATTTCAATAGCATTATACAGATGTGTTGGTGCAATACCATGTACAGATTTATACATTAAAACAGCTAAAAAATAATTTCTCCTTTCGTCAAATGATTGCCATTTCATTAATTTTATTAAATCATCACCTCTAACATTTTCATAGTCATAGTTGGATGTAATTATACGTGCTGCTCTCTTTTGTAATCTTAAGAGTAACTCTTTATTTTGCCTGGAGCAATTTCCCCAGACTGTGCATGAATAGTCAATACATGGTAACAGTTTCATAGAAATCAATCTGGTAAGTCTTTTAACATGAATATCCCAAGTAAGGTGTTCATCAATTTCCACCCCTAAATATTTAAAATTATGAACCTGTTCCATTTTCGTTCCATCCATGTATATATTCAAGTTATATGCTTTACGTGTACTTAAAAGCATAATTTTGGTCTTTTCAGCATTAACTTTTAAATTATTCTGAGTATACCATCTATGTATTGAATGAACATCATTTTGTAACAATATGGTTAGTTCATCAATATTTTTATGAGAAGTATATATAACAACATCATCAGCAAACATATTACAGGTACATGTCTTCAAAGACTGAGCTATATCATTAATAAAAAGTAGAAATAAGATTGGTCCGAGGAAACTCCCTTGGGGTATTCCATTTGATAATGTCATTGAGTTTGAGAGTATACCATAACAGAAAACCATTTGTCTCCTTTCAAACAAATAACTACTAAACCATTTCAACTGTTCATCCTTTATACCATAACATTGTAGTTTCTTAAGTAATAATTTATGGTCAATTGAATCAAAACATTTGGAAATATCTAAAAAGCACGCAGCTACTAATTCTTTTTCATTAAAAGATTCCAGCCAATCATCTATAGTTCTATGAATACATGTATTGGTTGAATGGTTGGGTAGAAAAGCTGATTGATCAATAGAAATCAATTCATTCAAGCGAAGATAATTCAATAATTGTTTTTGGATGACTTTCTCTAAAATTTTAATTACATGACAAGTTACAGATATTGGTCTATAATTGGTTGGATCATCTTTTTTTCCCTTACCTTTATATCTGGTGTTACTTTTGATATTTTCCAATCAGACGGAACTGAGCCATTTCTTAGACTTGCATTATATAGTAAAACCAATGGTTTAGATAGAACTGATGCTCCAATACAAAGCAATTTAGAATCTACATTAAATAGGTCAAGATTACTTACATTTCCTAATTTGCATAACAATTCATAAACAACACTTTCCTTTAGTCTTTGAAATTCAAAACTATAAATACATTTTGGATGTTTCCAGCTAAAATCGTCATTTTTTGGTTTATTCATTTTTCCAACTGACGCAAAAAAGTTGTTCAATTTATCAGCACTTAATTCATTAGGCAATACATCATTTTTACGTTTCCTGCCGGTGATCTTATTCAGCTCACGCCATATTTTTTTACTATCTTTTTTACAATCTCGAATAACATCCTTGGTATAATCCCTCTTATTATCACGTCTTAATCTAGTAATACGGTTTCTTATGCATTTATAATCTTTTTTTATTGCTGGGTCGATATCAGATTTCCTCTTTAAAAAATCTCTTTTATAAATCAATTGGACTAATTCTTTTGAAATCCAGGGACAATATCTTTGTTTCATACGCATAGTTTTAAGAGGTGCATGTTTATCACATACCTTAGTAAAAGTTGATTTCCATTTAAACCATTTTTCATCAATATTATACATATCATCTTCAAAATCAAGATTACTGGTATCAAAGCTTCTTTCTAAGTCCTGTAAAAAAAACATCTCTATCAAATCGTTGATAATCACGAAAAGTAACCTCTTTGTGATTATTATGTTTGGTCATTGAAAAAGTTATGCATGTATAGATGAGATAATGGTCACTTAATGAAATCTTTGCAACATTGGTGACAGCATGTCTTTCAGGTATCGTAGTTAAAATATGATCTAAACATATATATACCAATGTCTAAAAAATTGTATATTTTCGCTGTGAGATTTCCCTTTATAGGTGCCCTTTTTATATAGAAAGTGCCCTTTTTTCTTGGTCCCCCCCCCCCCCCCACTTTGGAAGTCGCTCGGCCGCCCCCGACAAAGGCCCTAATTCAACCAGTCTACCTTTCATTCTCGAGTTACGGAAACACAAAAACATCTCATTCCTTAGCCTGGGGTATGAATAATTTAGTTCTTAACTGTATTTCTATAGATAGAATATCGTCGGAAAATATGGACTGAAATATTTGGTAAACGTACACTGCCCTCTAATTTCATTTAGTAAAAACAAATTGTTAGTGAATAAATTTCATCAGTACAAACAAAGGCCAGATTTCTAAAATGTCGTAAGGGCTTGAATGCTGGAACATTCTGGCTCCAAACCAGCGACTTCCTCACTCCGCCTATATATAGGGGATAGGTTGTCCTGTTAAACTGGTGTCAGCTTAAATAAAAAGTTGAGTTCTGGGGAGAGGTAATGAATAATTTGTGAGCATTTTCATCGTTATTATTTAAGTGTCGAAGAACATCAGAGAAAAAATGTTCCCTAAAAAGCATGGTTCTTCAAAATGTCTTCGATATTCTAAATATAACATGTAACAGCTTAAAAATGAGGACGCTCTCTCTCTCTCTCTCTCTCACTATCTCTCCTTCCCTCCCTCCCTCCCTCCGTCCCCCTAAAACTCATGGGGTGGAGAATGTGCATACATTGTGTGCGGTAAGCCTGAATCTGATGTCCGGGGTAATAATAATATATATCTGAAAGCGCTTTGAGAGGGCCTGCGGTCCTGAAAAGCGGTATATAAGAACGAGCTATTATTCGTATTATCATTGAGTTTATTGGTTTCACATGCAGATTCAACACAAATAACAAAATATACATAAAAGACGTATTGTTTCGTTATTTGAAAAATGGTTATAGTATTATTGACAAATTAATCGGACTACGAAATTATTTATCACCAAATAGGTTTGACAACTTTGATCATGTTAAAGGAAACCCAGACAAGCTAAGCAAAAAACTGTGAAATGTGCAGTAACCTATACAAAAGCATAGATCTTTTGCACTCCCATCCCCCAACATCATTTAGCTAAGTTTTATAACGGATAGCCACTTAAGGTAAGCTTGAAGGCGTGGCATTTCTTCTTCATGATTATGTTTTACAAATATATTACAGTTTTTAGCTTCGGTGGAGAAAATACCATGAAGCGAAATAATTGAATCAAATAAAAAGTCGAATATAATTATTTCTATCTTTATACAGATAAATTGATAAATAAGTATATTTTACAATGTAGAATCTATAATTATAGATAGATAAGATTTTCATCATCATCATTATAATCAGTGTTATCATAGGGGCTATAAAAAAGATAGCAAAGCTCTAAAAATTCAAAAGTGTCCGAGTTCCAAATAGTTATTACCGTCTCCCGGCACCGCCGTCGTAAACTGCTGAATCTGTGTTGACCGACCAAGGGCATAATTTACGCGAAAACTGTTTCAGTAAACTCGCTTTGATCTTGCTGGTTTAACGGTAATACACATTGTCAGGACATTTTGAATATTAGGTGGATAGGGATTCTTTATCATTTTGATATATTTTGATGCCCCTGTGGATGTATTATAAGCACTGGAAAGTTTAGCCCCCTAAAAAACTTCTTCTTTCGAGAAAAATTGAATATAAAATTTTCAAATAGCGCCTACGGCCGTGCTGTGGTAGCTGCTGTATATGTTCATTTGAACTAAACTCATGACCCTATACAAAACTTTGTATTACCTTTAATCAAGTAATAGTTCGTTGAAACTTGCCTATGATGAGATTATAATACCAATGAATAGAGAAATCATTAGGAGAACATCAATAAGATCTAAATCCAACAACCAATTAGCAAATATATAGGCCTACACCCCACTGACGCCTCTATCACCTGCCTACCCCACCCTCTCTCTCTCTCTCAATTTGTATATGTATATATAAATGTATATAAATGTATTTATATATCAAACCTCGTAACCTCTTCAATTTATCCTTTATCAACTGATTCACAATGTTATTAAATGGTTTATTGAGGGGGCTATATAGAGGGAATAACTCAACGAATGATATCATTGCTGTCTTAATTGATAGTCCCTTAAAATTAAAATCACGAATAGTTCTTTTCCTTCTTTCAAGAGAGAGTAACTTTTGGTATTTTGAACGTTTATCTCTTTGTATTTATTTATTATTTTTTTCTCTTTTAATAAATTACTGTTCTCATTTCCATTGGCATTTCCCTTTCCATATGAAAAGCGAGTACCCGCTGTAGCTCACTTGAATGAACTCGAAGTGTACACACGAACTCTCATCTATGTACACGAACGCTGTTTGCTTAAAGAGTTTCACACATTCTTCGTCAGTGATGACGGCACTATCACAAACAAAAACCAAATTCACCTAAATGACGATTAATTCATTATCGACATCACTGCTAATACCCAAGCCACGACGCCAAACCAACGCCAAACCGATCCCAAACAGACCAGTCCTTTACCACGGGGGCGAGGTAACTTTTTGTTCGGTCTAATGTTGATATCATCGGTGTGATTGGGACATTAAACACCATTTCCATCGCACCTTAGCTAAATCATTTTGATATTGAAAACTCTTTCGACGTTGTTCCACATTCGTATTTGGCGAGACCTACAGCCTTTGGATACACCGAGTTCCTAGTAGAACGTTAACTCGGATGCGTTTATGCATTATATCATTTAATATTTCTATATTGAAGTATTTTCTTTATAAATAGCTTGTTTGGAGAATTTATCGGATTATCTGAGCGGATCGTGGAATCATGGCATCTGGGTTGATTTTGTCTGCATTTATGGTTGTCCTCCTTCTGGGGCAATGTCGCGTATCTTCTAAGTCACCTTCGTGTAAGTTTATTTCACCAGCATGTTCATTATTATTATTATTATTATCATCATCATCATTATTATTATTATCATCAATATTATTATTATTATTATTATCATTAGTATTAAAATTACTAACATCGGAATTAACATCATTATCATTATTATCATTGTTGTTGCTGCTTTTGTGGTTATCATTACTAATTTCATAATTATAACTGCTACTATTGTTATAAGTTTATCATTATCCTAATAATCATTATTTTCATCATCATTGGTAATACTATAATAATTATCAATACTATTACTGTATCGTATGTCCAATGTGATATGATATTGTCAGTTACACACCGAATAATTACGAGATTAAATATATTTGGTATATCTTATTTGTGTATCAGGGGCGGATCCAAGTTTCTCAAGGTAGTGTTTTCAAGTTTTCAAGACATCATTATTTTCCAAAATATGCTATTGAGGAACCCCGTCTGGCTCCTACCATACTGTCCAAATGAAGATGATGTGGGTGGTGATTTTGTTGGTGGTGCATGGGTCAGAGCCATAATGTACACATAATTTGGTCAATTTGGTTTCCCTTGGTCACAACATGGCTTATAGCCTTTTGATTTGTGTTTGCCCATAGCAAAGCAGTATTCGACATATTGTATCCAAAATCCAAATCGAACCGGATTTGCCGAACTTTCCTAATCAATGGCTTTAAGAAGGGCGGGATGTATGACAAATAAGATCCCGACATTCGCTCGGAATAATATGAGTTTAGTATTAATTCAATTTCTGAAATATATAAAATGTTAAAGTGAACAAGAAAAAAAAAAGGATCGGGAATTTTCCCCAGGGATTTTTTAATGTCTAAAATGATCTTTTGGAAGAGGGATGATGGTTTTGCACCCATAAGAAGTATGCAAAGACCCAATGGGGTTTAAATTGTTTGTTTTTTGTTTTTAAAATCTGTATTTGTTTATATGTTTTGTTTCCCATTTTCGTGTGTTTGTTTGGGAGATGGAAGCATTATAAACTTTAATTCGATTCCAGAGATAAAGGACCGGCCCCTATTAATGAGTTTGGATTTAAATGTGCGCCATATTAGCGTTGGCCTCCGATTCATGCGTTTGCCCTGAATCCTAAAGACGATCGACGCTCCTGAAAATGTCGTAATGTAAGTTAATATTGATTTTGTTTTATTTTATTGATTGCATGAATTATGATGCAGATGAGGTACGATTTTATGGAACAAACCCAAATGAGACAAACCGAGGAATAATACAGATGCGACGATCATCATCCGGAGAAACTCCAGCCTGGCAGTTCCTAGAACCCAACACCATAGGCCTCACTGGGGCAAGACTGGTCTGTCGTCAGCTTGGCTTCCCTTATGTCTGCAATAAGGGTGTCGAGGTTGTGGAAAACGTCACTGCGGATGACATCTTCTGGTTCGATACAAGATGCACTGGTGACGAGCTTTCTCTTGAAGATTGCTCCATAAGCTTGCGACAGCAGTCTGTTCTCCAACAAGTCCCCTCAAGTACCGCAGTCCTCACAGTGACGTGTGCCTTGGGTGAGTGGAATCTAAGGATTTTGTACCATACCATTCCTTCAATGATAAAATAACTTTTTATTTTTCATTTTTAAACCATTGATTTCAATCTAAGCATGCTTCATTGTACAATGGAAGCCTTTCTCGCTTTGAAACTCGAAAGTCATTTCTTCTTTTAAGGAAGACAGTGAAAGGAATACAAGTAATTACTATGTGGAGTAGAACAGCTTGAATTATGATATACCTGAATTGGTTATTATTCCGTTTAACATTTTAAGAGATAAAAAATAATGTTAAATAAAGATATTTTGGAGACAAGTGATACAACTTTTCACGTTTGTTGTGTCTCCCAGCAACATTCAAATATATGGAACGATGAAATTACATTTACCGCGTCGGTGGACTCCCCCTTTTTAATTAATGTTTCATTGGACCCCTCCGTTTGGCAATCTTATTTCCGCCCTTGATTAAGGACCTGTTTTCATTGTGCCGCACAATTCTGCTTACAATTACTTGAAACCTGTATCCATCTCGTGGGTCTTCTCGTTTCTTTATCTTGTAGAAGATGATATCGGAGTGCGTCTAACGAATAGTTCCTCTCGGGGGCAGGGCACCGTCGAGTACCGCTGTATGGATGACTGGCTGAACATTTGCTTTGATACCTGGTATCCTGCCTCGGCAAACACACTCTGCAACCAGCTCGGCTACGGAGGAGTGGTGGAAGATGTTCAGGTTGCCATGCCAACAACATCACTTGCGAATATCAGCTTCTACTGCTCAACCCTGACACAGAATGATCACATTTTCGACTGTCTGATGGCAGAAGAGAGTTGTATTTCGGGAAACGCAGCATCTGTAACCTGTGGGCTAGGTAAACTGAAGAGTCCTCAAATTCGTCATAACCTTCTGAATGAGAATGCTACAGAATTTAAGCAGTCATGCTGTTTTCGGATTACAAATCACATGGCATGAAACATAAAATATAATGTATGATTTGAAAAGTGATAAAACACATTATCCCTGAAGTAGTTATTTTTGTATTGCATGTGAATTCTATTGAGTTAATATTATATGCATGAATGTTGTCCCTGATCAATATAATTCAAGTTTTCAAGGAAAACAAGTTTCAATTTAATAGCGAATGTGTTTGATGCTATCGATTATTGATGTGGTTTCTCCTTTTTGTGTTTTGTAGAAATCACCGCTGAAAAGAGAAAGGTCACCCTCTGCAATTCTGCGATGACGTGCAAAGGAAACTGTGGTAATGCAACAATGGCTTGGTGTCGGTGCGACAACGCATGTCATCTTTATAACGATTGCTGTTATGACTTCACCGAGGAATGCGGTCAAGAAGGGTTAAATCAGATCCAAAGCACTACCTCCGATTTATCATTATATTCTTGTCAGAAGCCACTCGGAGGATTGAGTAATGTCTACCAACGAGCCGAATGGTTTTATTTTATCAAGAAATGCCCAACATCCACGCAGGAAACGCTTAGAGATTTGTGCGAAGGTTCGAGTTCGGAAGATGACGTTCTTCGTAACTTGCCCGTATACGACCAAGAAGGTGACGTCTTTTACAACGTATTCTGTGCTGTATGTCATGGACGGAATCTAAAGAACCTCACTGCCTGGAGGGTGGAGGCCGAACCGGAGGAAAATTTCAACACCAACGAAATGCAAGTGTATTATGTTGTACTCCCGCCGTGGGATGAGCTAGGCACAACAAGACCATGCTATGCTGAAGGGTTGGTAACGGACTATTGCCCTGCTGCGTTTACTGGATCACAGTTAGAAAAGGCATGCCATGACTACCAGGCGCCGGTTGTGCATCTTGGTGGTGTTGCCTATCGCAACCCGCATTGTGCTCAGTGTCATAGCAAACGTATCAACGAGCTTCCAATCGAGTCTTGTACAGGATGCCGGTGTCAGGAGCCATTTTGCTTCTTGATATGTCCGGATGGTCGAACGGGAAGACTCGCGTCGGTGACTCTCCTTTTTGACTTTTTCACTTCCGATGAGGTCCAATGTACTGGACTAGGAGAAATATATGACATGTTCCTCGAGAGATGCCGCGTTCTTGTGTGTCCACCTGGCACAAGGTTCTTGGTAGATTCTTGCGTATCCATGGAGTCCGAGCCAGAAGATCCTGCCTTGCAATCCACAATGAGTTGTCTGACATCTGCAATTGCGTCAAGTTTAACCGAAGTAGCTGAAATCATCCTTGATCACAATGTAACCTCGAATGTGAATTCGGCTGTCATTTTCGCTGAAAATGTGAATGACGTGCAATCTGTTGCCTTGACCCTAGGTGCGATTGTTGAATATTCAAACGAAGTTCATCAGGTGATGTGCAATCTTAGTAACATCATGCTCATTGCCCCTCCTCCTTTCAATGATACAGTACCAGACGTTTGCAGAGAAGATGCTGTTGCACCTACAGTAGCAGATGCCGCCTTTAGGGCAGACATAGACAGTGCATGGGATCTAAATAGAACACTCTTGATGTTCAACGAATATAATTTCATGAGTAACACTTCATCCTACGTAAGCAGCCAGCCTTCAGGCAAGTGTTGGTTCGCACTCTTAAATACCCTTATTTGTGAGCTACAAGTTGTTCCGGAGGAGAAATTTGCGATTGATGGAAACGTAGCTGTTCATATTCCATCTGGTGCAAAATTGACATTAGATGAATACTTTCTTTTGCTTAATGGCAGTTACGTCGTATGTGCTGGGAGTCTTAATGGCTCTGTTGACATTCAAAGCGTAATGTATCTTGTTGGTGCTAGCATGTCCATCCTGTGTCTCATTGCAACATTGATCACTTATACTGTCCTGCCGAAGCTTAGAAACGTGGCTGGTAAGTGCCTGATGAATGTCGCATCGGCGCTACTAGGAGCAAACCTCATCTTCGTCCTGAACCCCTTGTTGAGTTACAACCCTATCTTCTGTTCAATCATGGCCGCTGTGGCTCACTTCTTCTGGCTTGGCTGCTTCAGTTGGATGAACGTCGCTGGCTTCAATATGGCACGCACGTTCGGATGGATTGGTTCAGGATCATCCATCCAATCTACCAGAAGCTGTTCTAAAGGGATACTGGTGTCTTATATCCTCTACGGCTGGGGTGCGCCTTTGGCCATTGTTGCCGTCGGGATCTGTTTCCACCTTTGCCAATGCACCGGGCTGAGTTTCCAATACGGAGGGCCGTTGACCTGTTGGATTGAAGGGGAGCGTAGAGCCATGATGTATGCCGTCGGTATACCTATTTACAGTTCCATCTTGCTTAACGTCTTACTGCTAGCCTACACTGCTGTGTCTCTCATCAGACATCGGAGGGAGGGAAGGTCTTTAAGAGCAAATCAGACGTTCATCTTCAAGGAAAACCTAATGATTGTTGCAAAGGTATGTATCTTGTTGCATACCTCCTCAATTGAACCTGTCAATACATTTCTTATCCGTATTTCTTTCTAGCTTTTTATCAACATTTTCATGTTACGATACCCACTCTTCTTTTCATTCATCTTACTCTCTCATTCTGTTTCCTGTTCTTCTTCTCTGATTCGACTATCATTCATTCTCTCATATTGAATCCCTACCTTGCTGAATCTCTTTCATACTCTCTGACTCACTCTTTCTCTCTCTTTTCTCCATCTGTCTCTCGGACAACCTCTCTCTCTCTCTCTTTCTTTCTTTTTCTTTAACCTCTGACTATTTCCTCCCTTCCTCTATTTATCTGATGTTATTACTCATCGACTGAAATCTGTTCTCTCCCCCCTCTGGCTCTCATTCTATCTTTTTGTTTCTCAAAACTTTTGACTCTATTGCAGTTCTCTGTCTCTCTCTCAATCTCTCTGAATTCATTTTTTCTTCTTTTCTCTTTGTGTATTTCTCTGCCTATAATATAGTATACTCTTTCTCTCCCTCTCTACAGCTTTCGGTCGTCCTCGGAACATCGTGGACGTTCGGCGTCGTCTACAGTTTCACCGAGGACGGCGTTGTGATGTACATCTTCGTCACACTTGCCTCACTACAGGGGGTCCTTCTCTTTGTCTTCTTCGGACTCACCAAGCGAATCCGACGGATGTGGAGGGCGAAGTTCAGGCCGAGTGTCGGCGATGTCACCGCCTACACCGTCAAGGCGGCCTCTTCCCAATGGCGTGACTCGACTGCCGGCTTACCGACTGGGGCAACCCCACAGTAGATAGGGTCCAGTTTAAACATGCGCTTTTTTATTTATTTCATTGCAACACCAACAGATAAACAACACGATGGCACAGCCTTTCGAAATATCAACCTAAAGGCAATTGTAGTATAGCCTAGTTCGTCACCTGTTCAGATATGCTAACATTAGGCCTACCATGACACATTACGTAATCCGAACATGACTTGATATCGTACTTGAGTTAATTTCCCGAAAGCCTTTACGAATGTGTTGATATTAGATATATAGACTTTTGTTTTCCTTAAAGCTTATCTGTACTAATTAATAGGGGATTAGAACACACTGCAAGGTCACTGGACAGGTGGTTATCTCATCAACTCGATTCAATTAGCATAAGAAAAAGAGGATCATGGGGGACCAATGGTCACCGATTAGGCATTTCTTTCTATATAGAGGGAGCAAGTAGCTACAAGTAGGAGAGTGTGGCTATCATCAGTTAAGTATTATATAAAGCTATCTGAAAAGTTGGACAGAAGAGACAGTATCTTTGAAGTTTTATGTGAATAATTATCACTGAATTATTATTGTTTATTTATTGTTGCTCCCTCGTACTATGACATAAATAATATAACATATCGTATATTATGACTTAGCATGAGATACACATTCGATTTGACTTTGGGGAAACAAAAACTGGAATCCTCAACGAAAAATGGAGGGGAAGAGATAAAGGGAGTGCAAGAGAGAGAGAGAGAGAGAGAAGAAAAAACACGCTGAAAGGCTTTTCATGCTATGGTAGGTCAATAAATATATCTTTTTTTACTTTCCCATTTTCAATTTTTTATTTGTTGAATGTATTAATTGAATCTAGCCTTGGAATGACATTGTCAAAATAGGACCCTGAAATAATCAGTCAACTAATATGCTACAATGCAGCCCTTATATATTCATGTATTTTATTGATGTATTAAATATTATTCATATCCCCTGCCTGAAATACTGTGGAGAGTTCCTTTATGTGTTCGTCACTTTATTTCCTTTTCTTTCCAGTGTTCTGCTTCGTTTACGTTTTCCCTCTATTTCCGTTTTTCTTCTCCCCCCCCCCCCCCCCCGTTTTTTGTTGGTTTTCTTGTTGCTCGACTGTTCGTCACGTTTGTGACTAAAGTGCATCCGTGTATATTTCTAAGCAAACTTTAGCGAGTGAGGGATCGAGGTGAGCGAGCCAGAACTAGGGAACGAGAAGAATAGGCCCGTTGGGATCGAGCGGTTTGTAAGAATAAAATCATGGATGGCTAGGTCCATGATAAAATCAAAGTTCCGATAATGAATTTCGAGGCTAAGGAATGGGGGTATTTGTTATCTCCCTGAATAGCACAGAAAGATTTAAACAATTGAATTCTTCAACCTCAATATCAATCACGATATAGCTACCGAAAGCTTCGTTCCAAATTTATTTTTTAAGCTGTCCGTTGAAATATTCACAAAGGTGAAAAGGTTAACGCCTGTACCATTACAGTTTGATTTGTTGACATCATTTGTTACATGGATTTATGTTGAAAATATGGTTAATTAACCCATGCAAGTACGAATTCAAATACTTGAATTGTATAGATGTATACAGAAACATGGCTAAGTGAAAACATTTGTAATTCATTGTTACAAATTGATGGGTATCATTTTGAAAGACTAGATAGAGACGAAAAGGGAGGAGGAGTTGGATGTTTTATACAAAAAAATATATCATATATTAGACGACCTGATCTTGAAGACCGTGAGTTAGAAATTATGTGGCTAGAGATAAGACTACACAATCACAAACCAAAGTATCTTGGAGTTGTATATCGTCCACCTAACAGTAGAAGTGCTTTTTTCAATAACCTAGAAATTAATTTAGAAAATATATGTATGTTATCAAATGATATTGTAATATTAGGTGATTTAAATTGTAATATGTTAACTCAGAATAATCTTTCAAAGCAGATACATGATCTGAGTGACAATATGCATTTGTCTCAGCTGATAAGGACCCCGACACGTATAACCGTTAATAGTACAACCCTTATTGATCTAATTCTTGTGTCAAATAATTTGAAATCACTGGAGAGTGGCACACGGTCTATCGGTCTAAGTGATCATTTATTGATATACCTTGTATTGAAAGAAAAACCACCGCCCTCTATATGTTCTGTGAGTACCTACCGTTCATTTAGAAACTTTAATGAAAATTCTTTCAAAAATGATGTTAAAGATATAAACTGGGATAATTTGTACTTAAACAATCACAATGTTGAGAATATGTGGAATATTTTCAAATGTAAATTCAAAGACATTTGTGATCTTCATGCACCGTATGTCACAGTAAGAAAACGTTCTAGGGGGTCACCTTGGATTACCAACGAATATTTATGTATTGCAAGAGATAGGAATTATTTTAAATGCAAATTTGATAAACACAAAACTACAGACTACTGGGAAAAGTTTAAAGAATTCAGAAATAGGGCAAATGTACTGAACAAGAAGTTAAAGAAACAATATTATAAGAATCTTTGCATTGAAAATGGTAATGATATGAAAAAATCCTGGAAAGTACTCAAAGACTTACTCCCAAAGAAAGATGCCAATTCTGACCATAAAATTCTTGTAAATGACCAAATTGTAGTAGACAAAGAAAAAGTAGCAGAATTGTTTAATGAAAGTTTCAATAATATTCAAAGCCAACTAACAGGAGCGAATGATTCTCATCTCAATATAAATGCATTGCAAACATTACCGCAAACAGCACATGAATTCAAATTTACAGAGATCGAGGAATGTTTTGTATTAAAAGAACTACTCAAGCTTGATGTTTCAAAAGCAGTTGGTATTGATGATCTTCCTCCAAAGCTACTTAAAATAGCTGCCCCACATATTGTTAGAGTCTTAACAGTATTGTTCAATTGTTCATTGTCGAAAGGGTACGTTCCTCATGACTTTAAAGTTGCTAAAATAACCCCTATTCATAAAGGTGGAAACAAAATGGAATTAACTAACTACCGACCTATTTCCATTCTCCCCACAATGTCAAAGATATTTGAAAAAGCAGTTCACAATCAGATATACTCTTACTTAAACAAACATTCTTTGTTAAGTGAACGGCAATCAGGTTTTAGACCAGGGCATTCAACTCTAACATGCTTGACTGAAATAGTCGAAGGTATACTTGACAATATGGACAAAGGTCTGGTCACTGGAGCCATTTTTCTTGACCTGAAAAAGGCGTTCGACGTTATACCACACCCATTGATTATTAAGAAAATGTTATTGTATGGTATTGGGGGAGTCGAACTTGAGTGGTTCGAATCCTATCTATCTAATAGGCAACAATGTGTATTCTTGCAAGGGACTAAGAGTAATTTTCTAACTGTGAAATCAGGAATTCCACAAGGATCAATACTGGGGCCATTAATTTTCTGCCTCTATGTGAATGATATTTGTAACCTGCAACTCCATTCTAAGACAAAGATTTCCTTATATGCAGATGACACGGCAGTATTTCATCATGGAAAGGATTATAAAGTTTGTGAATACAATCTCCAAAAGATTTTACCCGTATCTTGAAATGGCTAAAATACAATGGACTGTTTTTAAATGCAAATAAAACCAAAACAATACTATTTGGTTCCAAAAGAAAAATTCAAAATAATAATATTTGTATTCGTTACAGTGACAATGTACTCGACTCAGTCGAAAGTATGAAATATCTAGGTGTAACACTAGACAAAACCTTAACATGGTCGTTACATGTAAAAGAAGTTGTTAAGAAAGTATCGGGTACGATTGCCTGCATTAGACGTATACGCAATTATATTTCCCGTAAGAATCTTATTACATTATACTATTCTCTTATCCTACCGCATTTAAACTACTGTAATTCAGTATGGGGGAATACTTCGAAACAAAATCTAACAAAGTTGCAAAAATTACAAAATAGATATGCACGATTAGTTCTTCGTGCCGAATATTTTACACCCCAAAATGTTTTAATGAGTAAATTGAAATGGCGGTCATTAGAGGAAAGAATCAAATATCAGAAATGCATCTTGATTTTTAAAATCATAAACGACCTATCACCACCATATCTTAATCCATGTATAAGTAAAAGACCGATATTATATTCTACTCGTTATGCTTTAAACAGTCCATTATTCATTCCAAAGTGTAAAACAAATTTTAAAACGAAAACCTTAGCGGTTTCAGGAGCTAAAATATACAATAAATTACCCTATCATATTAAAAATTGTAAGTCGCTGCAAAGTTTTAAAAAGAATGTCAAAACCTTTCAGCAGTGGCGTAATGAGCAAAAACGTTTGGGGGTGCTGACAAAAAAAATCCGCAGCACCCTACTCTAACATGCAGGCCCCGGTGAACGTTTCGCAAAGTGGGGTCTAGGGGCAAAGCACCGGCGGGGGTCAAGGAGTGGAGCCCCCAAAGCTCAAGGGGTATGGGCATCAGTGGCGGATCCAGGAATTTCTTACCGGGGGGGGGGGGGCACAAAATGGCATGGCGTTAAATATTATGTAAAACGATGAAGCGACAGAACGGGGCTTTAGCGGCGAGGGAGCGGAGCGACCAAGCGGGGTGGGTCTGGGAGGGGGTTCTGGCCCCCTCCCAGAGTAAGAAGCATTTGCAATTTCAGAACCAAATTAGACGCATTTTCAGTCACTTCCTGGAGTAATATGACGTAAAATTGCTTTCTCCTACCCCTTCCAAGAGTAGGGATCTTTTGCAATATGAGAACCACATTTGGCGCATTAATGTCCACCTGCACTTCCTGGAAAAAAACGAGGCCTTTTGATTGGTTACAAGTTAGAGAAAAGTGATCTGTCACGTCTTGAGACGTTGTATATGCTTTGATGCCGCACAATGCACAAAGTCGGTGGTCCGGTACTTCATCAGTGAAGTACTTGCATACATGTTCTCGAGTGTATAAACTGTGTCGTTATCAGGGGCGTCGCTAGATCTTTGTCAGCGGGGGAGTGGGGAGGGTGTAGAGGCCACCGATAACCGACAAAACGAGCACCCAATTACCGACAAATATATTAATGCTAATGTCCAAATGTCTACAAATTTAACCCTATACACCCGGGGCCAGGAACTAAGTTAATTTTCGGTCTCCATCCTCTCACGCGAAGCGCGGAAACTTTGACACTTCATTAAATTATTAGAGAAAGAAGACGACCTGTTGTACCGTTCTCGACTCTGAATTCTTGTTTGGATCCAGTTCCCCCACCCCCCTCCCAGCCGAAGCGCGGAAGCTTTGACGTTTTAATAAATCATTACTCTCAATCCTTGTCTGAATTCGTTTTCGCCCATCCCGCGCAAAGCGCGGAAGCTTTCACGTTTCATTAAATTATTAGAGAAAGAAGACGATTCGTTGTATCGTGTTTTTGTCTGAATTCAGTTCCCCCCCCCCCCCCCCCTCCCGCGCGCAGCGCGGAAGCTTTGGCACTTCATTAAATTATTAGAGAAAGAAGACGATTCATTGTACCGGTTTCCACTATTAATCCTTGTCTGAATTGATTTTCGCCCATCTCGCGTAAAGCGCGAAAACTCTGACGTTTCATTAAACTATTACTCTTAATCCTTGTCTGCATTCATATTCTCCCATTCCGCGCGAAGCGCGGTAGCTTTCACGTTGCATTAAATTATCAGAGAAAGAAGACAATTCGTTGTATCGTGTTCTTGTCTGAATTCAGTTTCCCACCCCCCTCACGCGTAAAGTGAGGAAGCTTTGGCACTTCATTAAATTATTAAAGAAGGAAGACGATTCGTTGTACCCATCTCGACTCTTAATCCTAGTCTGAATTCAGTTGCTCCCTCCTCCCCCACCCCCCCCCCCCCTCCCCCCGAAGCACGGAAGCTTTGCCGTTTCATTAAATTATTAAAGAAGACGATTCGTTGTACCAACTCTTAATCTTGTCTGAATTCAATTTCCCCACTGGGCCCTATTAACGGTACATAATGCAGTGTTACATGATATGTCAGTATGGAACGCCCGGCAGTGCTTGTCACAGTTGCTTCTGTAAAGGATTTTTTTCTTCTTCTAGTGTTACTGTTAGTGGCCACGGCCCCTTAGTGACTGTAAAAAACATATGCTTTTCCTGGCCATTTGTGAATGTGTCAGTTTGCAACAGAAATGGAGAAACGGGCATTTTGTTGAAAATCATGTGATATCACCAACATTTATACATGACTTGTAGATCTATATGGAATTGAAAATAAGTCATGGTTCAATTTTATTTGGGGGGGCTGGCGCCCCCCCTAGCTCCCCCACCAGTACGCCAGTGCCTTTCAGTTTCCCTTGTAAACTTTCAGGACGGACGCATACGCCTACTCATTCTTCCCAAGGACAGTTAGGGACTGGAACAGTCTTTCTCCCTCAATTGTAGCCCAACCTTCCTTAAATACTATGAAATCTGCGCTTAAAACCAACTTAAAACCAGCACCTTAAGTTGGTGACCGCACACAACGACACACCTCCAGTTTAAACACCTTTACGGCGTCTTTTGGAGGAATCCTACCAAGTACCAAGTACCAAGTACCAAGTAAACATATTTTCACGTTAATTTGACCTTTATTTATTACATTTCATTCATCTAGTTTTTTCAATTTGATAGTTGTATTTTTTTTTCCTTATAATTTATTGTTAATGCGTGTTTTTCGTTACCCATGTTTAATTATTGTATATACCATGTATATTTTACCTTTGTATGTATGTTTTGAATTCATGTTATTATTGTACATGTTTTTTATGTGAATACAGGGCTCTCTGGGAGAGCAGGCTCAGAAATGAACTTGAATGAGACCACCCTGTTAAAATAAAACTATAATAAATAAATAATAAAAAATAAATGTACGTATTTGACCATGCGTGATAGATAAAAAGAAATAGGAGGGGGAAAGATTCAGCGATTCACATAGAGAATTCAGGAATGGCAATGAAAAAATAATTATGTCGACCTTCCCCTCAGGATAAAAAATCATACCACGCCATCATTTACAGTATAGGCCTACCTCTATCAATAATGATGAGTATCCAGAAAACTCCCCCCCCCCCCCCCCCCACCCGACTACCATCCCGGATCACTACCCTTTGATAATTTTGGATAAAAACATGTATACCCATCGAATAACTATGCCTAGAAAAATTACCCCGGGACGCGTTATTTTTTTCGGCGGCACAGATTGGGGTTAGGTGCGTGTTGAGCCTATGGAGAAGTTTAGGGTTAGGGTTAGGGTTAAATCAAGCCCCAACTCTGTGCCGCAGAAGAAAATAACGCCCCCTGGACATTGTCAGGGGGTTCCATCTCAGACTCGGCGAGGAGAGAGAGATAGAGCAAGAGAGAAAGAGATAGGGAGAGAGAGAGAGAGAGAGAGCTGAGAGAGTGAAACTGCAGAAAGATTATTAGTTTTCTTGTGGTGTCCTTTACTGTCAGCCTGTATAGCCAAGCCATAAAGCCTCTTCAATATATATTCCACTGTGACTGACAGAATCAATGCTGGGTAGGGGTTTGAAAAACAAATGTTAAAAATGTGAAAATAATAATCCGTAAACAACTCATAAACAAATAAATATACGACCCCAACCTGCCATTTATGCCCCTACTTTTTTTGTTTTCGTTAAGCCTTGGCAGATATCAGTCCAGTGTAGGGGGTTTGAAGACAAAAATGAAAATGTGAAAATATACAATCCGTGATCAACTCATAAAAATATATATAGGTCTATAGTCTAGACCTACGACCCCAATCCTGCCAGTTATGCCCCTACCTTGTTTTCGTTTAGCCTAGGCATAGATAGGCCTACGGCTTCCGCCATTTTAACCAGATATATTTTTTTTTGGGGGGGGTATAGAATATTTTGGAAATATATTGATTTCTGGATCTTTATCTTCATTTGGATCTCTTTTTAACATTAAAAAAGGAATGAGGAAAAACACACAATTCCCATACCATATAGTCTCATTTCATATCACAGTTTTAACTTTTTTTTGCACCAGCAACGAGTCATAAAACTATTTTTTATTGACTGAATGGTTGAAAAACTATTTAAAGTAATAATGTTTTGTATCAATTTCGAAATTCAAGATTTTTGTATGGTCAAACACTATATTCCATAATATTTCATAGCTGAATTAATTTACTAATGTATAAATGGGTCTGAACGGACAAACTAATCTCTGTAAACACAATCAATTAGTTTACATAATGACGTCAACGTTACTGGGCAATGGTATACAACATGGCCGCCGAGGAGTTACGAATCGTGTGAAAAGGATCCGGTATCACTTGTTCTACACGGCTGTTGTCTTCCTGAAATCTCCTTGAAGACCTCTGTTCGGAGAGGTGAGTACTTTTGATTCATGTTTAACATTGGGGATGGATTTATTTTTAAATGAAATGGGTTTCCAAAGCAATGCCAGTGTCGATCGCGTGCGTGTCGATCAGTTCCGTCACCGCTCAGCTCAGGATTTATGCAGCTCACGGAATCGGAATCACCTTCGCTTTGTACCCGGAAAGAACCTTCCTGTTTTCGGGGTTGTTGTGGATTGTATGAAGGAGTTGTGGTCGTTGTCTATGCGCCTACATACATGATACAATACAATAATAGAACATGTACAGTATCTATAAAAACACTATAAAAACAATGTAGGATGTTTTAAAAAGAATAAATCAGCAAATGTAGATCATAGATCTAGCCTGGCATAGACTTCTACTACTACTAGGCCTAGGCCTACTACGATCTAGACCTACATGTAAGTAGATCTAATGTTAATGTTATCAATCAAGATATTATTGATCAGTTGGAATGTTCACCCTTTTTTTAAGTTTTGTTTATAAATTGAAACTCGTATTCGTAAGTAATAAAGTAGGCCTAGATTCTTTGATGTTTCATCATGTTCATCTGGAATTATTTTTGTCTTGCTGTGTGGAATATTTTGTAACCATTTTATTATATTTGCAGACCTAGCTTTCATTGCAATAAATCATGTATGATGATGATGAAATTTACTCTAGATCTAGGCCTAACTCTTTTCTTCCAAAACAAACACAGAACATAAGATTTAATTACTTGCCCATTGTGCATTGTTTAGAACTCTGTCTGAAATCATACTGTCAACTATTACTAACCTATGGTCGTATGTCTCTGATGTTTTCAACCAGGATAACTTTGAAGTTTGAACAGTTTAGAGCCTAAGAGTAAAACAAAATGCCGCCAAAGAAGGGAAAGAAGAAGAAGGCCGCTCCCCCTGCAGAACCAGTTTCAGAAGGTATTTTTTGTGCAGTTTTTCGACCGAATTCTGGGCAGAAAAATGCTCTGTCTTCTTTCGGAAGTATTTTGCTTATCATTATTCTATATTTTAAGTGACTATAAAATCCTGTTAGGGGAATAAATTTCTTTTCTTTTGATGGGTAGATTGCCAAATAAAAGAGGTAAGAATTCAAAATATTAGTGATTTCCCCTTAAGTGACCGAATTCTGGGCACTCTACCCTAGATACATGTACAGTTTATAATTATTTATTTTTTTAATTCCATTTATGTTTTAGACATAGATATAAAGTTTGTCAACATCTTTTCACATTTTAATATGCCATACATGTACATATACCAATCAAATACAGTACAAGATCTAAATCGATTGGTGTTGACTAGACAAAATGACAAGTAAGTGAAGAAAACTACTGTATCATGCTAATGAAGTACGTCTTCATCAATCGTCAGGTTTCCACGAGAAGGTAGTTACTGTCATTGGCAATGCAATACACAGCTCTTACAGCCTTCTTTGAGCAGCTGGGCAGCGTCTCACGAAACCGTCATAAGTACAAGTCCAACGACATCCCATTGAATTTGTGTATTAAGTTTAACACACATTTCAATGGGATGTCGGCGAACTTGTATTTATGACGGTTTCGTGAGACCCTGCCCTGATGACTAAAGGCATGTATGCCTAAAAGTTAGGGAATTTATGAAACAGTAATAATTTAGGAATGAATTTTGAAATGACAACAAATATAGTCAAATATATATATACCAATAAATGTTTGTGATCATGTCTTTGTGAATAGATGATGAGCAGGATGAAGTTAGAACTGTGAGAAAAAAGGAAAAAGGGAAGGGAAAGAAGGCGAGAGCACGGCCAGTGCTTAAGACACTAGGCAGAGGTACAATGTGTGTTCCAGTGGATTAGTTTGCTTGGACACTAACTGTCACTGCACTGCTTTTAGTTCACATTTGTTTTGTTTGGAATTGATTTGCAGTTGCACCCAGCCATCTAACCCTTCATGTATGCCCAGATGAATATCTCTGTGATGTTATTCAAATTGCATGGCATTATTAAAGCACAAAACATTTTACAGAAGATACACTGTTTGAAATTTTTGTCAAACAAAGTTACCAACCAAGATTATTTAATGAAAATATTTTTTGTTGTTGTTTGCTTTTTTGAAATAACATATTCATGGCTTTGACACTTGTACTGGTGAATTGGATTATTAAAAGAAAACGACACCTACTGTACATGCTGACCCCCTGACCCCCACCCACTCCTTCCCTTCTTGCCTACATGTAGATCATACAAAGCACTTATTAGAATCACTAAGCGCTTCCAAACTTGGAGATTATTACCCAGGCTTTAGCTGTACATGCATGTAAGATGTAAGGTTCCTTTACACTTATGTATTAAACGTGTCATTTGTTCCTCCCTCTGTGTGATTGCCAACAACTCTATCTGTACATGTCTATAGCTGGATGATGCATGTTGTTAAGACAGGCTTTGTAAACAAAACAAAATTAAGTACACTGAGACTCGTACATGTACATGTGTACATTGTAAGAATTTTTTCATTCCACTATTCATCAAAAGAATAATGCCAGCACTTTTTTGTTATGCAATGGAAGATAAAATTACTGTGAGCAGTTACATACATATATTTGTAGCAGTGGTATCCCTGTTTTTAGATAATTCTGCACATGCAATGTTTTATTTTAATTTATTTAGTGCTTTAAATGTAATGTATAATAGATAGATACATAGATAGATAATTTTATTGATCCATATTTAAAACATAGAAAAATTGGCCTCCACTGGCAGCAGATAAACAAAATACAAAGTAGTTACAAAGAAAGAGAAAATCATATTTTATTTGCTTAGTTTTAATTATTTCAAAATTATGGATGGTCCAGCAATGTTTGAAAACACTTATCGGTTTGCTGCTACATGTAGTTTGTAAACGTAAGTCTGCATTTATTGAAAGAAAGCACAGATGTCATCTTTCATTTCTCTCCCCTACTTGAATTCATTACCTCAAAATGTATCACCATGTCAATATTAACCTTTGCAATGCAATCATTGAGGACAGGTAAGTTGCAATGCTTAAAAAAAATCCATCAAATTAAAATAATAAGCTTTGCCTCGATTCCCAAACCCTGTCTCAGAATTGCATGTCAAGAAAATAATGAGTGATGTCTGATTGTGTTTGTTTTTCTATATGTATGAATATGTGTGGGCAATTTAAGAGGACAGGGACATGAAATGTATTTGATGTGATGAATGTACATTGTTAATGCACTGTTATCCAGGAACTTTCCTGAATTTTACAAATATAATAATTTTGATTTTCCTTTGTTTGGCTCTTGTAATAACAGTAATGCTTACTAACAAGCATTTATGATTTCTTAGCAGTCAGGTAAAATAACCACCACTAAAATAATGCGGTTCCCTGCAGGGTGTCCAATTACTATATGACTGTTATTCATTAAAAATTCTTGATGTGATCATTGACTACTGGTGGTAATACTGAAAGAATCATTATCTTTAAAATAAAAGTTATAGGATATTTGACTTGGAATCATCCTAAAGACCATAACGTCGGTGGGTTGACAAAACCTTGTATCTCCAAAATCATGAATTTTCAGGAGAGCGAAAAAACTTTTCTGTCTCAACGGATTTAGTACTGTGACACCATCCTTTGTGTGGAATTTGTGAAAAAACCGAGACAGGAGGCGTTCCATGGATTTATCAAGTGGTGTTGTAGGCCATTAGGTACAAAATTATGCAAAAAAATCAAAATCTCACAAAATTGAGATACAAGGTTTTATCACCCCACCGACGATAAGGTTTAATAGCTGTAGCAATCAATAGACCATTTTTGTAATGTAATCAACTTTAATAAATGCACACGTCTTTGTGAAGTGCCTTAATACAAATTATTTCATTCCCCTGTTACGTATAATTGTGTGTCAGTAGTCGGAATGTGAACTGCATACATTAATTAGTTATTGCCAGGTAGGACAAACATTATAGCTTGTGTAATATCTGTATTTTGCATTCAGACTATTGTTAACAGGCGAGGGGAATATTGAGGTACTTCACAAAAACATGCATTAAATTGTGTTACATTACTAAGATGTCCTATTATAACTCTTAACGTATTCCTTGTACATTATAAGTGAAGATTGTCATTACTCAAAGTCACTCTTCTTTTTTAATCAGGAGCGGGAGAAGAGGCTCCAGAAGTACAAGCTGATGAGCTCTTTGAAGAGCCGCAAGAGGACGCTGGTAAGTGTTAAATTTCAAGGATTGTCTGCATTGTACATTGTATATCGCAGTTTAAATTTTACTTTTCATTTCTTAGGAGCTCTCTCTCTAGATTGTTTACGTATGTGTATGGAAAAATGATAATGCCCAGTTGAAAATCTGTATACCAATTTTCTTAAATTTGGAGTGTTCTTTTGAGCTTTTCAGAGATTTTTGGAACATTTTGAAAACTATAAAGCACTTCCCAGTCCTGTGTATTTTGCTTACAGATATGCCCCAAAGCAAGATATTGCATCGAGTCCTTAAAGGTATTACAAAGTTTTGGTATGGGGTCATGAATTTGGTTCAAATGAACATATTGGAAGCTTATGCGTTCCTACAATATACATTGGTCGTTGTCCCGGTTGAAATCGAGTCTAAAGTTATGAAATTATAAAAAATAAACTCTTTATGTTGTATAGTTCCCTCTCAAGGCCAAGATATTAATTTAGCTATTAAACAATGTTTCTTGACTAAAATCAACCGATTAGCTATTCCCAATTGGAAATTATATATCACAACTACATGTTCTGAGATTTTCATGGTCGCAGCTACCATTGTACGGCCGTAGGCGCTATTTGAAATTCATCAAGATTTACCGGGAGCACCGGTAAATTTTTATATTCAATTTTTCTCGAAAATAGAAGTGTTTTAGGGGGTAATTTTTTTGGTGCTTATAATACATCCACAGGGGCATCCAAATATAACAAAATTGTAAAGATTCACTATCCACCCAATTTTCAAAATTTCCCAAAACTTTGTATTACCTTTAAGTGTATGTTCCCCTGTCCTGTAGTTCCCAACCCCCACATGTATGAATCTGACTGGTTGTTAAGGACCCTGTCAAAATTATATATCAGCAGAAAGCTTTAAGCCATAGATTACTATACTGTCAATCATATGCTATTTTAGTGTCTGTCAGAGGAGTAAAAGTGCTCTGAAAACTTGAATTCTAAAGCTTTGAGAATAAGAAGTTGTCGACCTATAAACTACATGTAGCTATTGACTTGATCTATGTGCAACAAATTCAATCCTAGTTGAACTGTTATTTGGAGGGGTGCGGAAAATGAGGTTTTAATTTTGGCTTATGTGCAATATTGAGAGGGAAAATAATTTGTATTCCTTTATATTTGTATTATACGTTCATTCAGCTTTTTATTGATATAAAACTGTACTTCCATCAGATACAGTTATACATGTACATGTACATGTAGGTTGAAGTTGATGAGATATAATTGAGGGACATGGGGAAAATCTCATAGTATCCATTTTAACATGTTCATTTAGTCAGTTCTTTCACATATCTGATAATGTTAAATGTTTCTGTGAAGGCTCTAGATTGTGTTACATACATGTATACAGCAAAATGTTTACCCAAATTGATAACTACATGTATTTGAAAATAAAAAGTGATATCCGTTTTTCTCACAAAAAATATATATATTTTGTGACTCTTTTGTCTTTCACTTGAATAGCTTTATTAAAAACAAATTTTGAATATAGTTTGTAAACTGAATATAGAGTGATTCCAAAATTTAGGAAAATTCTTTTTAGCTCACCTTCTTTTACATGCATGTACATTGTACTCCTATCATTATTACTGTGTGATATTCCAGTACTAGAAGAGGAAAAGATGGATGACGTAGTAAGGGTCAAATCCCCAGAGATGGAAGCAGAAAAGGCCACAAAAGAAGCAGAAGAAACTGGTAAGCATGGACACATTTATGCCCTCTTTTATTCATACCGCTAAGAAATTGCCAAGTTTTAATTTTAAGTTTGAGATACATGTAGTTGACCTTTAAATAAAAGGCAATTATTTTCCCAAAGGGTAGAGTATGAAAGTAGAGAGACGTTGGAACTTTGTCACGACTCATTTCATCACCTTTTTAAAGAAATTCCCTCACCGTGTTTTCTTTTACGCCTTCCGCCCATTGAAGGTGCCAGAGGCATATTTGAGATGCGGTCTCATTCATATTATTTTGTTTTTCTGTGTTTTTTTACATAATCTGGATCTATTTCATTCTTGACAACATACTCTTGATATTAAAGTCATGTACATTTTTATACATACCGGTACGTCAAATGTGGCAAAGTATATGTGCACTGTCTAGCTCTCTTGAATCTTATCATATCTCCCCTTCTATGGTTATTTCCTTTCCAACTTAAATTACAAAATGTTAACTAAATCAAACATTTTTATGCTTCTTATATTCACAGAAGCTCCAGACCTTGAGAGCAAGCAGCGTCAACACTACTCCTCTGCTTCTGCTCATGGGGATGGTCCTGGAGCTGATGAACCTCAAGATCAAAATGATCCTAGTCCTGACGGTGGTAAGTATTTAATCTCGCGGGGATTTGGGGAAATATGAAATACTCCAATTGATCAGGACATCGATCAGTACTAGTACTGTCGGTGAATTGTCGTTTCGTCTACAACCAGTTCCTCTACTATCCACATGGTCTAATAACCATTTTGTCTACTTATCATTTGGTCTAATGACCAGTTAGGGAAGTAGTCATTTGGTCCAATCTCCAATTAGTCTACTCCCCGTTTGGTCTATTGTTCATAGTCTAATAACCAGTTTGTTTAATGCCCATTTCTGCTATCATCCTTAAGGTCTAGTAATCATTTGATGCAATATTATTCATGATTAAATGATTATTAGACCAATTGGATAGACAAAATGAGCATTGGACAAACTGGGAATTATACTAAATGAGCAATAGACCAAATGCATAGTAGACTTATTGAATATTATACCAAATAGAAACTAAACCAAATGACTATTAGCCTAAATGGTCATTAGACCAAAAAAAAAGTAGACAAAATGATTATTAGACCATGTGGATAGTAGACAGGCTGGTTTTTAGACCATATATACGAATAGACCAATTGGGTATCAGACAAACTGGTTGTAGACCAAACTGCTTCTGTCCTGCTGTGGCTCCTTGGGATAGGGGGAGCCTGAAGACATCAGGAGACTAGGTTTAATAATCCACATGTACTTTTTAGGCTCAATTTCTGGAGTAAAATAAGTCTGCCTTTATGTGTTTTAGGATCAATCATTGAGGGGCGTAAGAGATACTGTTAATATGTCAAATTGATTTGGCTTTTCACTGCGAAATGGGCAGCCATGCAAGTTATGAGAAATACTGATACAGAGTTTTTTTTTTTTAAATGCAGTTTAATTTCTTCCAAATGGGAATGTATTTTTATACAGAATATACAACCAATATTGTATTAGTTTGAATGTCACTGCTGTCATTTCCAAGAGCTTTCCATGAACATGATTATCTTCATTAATACTCTTTTAGCCAGATCATAGTATCTACACAATCTCCATTCCTATAGGACTGCATTATCATGCAATTCGTCGCTGTTTTCACGAAGTGACGGTAGTGAAAAAAAATTGCATTCACTTTGCGTTACGATTTTCCTCACTACCGTCACTTCGTGAAAATAGGGACGAATTATACACACGGTGTACACATTTGCATACAGGCCTTTGGTATACACAGCATCCACACAGAACAGCTAGGTTCTGTTCTCTCCCCAGTCTCCTGGGTAAAGAGTGGCAAATGTGAATTAATGACCATTTCTGTGCTCATGACAAGCTTTATATCTCTACCACTTCAAGGAGAAGATACTCATCATGCTCCTAGTCAAGATATACCAGTGGCAGACACGCATCCCATGATGGAAGGCATCACCGATGATGGAGAGGGGGACGGAGAGGAGGTGAAGAAGTCGGATGATGATGATGCGGCTGAGATGATGGTCGTGAAGCTGGATACGGAGGAGAAGACGCTCGGCCGTGTGAACCTAGAGGAGTATGACGATGCTGACCCCAAGGACTTTGGAATAGAGGTGGAATCAGATGATGAGTACAAATATCGTAAGTGTCCTTTCCCCTCCTTCAGCTAAATTTGGTTACACATTTTACTCTATTTTACTTTATTTGAGATATTGGACTTTGATATTGGAAAGAATGGAATGGTAATTAAGGTATGTGAAAACCGAGTTCAGGTAAATGATGGATTCAAATAAATGAATATTAGATTTCATCAGCTGAGACCCATAAAGGCATGAGCTCTATTAGACATACCCCCTTTGGCCCTCTGCAGGAGATGGGAAGCAAGATCTTGTGACATGAAGATGAGAATTGGTCTTCTTATCTTGTTGCACACAGGTGGATTACATTGATAATTGAAATGATAAACCCTAAGTGAAAAGGCTGTCTCACACATTTTTGAAAGATTCACACAGACTGACTATGAAACACCATCTGCAAATGATATGTTGTGTAGTGAGATAAACTTACACCGTTAAACTTGTGTATAAAGACCATTCAAAGGAGATCTGTATACCTCAATCTTTGCATAGAGTTGGTCTTTGCATATTTACAGGAAACAGTGCATGTGAAACATTGCTCAAGGGGAAATAGTGTGTTTATTTACAGACAGGTATTCTCGCAACACAGCTGGGTGCTATAATCAGGGATGCTAGTTTTCAGGCAAAAGCCTGAATTCAGGACCTGGTGATTTATTTTCAGGCCATAGTTTAGGGTTTTTTTTGTACAAAATAAAAAATTCTAGGTAATTTTCAGGCCCTCTGATCAATTCTAACTGGCATCCCTGTATAATTAGGTTCACTGTACTATTTACATTATTCTTTGATAGTCCCACCAAGCAACGACGACCTGCCCAACCTGGAGAACCTGATAGGCACCCTGGAGGAGGGAGACAGTGAGCTCCACACGGAGCGGGAGCCACCGACCCTCTTCAACCGACCGGAGCACGAGCCCAGCTACCGCCAAATCTCCCACCTACGCCAGGAGCTGGAGGAGGAGAAGATCGACCCTTACATCGATCGCTTCGAGGACAACGTTAGGGATGATGTCCTCATGATAGGGAACATCTCCCTGGAGGAAGTCCAGGTATGTCAAGATTTGCTGGATTGCTCTTATCAAAAATTAATAACAGAGAAACAGAATCATTACGAAAAGCTCTCGTTAAAACTATACCCCACCACTATAACACAGGAACCAATGTAAATCAGGTGGGGTATCAGGACCCCACTTTCGTTTCTCTCGTTAAAACTTGGACAGAGCCACTATACCCCACCACTAACACAGGAACCAATGTAATTCAGGTGGGGTATCACGACCCCCGTTTCATTTCTCTTGTTAAAACTTGGACAGAGCCTTGCAGCTCTGTGAGAGATTATGATATTGGATTGCAGCTGTACTCTTCATCATCTTACGTAATAGTGTAAACAAACTCTTACTGCATGGGGCTCTGCCTGAAAGGTAATGATAAGTAGGAAATAAATATTTTACTTGTTTTAAGAGATGTTCATGTCCAAAAGTCATTCATAATTTAGATGAAGACCTCAATGAAAGTTCGAACGAAGTTCTCGGAAGGGGGGATACATTGTATAGCGCTAGTGTTTACTTTAGGCTTAGCTCTAGAAGTTGTGATAGTCAAATGGGGGTTTCAATTTTAAACGAGTTTTCGTCATGGCATTAATAACAGAGTAAGAGTAACAGAGCCCTGTTGTAAACCAGCCTATTTTAATGTTTTTAACAATGTTTTGTAATGATTTTTAGCTGAACATGTTACTCTGTATAAAGATGCGAAATAAATAAATAAATAAATAAATAAATAAAAATATCTTTCTTCAGATTTTGAAATGTGGAATATTCGCTCATAATACAAAAAAAAAATTATGTTCACGCTAGACAGTGGAAAAACACTTACTGCTCTACCTTGTGGCATATGACATCAATTACCCAACTTCTCATGCTCTAGGTCTTTTTGTTGTCAAAACAGCCTTCATATTTGACAGCACCTTTTGTACCTTGTGGGAAGTTTAGTAATAAGAAAACCTGGATTTTATGGAAATTATCAGGGTTGCTAGATATAGCCAGGTGCTTTTTACCATATTATTGTTTTCATAATTTGGTTATGATAATATAATATTAATATGAATAGATAGATATATAAACATATATGTAGGAATAGACAAGATGACATCCTAAGGACAGGCATCTAATATAGATCCAAAAGTTTGTTATTTTAGGAAGACAAGTTTCTTGTAAGGGATGATCACTCTGCCTTTCAACAGAAAGAGGCACAGCTTACTAGGACCAGGCAGGAGGTTATCCTACTCAAAGAAAAGCAATCATTGAACAAATCGTCCTTTAGAGCCAGAAGGGCATGAACTCATATATTTTAACTCTTATCATGCCACAGGGCTAATCCCCATTGTGCCAAGTTTATTTTGAGATAATCTGATTAACGTGAATAGCGCGTGCGAAACACAAAGCACAGTGCAATGGGCATGAACAAAAACTGTTATTACGAATGCGTGCAAGCATGCGCAAGGCAGCGAAGCAATGGCTTGCTCACATTAACTCAGTTTTAAAGCCCTCCGAACAGAAGCATATCAATAGTGTCATTTACAATTTTTCTCCTATAGGAAGAGGAACGGCGTTTGAGAGATGAGCACATTGCCTATCAGCAGCAGGAGGCGCAGCTTGCTAGGAACAGACAGGAGAATATTCTGCTCAAGGAAGAGCGCTCCAAGAAGCATGTCACTGATGTCATGAAGAAGAAACGCAAGGAGCTCTCCCTGAGAGAGGTATGTGCGAGTACAAACAAAAAACACTTTTGTTATGCACCTGGTAGAAAGGTGTTCCTCATTTCTCTACTCACTACTGCTTGACACTGGAGAAATAGATTCTGCAAAAAAAACAAGCTTATGTGAGTCTCAACTTGTTTATTAAAATCCCTCACATCAAAAGATAAGTGCCTGTTACGTTTTTTCCACCTTTATATATTTATATATTTATTGATTTATTGTGCTCAATAAATTTGACAATTACGAGGCAACGGACAAAAAACATGTAACATCCAAGATCACTGCAACTTATAGCAACATAGTTATATCTTTGAACTTCAGTTAACAAGAGAGAGCTTTTTAAAATAGCATTGCAGCCTACAGTCATGACACCACATTGATGGATCAAGAAAAACAATATGAGAAACACAAAGAAAACTATTGAGTTCTTCATACAGGTAGAAATAATGTCAATCGAGGCATACATGTATGAATGGAAGATAACGTTTTTTCTTTGGTTCTTCTCCTCGTCAGGAGCTTAGCCTCCAGAGGGAGCGTCTGCTCCAAGATCAGCTCCATAAGAGCTTCAAGAAGGCGGAGAATCTCCTCAAACGATCTCTGGAAATACGCAAGGGAGAAGTCAAGGTGAGTAAGGGCTAAACATGAAAATCAACGCCTTAGTCACATCAATTGATCCAAACGGACCAATTCTTTTCCATTTAGGGTAATGTCATTTTTGTACAGACTATTTTTTGTCTGGTTTGGGTCTCAGTTATGTTATTGAAGTATTATTATAATTAAAGGGGATCGATGGTTAGAGTGTCGATGATAGTGAGATGGTGTTGATGATGATGATGATGATGATGGTCGCATATGTGGATGTGGTAATTGGTTTTAAAATGGTTTTGTGTTGAAATTATTGGTTTTATTGTTTGTATTGATGATGTTGCTGTTGTTTGGACACTGCTGGGGTCCATTTGTAGAGGAGTTACAACAACCCATTTACCTGGAGGGTCATTTTGTTTCCACTATTACTCAACTTCTATTTTAAGTGTGATAAACATCAAAATATATTATTTTAAAAAAATAGAGCACCATTTTGCTTCAAAAGCAAATGAGCATTCATGTTATAACTCTTTTATACATGTAAATGGACTCATGGTGGTGATGACTGTTTAGTTTATGTTGTAATTGTTTAATTCTAAAAGCAGATTTTTTTTTTTTTTTTTAATGTGAATACTCCCTCCTTGTTTCCAGACTATGTATGGTGACCTGATGATGGCTGATGGTCAATACGGCGGGTCAAAGGGTCGTCGTTGGAAAGTGGACTGGAATCGAGCTCCACAGCCAATACAGATCAAGCTCAAGTGTCTCAGAGGAGTCAAGGATAAGCTACCTGGTAAGAAATTACTAAGCTTATCAAACTAGAATATTATTTTTTATGGGATAAATAGTTTTTTGTTCTTCCCACAAACGAATGAAATCACTCAGAAGGGAAAATTACAGAATAGTTATTATTTTTTATTTTTTTATTTAGATTTCAACTTTGTATAGACTCTTTTATACCTTTTATTATCAAACTTCTCCAATGTAATTTCCTCATTTGTTTTATGTTTATTAAAAGCCATTTGATGCCTGTGTGGATGTCCCCTTTAAAGTATTGACAATGTTAGTAATACTTTAGTGATGTTTTTATACTCTCATAGGTCATTCCACCCCAATTTCTAGGACTACAATGGTAATGAAATGCACATAGTTGATATATTACTGTTCTCTCCCCACCTATGATCACTGCTTTGATTATTTATGATTAATATTTTCATTAGGTTTTAGTTAAACTTAATTTCCTTCTTATTCTTGTACTCAGCTGGACGATTCATCTTGATGACGTCCCTGTATGACCGTCTGGGTGGACACGTCTTGCGCTGGTCAAACCTACGCGGTCAGGAGTGGGCTGGGTCTACACTGCCCCTCAATCACGATGGACATTTCTACAATGTAGAGATTCCGGTGAGGAGATATAAGAGGGAGAGAGCAAGAGAGAGAGAGAGAGAGAGCGCGAGGGGTGGAGGGAGCTGATCTTATTGGTTGTGTACTTGAAATTTAAAGGAGTGGGCTGCATATATACACTGTGCCTCAATCATGAAAGACACATTTACAATGTGCAGATTGTGATCGAGAGACTAAAAGCAAAACAACTTTTTTGCACACATTATTACATATTTATAATCATTACCTTAAGCAAATGTAGAGATATGGTGTAGAGTAAGGTAAAATAGTATACAATGTATATTGTGATATTTTGATTTGTATTTATTAGTCATACTAAAGTATTCCTTACATTTGTTTTCTCTTTTGTGGAAACTTTACAGACTTTGAACTCTTGGTTTATACCTTGGTAATCTTTAACATCCATAATCATTAAGATGAAGTTTGTTTAAAGCAGAACTACACTTCCTATAGCAACTTGCGCCCTCTATATAGCAAACAATGCCTAAGTGTTACTTGTTGGTCTCCCATGATCGACTTTTTCTTATGTTAATTGATAACTGATCTGATGAGATAACCGCCTGTCAGTTACCATGCAGGGAAGTCTAATCTCTCCTTGCCAAACTAGTGCAGACAGGCTTTAATAGCTTTAATTACATTCAATCGTACATCCAAGGCAATTTCTAGATTGTTCCCTGCCGTCTTTACCACACAGATTGATCAGAGCCAGTTCACCGTTTGTCCATCCAAACCGGACATCCGTCCTGGCATGGTCCTGGTGTTTGAGCTCTTTCTGCTTCGTGGTACCCTCCTACCAGTCGATAAGGTGGTGGCCTGGGGCGTCTTCCCCATCTGTGACGGCCAGTTTGAGGTCCTTCAGGGAAAGTAAGTTTGATCAGGAGCAAGCGAAAAGTGATCTTGAAAAAAAAATCCACTTTATATTGCCTTGGAATTGTAATCAGGGATGCCAGTAATTTTCAGGGAATATCCTGAATTCAGGCCCTGGCGAGGTATTTTCAGTCCATAGTTTAGGGGTTTTTTGGTTAAAAAGCTCATTCTGGGTGATTTTCGGGCCCTCTGATCAAATCTAAATGGCATCCCTGTGGTAATGTAACACCCCCTTTTTATTTTAACTTCACAAAAGGTACTTTAGATTTAGCATCCACACCCTTGGCATGTAAACCCATTCATTTTTCTGTTAATGAAAGTCAAGGACAGAACTACCAGTAAATTTTATAACAGGTATATACCATTGGCATTTGATATGCTACAGACATAAATTTACCCCATAGTCATCCCAAACAATCAAATGTTCAGCTTCAGTGCATTTTAAGAATATTTAGAATAATAATCATCCAGAAATGTGGATATAAAAGACTTGGTGAATATACATCTCACCTTAAATTTATGCAGGAATTTCTAATCAGAAAGAGTTTTTTTTTAAACGTTGATCTTTGCTTTTGTTTTGTGAAGGTATATAACTCCCATGCTGAGAGGGGAGGTTGATACCCGCATCGATCGTCATGAGACAGTTGAGAAACTGATGGCTTCTGATCTGGATCACTGGCTTTGTAACATCTACTTTGAGATTGTCAGATTACCAAGGTGAGCCTGATGAGATAATGATGAGGAGGAGGAGGAGGATGGTGATGGTGATAAAGATGAAGATGATGATAGTTAGATGTAGTAGTTTTTTTTTTTTTTTTTTTTTGGGGGGGGGGGTTATTTTACCTGACTGCTAAGAAAACATAAATGCTTGTTAGTAAGCAACCAGAGGACCGACAGCTTTAGGTCCTTTCCGATATTGATAATGAGGAAGTAATGATGATGATGATTACTTTTAATTTACAAATTAATTTTGCATAATGAATCAGGATATCACTTGTAATCCTGGTTTGTAATTGTGAAGATTGCCTTCTGTCTCTAGCCGACGGATTGGTGTAAAGAGTATTGCAACTTCCTGATATAGCTACAGCAGATCACAAATAGCAAGATGACATGTCTTACTATTGAAAATACATTACGTTTCATATAATAATGATAGTAATAATGGCTTCTTATATAGGGCACATGTCCGCCACGTCGTGAAACTCCTGGCGCTGCCCGATTATTACCATGGCTTTAATTAGCAAGGCGTCCATTAATTAATTCCTGCCAGGTACCCATTTCCATCACCTGGGTTGAGTGTGGCAAATGTAGATCAATGTTCTCAATCGTTTGACTGAATACCCACTGTGGCTGCAGCGAGGTCGATACTAAATCAAAAGTCTGAACAAAGGCTTCTACGGGAATTCTTTGCTTTAATTGGAGTAATCATGTCGTTCCAATTCATTCCGTGAAAACTGTGGATAAATCACAGATAAACAATCATAAGTACAAGTACATCATAGCATAATCAATATAGCAATAACACAGTCTCTATTCTAGTCCATCTGCATTAAATGGGTTTACAAAAATACAAACTCACACTACAAGTATCACAACTAGACTTCACTATAGCATGTTTAAACAATTTACTAAACAATTATAAATTCTGAATTTCTACTTAGTGCTTCAGCACTCTCATAATATATCTTCAAAGTATTTAACAATATCTTCACTATCATCATTGTTCTTCATATCAAATCAAATGTACATATTAAACCAGCATGGACTTGCATGTCTTACACTACATACTAACATCAACATCTCTCAGTATGAAGTACAAAATACACACACTAATTTACCCTTTATGTTTCAGCATTCATAGAAATAGATTCAATATACAACAAAACTAACCTCTTTGCCTGACATAATGACAAAACTATGACTGAAATCCCCATGATGCGCTGGCAAAAAAGGGATTCTTGGACTTCAGCACAACCATGTTAATGTAGCCTTCTGAGAGTTTGATATCAAGTGATTATCAATAGGTGGCGCTATACTAGGCACCTTGCCTGAGGAAGTGCTATTACAAATATATGTGTATTCTTGACATGCATCAATAATACAAAAAACAAATGACTTGGGTGATAACGTATTTAAGTGCAACTGTCACAACATGGCTCCTTTAAATTAAGAATTAATTTACCCTAAGAACGCCATTACAAATAAACAAAATGGTCGACAGCCTCGGCTAAATCTAAAGCATCAGAATACAATTGTAAAGCTTAAAACTTGAATAGCATAATATCTGTCGCTTAAATTCAAAATCACACAAGTACGAACAAAGTACTCATGTTATATATAATACACTGTCCAAAATTGGAATTAAGTACATATAATCAAAAAGAAGCATTTAAATGCCGAATCTTAGATTATACATCATATTCTTCAAACAGTAATCCGTAGTCTCTCGGACCCTGAAAAAAACAAACAAATGCATAAATTAGATATCAGTATTCTTGACTTGAGTCTTTACTTTGCACATTCACTGAATCATTTTCTTCGTGAATTAAAGTTCAAATTAAAGGCAATGTCTGAAGTTTGATCATTTAAGTTAAAGTTCGTGAATAAGAGTATCGGTCTTCAGTCCTGTGGCTCCTTGGCCGGGAATTCTTCCTGGTCTACGTTCGGAACAAGAAGAACTAGCATGAATAGGGCGATCAAGGTAACTTGAGGTACTCTGTCTCTCCCTCACTCCACCCATGTGGCTCAAAGTAGGTACATTGCATTTGAAGGCAATGAAGTCACACTCCTCTCTCAGAAGAAAGTCCTTCACTCTTAAGATGCCACTATTGTCTATGAAGGGGTCAAGATGATGCAGGTGACTGGTGGTCTCACATTGATGTCTTCTTTCTCTTTCATTGTGGCGTCTATCACCATCTACTGCTGTCATTACATCATTAAAGGTCTTCCTTTGAGTCAACTTTATGCTCTCCCTTTCAGCTTGCATGTGTAGTTCAGCAGATAGAGGTTCCATCACAACATTCTTGACACCACCTTTCTCTTCTCTCTTGTCCCATCTTGCATAGCAACGTCTCGGTAAGTAAGATCTGAGGCGTAGACAGTTTGCCACAGCTTTCTTCGCTCGACACCAATTAGAGAGATGATCAAATCGTTCCAACTCGAGCTTGTCTACTTTCTGCACATGGGTCCGACTTTTCACTTCAGGATCTTTAGAAAGATCTACAGCTTCTGGCTTTCCCTCATCTGGAGTGAAGTCGGCCTCTAGAAGTCGATCAACATGAAGAGGTGCTTTCTTTTCCTTCATGGTCGTTGAATGAGTGAAGTTCATTTCTGATCGATGTCCATTTACATGTAGCTGTACCTCATCAGGCACAAATCGTACTGTTGTGTGATGGCTCACACCCAAAGGATCGTTGTGATCATCGGCATGCCCTGCCTTTACTGTGCCAACAATGCTCCATCCTAGAACCGTCTGGATTGCGTATGGACCTCTATCATCAGGAGAGTGGATAACAGCACGTGGAGCAAGAGCCTTGGCACAGTCGTAGCCGATCAGGAGCCCAATCTCAACATCTTGAAGAGGAGCTATCATGTCAGCAATCCTGGACAGATGTTTGAAGGATCTTGTCATGTCAGGAGTAGGTATGTTATGTCGATCTGCTGGCATGATGTCTCTCGTGAAGGTAGGAGGGAGGCTGATGATCTTGATGGAGTCGTTGAATGCTTTCACCTGAAGACCAGTCACCTTTTCACTTGCAATTCTCTTATTCGCTTTGGTCATGGTAGAGAGTAGCAGGTTTACCTCTGTTCCTTTAATTCCCATCGCCTCCTTAGTTTTTGTGAGAATAAAAGATGTGTCAGATTGAGTGTCCAGCAAGGCATACACTAATTTATCCTTGTCGCAGGACTCGTGAGACAGCCACACAGGAACGATCATCGTTGACTTTGTAGAGTGACTGGAATCAGAATTCGATGCATAGGATGTTGACTCCAAAGTTTCAATGTTATCCCTTTCTCTGTTTGTAGCATCATGTCGTCTTTCTTTCCACTCATCATCATGTAGAACAGTGGGATGCTTCCCTCTGCATGAAGAGCATGTATTTCTCTTCGTACATCTCCTTGAAATATGTCCCTTCTGAAGGCAGCCGAAACAGAGTCCATTATCCATAACAATCTTTCTCTTCTTCTGCATCGTCTCTGAGTTGAAGGAAGAACATTCAGTGAGGTGATGTCGACCCTTGCAGAAGATGCATGAAAAAGTCTCTCTCTCAGCAGAGCCATCTCTCTGATTCTGATGATTAGTTTCTGTTTGCATAAAGCTGGAAGTAGCTGATTTCTTCCTTTCATTCGAGGTCTGCAGAGATTGAAGAGATGTTACAGGGTCACAAGCTACTATAGCTTCTTCTTCAATGAAGTCGGTGAAAACAGAAAAGGGTGGGAATGTCCCCCACTCTCGCCTCCACTGCACGACCTTCCTGCTCCATTTCACGACCAACCAATCTGGGAGTTTCATCAGTAGCTTCCGGTTTTCTCTTTCATCATCAAGATGACTTAAGTGATGAACATACTTTGAAGCTGTGTCACACTGCTTCAAAAAGTCTCCAAGTCTCCTTAGACCAAACGCATCTCTGGAACCCACTCTTGGCCAGGAGTCTAGCTTATCACGATAGGCATTGGATACCACAAATGGATCTCCATATCTCTGGTCCAATACCTTCTTTGCCTCGTTGTATCCCGCAGCATCTCCAATCATGGAATAACCTTGAACCAGGGATCTCGGCTCACCAGTAAGGTACTTTAAAAGAAAGTAAAACCTTTCTTCGATGGGAATTCCTCGATGCTCGATTAAGGCGTCGTAGCTTCTCTTCCATGATGTATACTCAAGCGGATTGCCTGAGAAATGTCCGGGCTCCGGAAGAGGTAGTCTATTCAAGCAGAGCAGCTCCTTTAAACTGTTGGCAAGAACATCTTCGTTGCTGGGCTTTTCTGCTGGCTGATGAATAACTTCATCATCTTTCTTGGTTGCAGGCTCCATGGGAGAGACGGGTGCTTGTTCGTTGACCCAGTCTCGAACTCTTGGTTTTGCTGAGCGGGAACCAGACTTTGAAGCGTGAGTTCCGCCTTTTAACTGTATAATGACTCGCATGGTCTCTCTCATCAAGGATGAGTGGTCCTCTTCCATCTCATCAAGCTTATCTTCGCCATCATCTTCGAGATTTGCTGAAGGATCTAAATCAGCGAGCTCTTGTTGTACAACAATGGCTTTGTCCATAGCTTCCTGTACTTTGTTGCGGGATTCCTTGATCACCTCAGCTTGGATGTCGTCTTCTACAATAAGCTGACGATGCTTATTTGCCATTCTACTCCAAAGTCGATTGGCGACTTTCCATGACTTCACTGCGACATCCACTTGGTGCTTGATACCCTTCTCTGTGGGTCTTCTATCCCTTTTGCTCTCTTCTTCTCCTTCAGACATGATGACGGTCTCTAGCTAGTGATGGAAGATTCACTTCTTGGAATGAACCACTCTGCTCGATCTGATGTCATCACACAAAAGAGTTTTCACTGTGGCTGCAGCGAGGTCGATACTAAATCAAAAGTCTGAACAAAGGCTTCTACGGGAATTCTTTGCTTTAATTGGAGTAATCATGTCGTTCCAATTCATTCCGTGAAAACTGTGGATAAATCACAGATAAACAATCATAAGTACAAGTACATCATAGCATAATCAATATAGCAATAACACAGTCTCTATTCTAGTCCATCTGCATTAAATGGGTTTACAAAAATACAAACTCACACTACAAGTATCACAACTAGACTTCACTATAGCATGTTTAAACAATTTACTAAACAATTATAAATTCTGAATTTCTACTTAGTGCTTCAGCACTCTCATAATATATCTTCAAAGTATTTAACAATATCTTCACTATCATCATTGTTCTTCATATCAAATCAAATGTACATATTAAACCAGCATGGACTTGCATGTCTTACACTACATACTAACATCAACATCTCTCAGTATGAAGTACAAAATACACACACTAATTTACCCTTTATGTTTCAGCATTCATAGAAATAGATTCAATATACAACAAAACTAACCTCTTTGCCTGACATAATGACAAAACTATGACTGAAATCCCCATGATGCGCTGGCAAAAAAGGGATTCTTGGACTTCAGCACAACCATGTTAATGTAGCCTTCTGAGAGTTTGATATCAAGTGATTATCAATAGGTGGCGCTATACTAGGCACCTTGCCTGAGGAAGTGCTATTACAAATATATGTGTATTCTTGACATGCATCAATAATACAAAAAACAAATGACTTGGGTGATAACGTATTTAAGTGCAACTGTCACAACACCCACCTACGTGTAGATAATTGATTTGACCTTTGACCTTTACCAGGTACCTTGCCGGTCAGAAGGAATACGAGGTGGAGCTGCAGTTCTCCTCCAACCTGATTGGTTATCCCGATAGAATCAAAAGAGCCGAAGAAGCCATTGATGGAGAAGAACCCATTCCTGGATCACAGGTCGACATTGCTTCAACCAATGGTAACATAAGCCCACTCCAATGAATAATTATTCTAACATTCCAGTTATTTGTATGGAGTTGTTCCTTTTTCATGGAAACAAATAAACACTAGTAGTTGGGTGAAGATTTTTAGCAACCACTCAATGTCTTAAACTTTAAAAAATGTGGATATATATAGACTGAATATTGGCCTAAAACAGTATTTTGAGGAAAGTGTTTGAAGTTGGGGTTTCAAGATTGAGAGAGATCATGTTTTTTGGGCCGATCGATGCTGTTACGCATTCATGTCACCAATAGAGTTGTCATCTTCCATTTTGCTTTAATGAATTTTTTTAATCAAAACTTTTATGTGCATTCAAAGTTTTTGTAAATAATGAGAATAATGAAAACATTTATATTATATGGAACTAGCCTTGAGGGAGATACAACACATATTTCCCAAACTAGACTCATATTGCCCCGAGTCAAAGACGAGGGCAATATGGGTCTTGTGAGGGCAATATATGTGGTATCTCCCGAAAGTTAAGCTAGTCAATATTGTTATTGTTATCCAAATCAGACATCTAGAGCAAATACATAAATCAACCATGACAATCTCATAGAACTGAAAAAACTTTGTCAAACCAGCACTGTGCATCCAGTACTCGACAAAATTTTCGATACACTGCAAACAGTGAATTGAATTGAATTGAACAGTGTACCTAATTTGTTGTGATTATTACGTCACAATAGAGTGTGCGCAAAGTGCGCAGGTTCTCGTACGCATAATAGATGCGCAACGAAAATGACAAAATACGGTGCGGTGAATATGAGACTTTATTTCCTGCTTTTTTAACACGTAAAGTCCATAGGCTTTTCATAAAAGGGTAATATGGTCTCATATTTACTGATTAGCTCTTTTAGGATTACAAGAAGTGTAATATGAATTTGTAAAACCACTGCTCAGATGTCTGATACAGGTAATAATTAGTATTAAAGCCTATGAGCATTCAGTTTTGTAATCATTCTATCTGTTCATGTCTTCCAGTTGATAACCAATCAGCTGCCGACGTGAAGGGGTCAAAGGTCAGCTTTGGCCTGGGCAGTGAGGAAGGAGAGTCATCAACTCCGAGAGAAGGTAGCAGCAGCGTTGGTTCAGGGAGCATCAAGGCTGGCCTCACTAGCAGTGAGGGGAGTATGAAAGATAACGACAGCCTTAAACTGGTAAGGAGGAGGCAGATCCAGATAAATAAAATAGTAATACTTAAAGGGGTGGGTAAAGGGGGGAGGAGAGGGGGTAATGGAGTCATTTCCTAGAGCATGTGGTATTATAGTGGTCCTGGTAGTATCAAGGATGGCCTAGTGAGGGCAGTATGAAAGATAATGACAGCCTTATAATCAGGTTAGTTGTTTAAGAGTAGGTGTAGGAAGCGTTGAGTGTAAGGTACTAGTCTTTGATGGAATGTTGCAGCAATTTTGCAGATTGGGAGGAGGTGGACTCAAAATGGCAAGTATCAAGGCTGACCTCACAAACAGTAAAGAGAGTATGGAAGATAATGACAGCATTAAACTGGTAAGGAAGAGTTCTAGCCAGGAAAAAATGATATTACTGGAAGGGGTTGGGGTGGTGTTTAAAGGGGTGGGTAAGGGTATGGAAAAGAAGAAAGATTTGATTTTTAAGATGATCCCCCATCTCTCTTAGGATCAAGAATTCAAATGACTTGCAACCTCTCTGCCATTCTCAACATTACTTCTCTTCCCATTCTCAACAACTCCACTGTGTATGAACCATTGACCTCATTATTCAATTCAATTCAATTCAATTTATTTCATTCAGTTAAAAAGACAACATTTCATTATAACAATCAGCTATATAACATAAAGTACACATTGAGAACATATTGGACAAGGACATGAAATCAACTGAATAGATTGCAACCTGAAAGGAAACATAAATCTTATAAAGGTTGACCCTTTTTTGATAATAAAAAATATGAAGTATAATCGTTACTAAACATTATACAATACACAAATTAAGACAACCGACATACACAAACAAACAAATAAAATATGTCTTGAATTCAAATGATTATTGCAATCTACCCAAAAGAAATTTGTTATACCTACATATGAATACATTTACGCTAGCAGAATTATGAATATAATGATCAACCTCCCTCCCATTTCAGGAGAGTGAGGCCTCCACCAAGACCCTGGAATCATCGGAGGCCGGCGTCCGTTTCCGTGGCACCAAGCAGAAGGATGAGGATCCGCCTCCGACCACCGTGGGATCCAGGAAGCTCCTGGGCAAGTACGAGAAGGCTTACCTCGACACAGACTCGGAGTCCGATGATGATGACGAGGACTACATCAAGAAGAAGGAAGATGGGTTCCGGGCGGTCAAGGGAGAGCCTGGCCTCTTCTACAAGGTTTGTTAACTGGAGGGTGTTTCACAAAGCCTTTTTTCAATGACAAATGACAAATATCAGTGACAAATCTGCTGATAACCGATCAGGAGCAAGGATTTCAGTAGCTTATAACAAAAACTGTCATTTGTCACTGATGACATGTTTTGTGAAACAGGGCCCTGATGTTGTGAGAATTCTGTGTATGCTCAAAAAAGCTCTTTTTTAAATTAGGCTACCTTAAAAGGAGGGAAATGTGAGTTCAATAGCCAATTTGAATAGGTGTGATCTTATTTTGTTGCAAATTTTATTTTTATTTTTTTTAAATAATTTTAATTGTTTCTTATTCATTGAGAACCTTGTAGAGCTATCAAATAAGAAATAAAAATTGTTTCACCCATGTTTCCCCCCCCCCCCTTTTTTTCCCTCTCTCTTTATCTCTCTCTCTCTCTCTCTTATCTTTCTTTCCCCTGCTCTTCATATTTCTTACCCTGTCTATTCATGTTTTTTTCTTCTTCCGTAAATTTCTCCTACATTTGTTCTATTTATCTCTTATTTAGTAGACATTGTGATCATCACAGTATACATGTATGTATATATGAATTAACTTAACTACTGATGTTTAAAATTGCAATACTATGTATATTCTACCCACACAGCAACATCTGAACCCGCCACAGACCGACTACATCCGTCGCATGTACACCATGATCCCCAAGACAACTCTGCTCAACCAGCGCAAGAAACGCAAGAAGCTGACCCATCTCGAGGAGCTAGCCACTCATGGCTGTGCTGTGCAGTAAGTCTTCTACCTCTCCTCTACCCTATTGAAGTTTTCATCCTCATGAGGCCTGTCCCCATCAGCTTTAGTTTGCCAAACAACCCGCTATTTTCAGACTCAGAAAATTATCTTAAAGCTCAAAATTGTGTTTTCACCAGACCGATACCCTCATCGCAAACTAGCTCTGACCAGCGCAAATGAGCCTGCTATTTCCCAAATAGCGGGATATTTTGGTAACAAGACCAATATTTCTTGGGATATTTTCTAGACCAAATATCCCGCTAATTGCAACTGCGGGCCGATAAAAGCGCCGATCAACTGGTTAATTTGCGATGGGGATAGTTAAAATAGCGGGTTATTTGGCCAAATTGAGCTGATGAATACAGACCTATGATGCGGTAAACTGCTACGAAATGCTGCAGTGCAATGACATGTAGGGTAATGTCATATTTCAGTAACAAGTAAATTTGTCAACTAAAGCCCCTTTCACACCGGATCTGCGTAGAGTTGCGTAGTGTTGCGTACCGACTACGCCGAAGTTAAGCTGCGTACTCATGAATAAATTGATGCTTCGGCGTAGTCCCTGCGTAGGCTTGCGTACGATCGGCGTAGGGTTGCGTACGATCGGCGTAGGCACCGCGTACCTACGGCGTAGGCAATTGGCGTAGGGTTACGTACGCTTGCGTAGGCCTGGCGTAGGGTTACGTACGCTTGCGTAGGCCAGGCGTAGGGTTGCTTACGGTTGCGTACGGTTGCTTACTATGTGCTAAAATGCCATGTAAAAATGCAATAGACGCTTTGTAGGAGCTGCGAGTATAGCCATTGGTGCTTTATAAACATATATAATAAAAAAAATATGTTAAAAAGACAGTTCAATATGAATTGTGCAGTGTACAAAGAATTGTTCATGTTATTACATGTGAACATAACTTGATCTTAGTATAATAATAACATTCTGACAAACTGTGACATCCAAGGGGCAGTGGGTCTCTTTTGCATGCGTGAAATAGGGCTGAAAGGCCAATTTGCGTAAAATAGTGAGTGTAGAAAATAACATTTATAAACCTGCCATAAGTTTTAATAGTAAAAAGTGCCATTTGGTACACGTTTTTGACCGTTAAATTTTCAGTTTTTTAGTAGGTTTTAGCAACTGCTGAGGTTATTTTGCAGTAATGTTAATTTGTTCAAGATTTTATTTTCCAAAAAAATGCAGACATTTTTGTTGATGTACTACATTATTGTACTATGTATCATTCAAAAAGGTAATACATGAACTTTCATTTGATGAACATTGCAAGGTCACGTGATGTGATTTGATACCTCAAAACGCCAACAAAAGAGAGCGCTTATTTTGATTTGTGAATAAATGTGGACAGAAGTCTGATATTTGTTGACTATATCCCTTTTTTCACTCATTTGTACAATATCATTCCATAACAGTTTCCTGAAAGTTTGAAGACGATATCTGTTGTCCTTGGTCCGTAGCGTATTTGTGTGTGACAATGTAATGATATAAATGTTAGTCATTTATTAGATTTAAAGAAATACTTCTGACATACACACTCACTCAGTCTCACTAACAGAGTGAGACAAAATTATTTCTTTGCTCATTTCAATTAAACAAAATTATATTACAAACATTCAAACAGGACCACAAACGTACACACAAGCAAACAAACCGACACAAATACATACAGATTTCCACAAAACATAATAACATTTCGCGTGAGGCATCAGTTTATGAATCTTATCTCTGTTTATTATATCAACAGCCTTAGATGTCAATTATCACAAATTTAATAAACCATAACAAAACAAAACATGTCAGTCTGAAATACCTTGTAGTAGTACAAACAGAATTACAAGAAAGAATTATCAATGATCAATACCTGCCAAGTTTACATCCAGGTATATACCAAAAAAATCTTCATACCATACGTTTTTAATGCTTCGTCGGAATGGCGTAGGGTAGCGTAGGCTTGCGTAGGCTTGGCGTACATTTGCGTAGGCTTGGCGTACAGTTGCGTAGGCTTGGCGTACAGTTGCGTAGTAAAGTCTACGCCGAAGGTACGCGAAAAAAATTAAACATGTTTAATTTTTTGCGTTCATCTCGCGTACCCATTCGCGTCCCTCCGCGTACAGTTGCGTAGGGTTGCGTACGATCGGCGTAGGGTTGCGTGCGATCGGCGTAGTCGCTACGCAACTCTACGCAACTCTACGCGAGGCCCGGTGTGAAAGCCCCTTTAGGGGCCCATTTTACCCAACTTGCAATGCATTTACAAGTATAATGGTTTTATTTACAGCGGCAAATTTTAGGCATTTCAAAATGAAGTGTCTGTTTGCACCTATATTGTAGGTAACCAACCAACTTTAATAGATGCACAGCGGCTAAAATCTGAACTGTGATTTTGTTTTGTTTACCCCCTTGCATGTGGTATATATTAAGAGATTTTCAAAGTATGAGGTTAAAAACTCATGATATGCTCAGGTTCAGTGAAGTTTAACAAAACTATAGTAAACGCTTTTGTAAAAACAATACATGCAGGGATCTGTTTCATATCAATGATATCAGTAAAGACATCAGTTGTTGTAACTTAATATTGATGAACTGTTTTTTTTATTTTTTGTTACAAAAGAGATCAGAAATATTGACAGATATTGACAGCTCTACCACAATAGGCTGTGGAAAAGTTTGTGAAAGTGCAGAGAAAAATGCAATGGGCTATTACTTTTATCTCTCTCACCATATATACTTCCATGTATCGTTGCCTTCTGACTGCATAATCTTTGGTTTCCTCTCTTTAGAAAACCGTTCTCTACAAAGGGCCACACGGCTCGTCAGGGTCACGAGAAGGTGCAGTACATCAGTCGTCAGCTCTTCTCGGAGCTGGGTCTCTCCCAGTGGAGGTCCAGGGAGTTCTGGACCCTGATCCTCCTCCTCTGTGTCATCTTCTTCGTCAGAATGTACCTCCATTACCTTGGCCAGTGGGCCTTCCTCAACATCATTGCGGTCCCCATCAGCACGTGAGTTCCCTTGAAGCCCCACTGCACTACTTACATGTATAGCTATACTAGCTTGCGCCCTCTATATAGCAAACAATGCCTTATCGGTGCATGTTGGTCCCCCATGATCCTCTTTTTCCTATGTTAATTAAGAGCTGATTTGATGAGATAGCCACCTGCCAGTGACCTTGCAGGAATGTCTAATCCCCCCTAGCCAAACTAGTGCAGACAGGCTTTAAAATGATAAATCGACTTTCAGGGATTGCCCTTGGGGCCCCCATCGGTAATTTTAACTTCAACATTAAATCAATCATGCTAAAAAAAAAGGGTAATAACTAATTGTTACTCTTTGTAAATTTTATGTTTTTGTTTTTCGTAACACAAGAATGAAAGGTGGAATATCAGCATGTACATAATGAAAAGAGATATGTAAATTATGATTACTATAATTATCACATCATTCACATAAGATAAAAACAGCACTTATATATGATTCATTTCCATTTAATTGAAATTTCTGAAATGTTAAATTACATTGAACCTTATATCAGACATATATCTGTACAACTGCTTCATGTCTATATGTAATATCCTGCTTTGGCAAATCAATTGTGCTGGGCCTGTGATATATCTCAGACTCTGTGTTACTATGATCAATCTGTACCCTTGTCTATTTTGAATATGAAATAAATGCTGCTATTACATTCTCCTTCTGATGCAGATTCCAGTTCCTGCCTTACACGGTCAGTCTCAACTATCAGGCCTCTCTCCTGCAGACCAAGGAAGAGGTGGCAGTGGTCATCCTAGGACCGCTGACCAACGTCGTGTTCCTGTCTCTCCTCGTCTTCATCTGCTGGCTCTTCCAGAAGGTGGTGGGAAACTTCCCGGACCTCTTCTGCAAGTTTGTCATCGTCTTCGCCATCATGACCCTGCTCGACCCCTTCCTCATCGCCATCATCGATGCACCACTTGGGGTGAGAAAGCGAGTCCCTGAAAAGTATCAACATCTGAAGTCTTAGTTAAGAATCTAAGCATTGGGCTGTGATATTTTAGAATGAGATTGGATAGTTTATTAGATATTTTCATCCTGTGCATACATGACTTAGTCATTCATTGATTCAATGGTGAAAATCATAGTCTTGGTTGCACCACTTGGGATAAGATTAAGAGTCCTTATTAAACATTTATTAAGATCCTAACTCTCTGCTTTATGGCATAGTTTCTGATCATGTTTTGGAATATGATATCTGAGAATAAAAGCATTAAATATTTGAGCAATATACATGTATTATACAAGATGAGAAAGTCATAGAGTTTTATAATTTTGATTGCTCATTCATTTGCTGTTCATCAGACAAAATTGCAAAACTTCCTGCGTGTTTACAGAGAAATGAAATCATTTTACTCTTGAAAATCAAGGCAGTATCTTGTTATCATCGACAGTGAACCTCATACTTTTGCTGCTATTAGTGAAATTGTGTGAATGATAAAGGGTTGTTAATGGAGTAAAAGAAAGGATCTGTGCCAAATTTTTACTCTTTATTACTGTCCTAAAGACCTCTTCCACCTCCGTCTGTCTCCTAAGCCATCACTATTGAATAAACATGCGACATTTCTATTCACCTTATCTCCAAACAGCGTTATGCCAACACCAACAGCGACGTGCCCATAGCAGATGCTGCCAAGCTGTACTACCATTTCTACCGTATCCATGACAACGGCTTGATGGGTATTCTGTTGACGGTTCCCATCATCCTCTTCCTCTCCTTCTTGACCTGTGTCATCTTCTACATGTACTTCTTGCGGTAAGACTTGTACTTATCAGTCTTTTAGAAAGACAGGAGAAGAAAGAAAAGGTGTAGCTGTACTTACCCCATACTTCCATGCAATTATTTTAACACAGTTTGGTAAGAACTAGTCTAGGTAGTTGAATGATCATGTTCGATTATTGTAACTCTGTCAACATCACAATGTAATTCTTCCTTTTTTTTACTGTGATTTACGACAGACCAGACAACTTTAAACAAAAACAATGGAAACAAGATATGTAATTTACAACAGTACTAACAACATTTTGTCTAAATTATCCTGTTTTTAATTTGCAGAAGAAACATATTTTAAAAGTGGCCAAAATGGAGAGAAGAAAGTAACTCAGTCATCTCCCATGAATTTAGTTCCTATGTTTTTTTTTTTTTAATATTTTCATTTTTTGTGTATTAATGCAAGTGGAATGAATATTAGTAGATATTGCCAATTTGAAGATGAAAAGGTGATTTGTTGAGAACCTTTTGAGCTCTGTAAAAATGACAAAAAAATATTTCTTAATTTTCTCATGCATGACAGGCTGCACAACAAGGGTCGTATGTTGGACAATTAGAATGAATATTACTATTGCCAATTTGAAGAGTAAAAGCTGATTTGTTGAGAACCTTTTGAGCTCTGTAAATAACAAAAAAATATTTATTAATTTAATTTCTCATGTATGAGTACAGGCTGCACAACAACGGTCGCATGCTGGACATCTTTCACCGTCTCCATGCTGCGGAGGATGATTTCTTCATGCCCTTTGACCTCGAGATCAGTAACCAGGAGCTGGCTTACATCTGTAACAAGGCAGAGCAGTGGAGGGGTGAGGAGGGAGAGAGACGCAAGGTCGCTGTCTATGATTACATATGGGAGGAGGAAGACGTGAGTATTATACAAATAATACACGTCAGTGAGAGTATTAGTAAGAATTGCCCACACGAGGTACATTTGGACTTTTTTTAAGGTACCGAGTGTGGGTAATCTTACTGATGCCTGAACAAAATGTGTATTATTTGTTATATAAGATTATGTTTTATTTGTTTTATAAATTAATGTTTTATAACATGATTTTGATAATGACCGGTCATTTACCATTGGATAATGACCGGTTATTATCCAAATTACGCGTTAGTCAAAATAAATGCCTGGTCACGTGTACGCTTTCAACCAATCATTGGATTAAGATGTATGTCATCATATTATAACAAATGATAATTATATCACTTTGATTGATTAATTGATTGATTTATTAATTTGGTGGTTTAGTGATTAATTCAATGGGAATAGATTGATTGATTAATATTTGTATTGATAGATTGATAGAACAATTGATTGGTCTTTACAAGGTGGGTTAATTGAATTCATAAAGAAAATGTTGGTTGCTGCATTGGTAGGTTACTGGGTGTGTTTGGACCAGGCACATTTCGAAATGCGCAGTAAGGTGAAGTAGGTACATGTAGAAGCAAAATCACACTCCCCAGATCAAAGAGCAATTTTTTGTATGCACTATGAGAGAAGATGCTTCTACGTATATAGTGACTTTGGCTAATTGTCATACAATCTCCAAATCAGTCAAAAGAATAATAATTATCACACATTCCGTAAAGGTATAAAACTTTAAAAATCACATTTCCAACACCTAACCCCATTCCTGACATTGCGAACTGGAGTTTTCCAGATTTTATAGAGATCAGGGCCCCGTCTTACAAAAAGTTACGATTGATCTAAATCAATTGCAAGTTTGCATTCTCCTATCTGTGTTTTCTTACATAAGAAAACACAGCAACCAAAAATTTGTGATTGATATCAACTCTTTGTAAGACAGGGCCCCGATATACAGTAGTATGTGGATTGTTTGTATGAGACAAGTGACCTTTTCTGTTCAGAGGATTTTCAAGCAGACTAATGCTTTATAAACTTATCATAAGATACTACATTCAATAATTTGTTGTGTTTGTTCTTTGTAGGAGGAAGATAATCTTGAGGAGAGGCCTGGAAAGGATTCAGAAAAGCAGGATGGCAAGCGAGAGATCACCACTCATGTCTCAGTCCACACTCTTCACTTGGATGGCTTGCGAGAGCTCTTCCGACACTTCTTACGACTCCCAGATGGCTCCATTGTTGAGGTAAATACATCTATTAGACACATTAGCATGTATTAAAGACATTGTTTAACAATGTTTCCAGTTTCAAAAATCTGAGATTCATGGGTAGGGTGTAATATTGAAGCCCTAAAAAAATTGCGCTTCAAAATATCATGAAGTGCTTCAAAGAACTTAGTAAAAATCTTTGAGTGACCGGTTTTACCATACTCATTTTCCCCAATAGACTGTAGCGTTATAAAAACCATTAGGAAAATGTTTTTTGAAATTTCTAATTCCAATCATAAATATCTTGATAATCTGACATGCGACTGGCTTGTAAAAGTCATGGGATTTATTTCTGACCTGAAGGTTTTTATGATTATGATTGTAGCATCAGCTAAATCCATGATTTTGTTTCGAATCTGAGGCAAATTAAGATTCCTAATCCCTTTAAAGCGAAGGAGGGAAATATGTGAAGGATGAGCAAATCGCTTGTGGCTTTGCCTATTTTGTGATGTCTTTTATTTTGTGAACCACCCATTATTCCAGTACAGCAGAAATTTTAGCCTACTTCATCTGCAACCGTGTACATTATTCATTTCATTTTACTGTAATGTAATAATTTGTTTGGATAAGACACAGTGATAAACACCAGACAAGATATATTCTTCTGTTCATGTTTGATGTAAATGCACATATTTTTTAGTTTAGAGCTGTGTTCTGATGTATCTATAGTTTATTGGAAATTACATCCTGGCTAGGGTACAAATCTTTTTTTGTGCTTTGATTTAATATTCCTCCTATGGAAACATTTGGAATACCATCTTAGAATTACTAGCATTTTTCCATTTCTTTATCTTCTAAATCAAAGAAACCAGATGAATGGATGTTTTTGGCTCACCTTAAACTAAAAATGGGCTTTAATCATCCATTTTAATTTCAATTTTATCTAACAGGTGTTTGGTGAAATGGGCGTGGTGGGACTAGACAAAGACCTCCGTGCTGCCCTCCAAAACCAGGCCTCTGGTCACGAGAAATGGGCGGGGTCGGCCGAAAGCATCCACCTGCTTTCCCTGGACCGGGCGGGGATCAACCACCTCCGCCCCAAGACACAAGGAGGCATTGGATCCCAGGACCTACTCAACATCCCTGGGACCCCTTCCCCTTCCCTCCGGAGGAAGGGGGAGGCAATGGGGATGGGGTCACTGGGAGGGGGATCCAAGATGACCTCCCAGCCTTCGCTGCATGTGCCTCGTAACCTTGGAGGGGCGTCGCCCACCAACAGTGACGTAGAGGAGATGTAAGAATGTGATCAGAGTCTAGTCCGCACGCACAGACTCTCATCTGTTACTGAAACACAATTCTATAAAGTCTTAAAGCCTATCTGCATTAGTTTGGCCAGGAGGGATTAGACCCCGCAGTGAGGTCACTGACAGGTGGCTATCTCGTCAACTCAGCTCTCAATTAACATAAGAAACGGGACCATGGGGGTACAACGGTCACCGTTTAGGCATTGTTTGCTATATAGAGGGCGCAAGTAGCGCAGTCAGGCTTCAAAGGCAGTCAGGGAAGAGCATAGATCTGTCAGTCTTTTACTGTGTCTTTGTCAGGAGCAGCTCAAGTATAGAGCCTATGGGGCTCACTAGACCGCAGGCATAGTCTCTTAGTTCAGACACTTTATAAAACAATACAACTGACAAAGGTCTGTGCCTGCAATCTAATCAGAGTTGACCTTTTTTTTCATACTTACCACCTATTGAGGTTGACCGCTTCTCAGAGAATACGCACTCATTCTATTACCGGTATTCAATTTTTTAACCTTTTCACCCATTTTGTACAAAAATGTTACATAATCTGTACATTGTATGTATTGATTTTAATATTCTACCGGTATGACATCTCATTTTTTTTAAATTAGTGTTGTCTTAATACAATCTGTGTGTTTGTGAGAGAGAAGAACAAGAGAAAGAGAGAGCGAGAGAGAAAGAGAGAGAGAGAGAGAGAGATGGAGAGAGAGAGAGAGACTGACAGACATAAAGAGAGAGATAGACAGAGCAAAATTTCTGTGAGACATGTGGTAGAAGAAGTGCGATCTTTTTCAACTCTTTTAAATACCCGAGAGTGGGAGATAAAAAGTGATTAATAATGTACACTGTAATAAATAAATACTGGTATCTAATCAACTAGTCTTTCAGATTTCGGACAAATTTATCTTTGTATATATTTTGCTATAAATTCCGTCCATATATGGAGTGGTTCTATGTCTTTCCTGAATTGTATATAATACTGATGAACTATATATTGTAGAGATTTTATTTTGATAACTGATACTTGAATCGTGTGTAATTCTCTATATTGTGAGCTTAAAGATCAATATTTTGTGTACATAGACATCCTTTTAGTAGACATATTTATCTTCATGCACTGTTTGCACATCTGTGCTGTACTAAGTGCTTGTGATTAAAACAAACTATATCAGTCATATAATAGTGTAAATACTGTATAATGTATATGCATTTGTATGCAAAACAGCCGTCCATGCATTCTGACCACCTTGATTTCTGAGCCTTATATGGAACAATGAAATTATAATTATGCCTTTAATGCAAATTTTGAGGATTATTACATAACTTGTTTATAAGAATGAACAATTTTGTAAACTTTTTTGATGAAATCTTTTAATTTTATGTTAAGTCTCTGTAGCGTTGATCATTTTATATTCACAGTAATTACTCACTATTGCATCTGAAACACATCAAATTTTCTTATTACACCTCAGTTCTCTAATCATTTTTCAGGTTGCTTGCTTGCTGTGTACAATCTTTTCATGTATATACCTATCATGTGTGTGCCCTTTTTTCTGTAATGTTAAGGTCAGATTGTTTTTCGATCATCTATTTTGAGCCAGAATGGCAATAACCCTGTGTGAAAAAGAGGAATTAACGCCCTTCTGGCTGTAAAGAGGTGAATTGTAAAAAATGTGTAAAAGAAAAAATTGATTGATCAAAAAACATGTAGACTTTGTTATTTGCAATTTTATATTTCATCTCCACGCTACAAAAATGGCCTATGAAAGCTCATCTTGCATGAGTCGATAGTTCTTAGAATAAAAGAACAATTTTGATCTTAAAGTGAAATATAAACTAAATATAAACAACCACAAATGATACTAACCTGACATAAATATTTATAAAAAATAGCTGAGTGAAGAAAAGAAAGATAGGCTTCATGTTTGTCCACACCACAATCAACCAGGGTGGTCCACCAACACAAATACAAACCTGTCAAGTTGAAACTTGAACTGAACTGATGTGAGATTAATGTAATAATAATAGCTAGTTCTTATATAGCGCTTTTTAGGACCGAAGGCCCTTCAAAGCGCTTTACAGATATATATATTATAACCCCGGTCATAGGATTCAGGCTTACCCGCACACAATGTATGCACATTCTCCACTCCCTCAAAGTCTCTCGTTGCCAGGGTCCAGGGCTCGCATAAGGGCTCTAGGGTTCTTGTGTGCTCTCTGGTGCAATCGGAGCTGTATTTTAGATATAATTTTTCAGAAATAATTTTGGTTATGAATGAATTTTAACCCATTACTGATTTTCAAACATGTAATGCCGAAATTCAAACACTGCAGCCAATTTTCAAACATGTAATTTTAAAATTCAAACCCGTTTCTGTTACACATTTGATGTAAGCACCCTGTGGAGCCATTCTGGGTCAACCCATGTTGGTTTTCTTGATGATTTTATGATTTATGTACAGACCACTCCACAGTATGTAATGGTTCCAATTATGTACATCAGATGAGTGAATCAGACCAACCGTTTTTCGGATTATTTCTTTGCAGCTTTGATTAGGAGTGCTTATAATTATCATTAATGTCATTGTACAATATCATTGTGTGATGTTCTGTATTTGTATTGTCGTAGTAGATTAAATACACTATCATTCTTTCATATGTTTGAGTCAAAAGTTATACTTCTATAGGTGTTTCAATACTAGTTGGCGATGATGGTTGTCGGAAGCTTGTGTGATTCTTGGTGCTAGGAAAGTCCTGAACAGTTCCCAAGAGACGGAGAGATGAGAGGGGATGTGAGAAAGAGAGGGATGTGAATTAAGAATGGCCCTATTTAAGCCTTATTATAAAATGTGCTTAACAAACAGGAACAAACGTGTACATGTACATCATAGCTTGATATACGATTGTTATGTTCACTGCAGTGTTCATAGTATTTTTAAATGAGATGATAAAATATATCTTTTCTACCTCAATATGTGGCTTCACAGTCGTCTCACAGACACATATTCAACAAAGATGCGACAGCTAAGCCAGTCCATTAAAGGTAAAGACCAGTAATGGTCATGCGATTGCATTGTGAAAGAAACGTTGTGGAATCGATCAGAAAAGGTTGATCATCTAGCATCTAGCATCTGCAAGGTTCTGGAATCATCAAAATGATAAGAAATTTGGCCCATTCTTCGTAAAGTTACAAGCACTATACACAGAAAGATGTATATGGGACTACCCTATCTCTCTCACACGACCATGAGAGAAATAAATTTACCAAATATATGAATTAGTAGGCGGTTTCCCGGCAAATTTTTTATCATCATGTATTAGTCAAAACATATTCTTTCACATGATTGGTAATGAGAGCTTCCATTTCATTTTTTGAAATTGGGGCGTTACCAATACTGGTCTTTACCTTTAATGCACCCCCATATTTCTCATCGAAACAAAATGTATTCCTGACTTAACCACACCACACAGTGACAACAAGTCGACTACTAATCCAATACAACAAAACTATAGTCTTCAATAATTCTTTATAAAAAATAAAATTTTTGTACAAAGATTTCATCTTCTTATCATCTCTTCTCAGTCCCAATCAATGAACGCTTTTATCCGATCACCATACAACCTATCATACAGGGTCAAAGTCTCATCAAACCATAACACATACGTTACCTCATTCCCCATACAACATAGTAACAACAGGTTGACTACTAATCCAATACAACAAAACAATAGTATTCAATATTGATTTTCTTTTATTCATTACAAAAAATATCATTTTGTACAAAGATTTCATCTTCTCATCATCATCTTTTCTCAGTCCCAATCAATAAACGCTTTTATCCGATCACCATACAACCTATCATACAGATTCATACAAAATAACAATAACAAAAGCATATACACATAAATTTGTATAAAATAGTAAATTACACAACTGGACAATGCTGTAGTACCAGCAGATCAAAATAAACACTATTTTTCTTGGACTTTCCAACATCACAAACATAATTTTACAATCAAATTGCACATATATACATATAATCAGGGAGGGACGACAGTGATATTCATAGTTTTCTTTACATGAAAGCAAAGAGGACTACCCAAAGGCCACCAAGCACCTGGGGCCTGTTTCACAAAACCAACGACAAGACAGTCATAACTTTATCCGCCAAGAAAGATGCTTTGAATCTATAACCTTACAATTTGAAAGCCACAATCATCAGGTCTATAATATCAATAAGACCGCAAATAAGTCATAAAGAGCATTGCCTTATCTCTATTGAAGAGCGACCTTGTCTTGTGAGCAATTTATAGCCTTTATAAGTTATTCCAAACCTTCCTCAAAACAAAATCATTGCAGCATATCTGAGGCTAAATAGACAAGCCACACGTACATAAAGAATAATGGTCACTTTTATTTTGTGCCTTTTCAAGAGTTCATCCCCAGAAAACAAGCATTAGGGAAAGTGGAGTTTGACTATCATTGCTGTAAATTAAATTGCTCTCGCTTTTTTTCTACATTGGAAGTCTATGTGAATAAAGATATCTCTCGAACGCAGCCATGCCCTTCGCTTAACATCACTCCTTCATCCAATGAATCAAGATTATAGCCAGAAATCTGACATAATACTTTTTAAATCATCAAATATCAATTCGCCAATACCTTAATTCTCTTTGCCCGTGAACAAAACATTCCCTCGTCTTTTCTCACTTTCATACATCAAATATCAATATATATATACAGTGAGAACTGAAAAGAAGTCACTAATACATTGATACTATACAGATACTTTACAGTAAAAATAGAATGAAGAAAAAAACATGTTTAAGAATACTGATTTTCAACATGAAAATTGCATGTGATGTGATTTCTGTAACTTGAAAAGCATACCATGTATTAAATTCAAATCTTGTCTTTGCTGTACTTGGTACCAGTTCAATAAACATCTGATAGAAATATGTTTTTTCTGCTCTCTCTACATTATAGTCAGGTATGATGGAGAGTGAAAAATTGTGAATACAGTTCAAGCTCTCACCAAAATCAAAATCTATATATTTATATTTGCTGAAATAAAAAAAATGATATTGCAAATTATAGAATGGCAAATATCCATGATAAAATCTAATAAAAGATATTGTGGAAGCTCAAAAAATAATTTGCACATAATAAGAATATTCCTTACAAAAAACATATGCAGAAACACACTTTGTGAAAGTAATGATGTCCAATACAGAAACATAATAGAAAGCACAAGCATAATCTATCAAAATAAACTATAAACCATGTACTATGCTAGATAAATGTACAAGGAATCTTTGCAAAGTGAGGGAAAAGATAAATGAATCCCTCCTAATGTAAATGCCCGTCATTCAAAGCAAGCAAGCAAAATAAATCACGTTCTCATATGCTTTTCTAGTTCTTGATAGAAACTCCGACACACGCAAAATAGTGATAGTAAAATATGGAACGGTATTAACTAAAAGACGAATAGTACTTTCTTTTCTTATAAAGATAATCCATGATATCTACCTCAACATTATGGACTGTTATGTTCCACACACATTTTACGACAAAACAACAAAATCAAGCAAAAGATTTACTTAAACTTTCATGCTTTCCTCCAACACAAATAAAACTCTCACCTTATCATGCTTGATTTACAAATGAACAATGAAAATCCATCATTCAAACTGAGCATCAAACTTCTGTAATTTGACAAATCCTTTATCTACTCTTCTGACCAGAACAAATGAGGAAGAACAAAAATTGAGTAATTATTCCAACTATTATCGATCAACTGTACTTCCCTGGAAGAAGTGCTTCTCACAGCTTGCATCAAGTTTTTTTTTTAAATTATCAAACTATACCCTCACAATGCTATAAGCATTTTGCTTTCATCAGGGCTAGTCATGAGACTTGGACAGCTTGGTTATGGTTACTGTGCACATCTCTTGCATGGCTTTGCAGCATTTTCAAGCAGCAACTTCGCTCAAGTTTTTTAAAATGGGAAGTTGGATGACTGGAAGATGAAAGGATGTCAAGACGTGAACTTGCAGCAGCAGCGGTATCTTTTCCTTGAAGTTCTTTATACTAAGCTACCATATTAATGATACCTTCCCCCAACCTACACAATCTACTGTCAAATCACACAGCACATACATGTAGTTGTACATCTGCATATATTGAGCTTTAGATGGGCAGTTGTAGTTGAAATTGATGAGGTAAACTGATGAAATGTTAAGTAGCGTACAATAAATATGCAGAAAACATAGAATTTGTACTAAGAAGCTGACAAAACTTGCCTGCATTTTTTTGAGATGAATAGATGGCCAACATAAATGCAGCACATGTAAAATTCATATGTATAAATGTCCATACATGTATAGATATAATTAATCTATAGGCAGCATATTCATTTATAATACCATTAACATATAGAAATCTTGCTGGAAGCCAGTTGCTTCCAATGAAATACTGCAATGAGAAACGCAAATGTTTTGTCAAGTCCAATATTACAAATACACATAACCCTCTGTATTGAACAGCTGCCTTTAATGATATACTGCTGTAAGTGAAGTGAATAAAATATGATATCCAAACCCCAAATCGCCTCTTCAGAATCTAGTCATGGAAGCCATACAAACACTCTGTGAATGTGTTTGTGGGTTCACATTGGATATCAAGTTGAGATGTTTTGCCTATTAGGAACAAGTTCCGATTGCATGTTTGATTGCAAAATTACATCAATTAAAAACAGCTTACAAGCAAATTCCACCTCCTGCATAAATGTGTAAATTGCAATCGTTCTTCAGACAGACAACAGACAAAAAAATGTTTTCCTGAGACATTAACAACATTTGGCAACATCTGTACTTGCACTGAAGAGACCTACAGCAAACACCAATGGGACGATCCGTTATTCCACGGTTGATGAAGAAACATCCACAGATTTTGAATACATGAATGGCTCCTTCAAAGACATGCAGTAGGCAATGTCTGTCGGACAGATGCAGCAGGGTACATATGCAGCAGTGTGGAGTCGTATTATTTCACAGCTGTACACGCAAAGGCTTCCCTTTTATCATCTGAAAGAACTCAAGCAGTATTCATATCATATGTTCAGAGCCTAGCTTTATCTTGTATCATTTTAAAGAATCAATGCCGTTCTGGATGTTAACATACGATGTCTTCTTTATTCCGGTTATACGTCTCACCATTTCTGTTTCTGAAAGCATTCAACATGAGTTGTAACAACTTGTCTCACAGAGATGAACATATAGATATCTTTGACGCTATGCTTTAACACTTATCTTGGTGTTTTATAGATGGCTTGAAACCCTCTTTAAACAGTCCATCCTTTATGGAGCTGCACATGGATGCTTGTCGCAGTAGTACTCCAGATTTATCCACCTGTATATAAAGACGATCCGTCTACCTAGACCATCATTTTTTCCTCTGTTCATATAGACTAACAATTTAGAGAGATGTGTGTACGTCTAGTCGCCAACTCTTTGTCTTCACTTGCTAATCAAATACGAGGGTCCGTAGTTCAAAACTTCCACTCTGAATCTTCCTGATTGCGACATTAAATGTCCGTCCCAGATGTATATAATCATATCTTAGTGATAGCTGTCTGTAACCTCTCAACAGCCATTACAAACACAGAGGCAGCTGGTGCCTTGTACCCTGAGCAGTCTTTCTACACCAGGGGGCGTTTCATAAAACTTGTCATCAGTGACAAATGACAGTTGTTGTTGTTGTTATAAGCTACTGAAATCCTTGCTTCTGATTGGTTATCAGCAGATTTGTCACTAATGTTTGTAATTTGTCATTGAAAAAATGCTTTGTGAAACCGGTCCCAGGTTTAGCCAAACTTGGTAGCCATCTTTGTAAGTACAAAATGACAGCCTGTTGCTTCAGGGTGGTGAGAGAAGGTCATCATCTGGTGCTAGGTTGGGCAGGGGGCTACGCCAGTAGGTGAAGCCGCTGTACTCAGCGGGGGCATCAAAGGCCATTCTGGTCTGTCGGTGGAGAGGAGGAAACACGTGGTCCGCCAAGTCTTTCATCCTGGGGTACCTGGAGGTCAAATAATTCAATGGAATTCTTTGTTAATGCTGGGAAGAATTGCATATCTATTGTTGCAACATAATGTTGTATATATCCCCAACCTGATCACTAGCACTCACCAGACAAAGTATAACCTTTTTTAATGACAATTTTTCCCAATTATTGCTTTTTATTCTGATGAGTATACAAAAAAGCTTTAGTCCTTTCATTCAAAGCTATTCTTTGATTGTGGAATACTTATCATCTCTTTATCTCGTTAGAGAAAATACTAAATTTGGTACAATTTAATAAATTTATATAGCAAACTGAAACTCACGAAGAATTTTATTTAGAAAAAAGTTCCATCCTTCTGATCAATTGCATAAATTTACCATACTGATAATACATCATGTAATCTTTGTATTTATTCTCCCTTTCCACTATTTGCATTTTCTAATCTTGTTTGTTTTTCTTTTACATATGCAGTAGTAGGTATCATATTTATAAGACTTTCTACTTTTGATCAAAAGCTGGACAATTCTAATTTCTGGATACTTACGATGATTGGAATGACTTGGTCATTTCGTGGGTGATCTTTCCCTGAGGGTTGATTGTGAAGATACGCGAGACCGGGATACCTACAGCTCGGTACGCCCATGTATCCTGTAAACAAACAAACAACCAAAACAAACAATAAACAAACTTAAATCAAGAGTAAACATAGAAACGCAATGATTGGAATGACTAGTTAGCCCAAGTGTCCTTTGTACACAAACCATATAAGGTAAATTTAGTATTAATTATTATTTTGTAACCTGAAGGCTGAATTTAGAAAAAATTCTGTGCAATCATATTAATTGTAGTCAAATAGATAAGTAAAAAGTATATTGGTGACATCTGCAGGAAAATAGTGAAGAAACAGTATAAAGAATCACTCATGTCGACTGACATCTGACAACTATTTGACAAGAGTGAAGACACCTTCCTTGGGTTTGAATTAACATCTGAAAATGTGTGAGCTATTTCCCATACACATCAAAACTGTCACAGGTATGGATTTGCCAAATAACTATTTCATATTTATATGAATGTTACATGAGCAATACAGGTCCGGGGACCCGTTTCACAAAGCCTTTTTTAAATGACAAGTGACAAATATCAGTGACAAATCTGCTCATTACCAATCAGAAGCAAGGATCTCAGTAGCTTATAACAAAAACTGTCATTTGCAACTGATGACAAGTTTTGTGAAACACACCCCTGGTCACTATTCACAATTTCTAATGAAGAAACAATTCAATATTTCAGACATATTACATCACCATACTCACATTGATTCTGTTGCCATAGCCTGCATAGAATGGCTTGTTGTTGGCTGGGAAGAGAGACTCAATATCCTTCAGACATTTGATCTTGAATTCCTCTGGCTTTCTGATAATCACCTCACTGTGTAAAAAGATGGAGAGAATTCAGCCACGGTTTAGAGCGTGCAATTCACTAAGCATATTATAATGAACAAGTATGAATACTCTCTATGACAACATTTTTGTTAAATTTATCAGAGAGTATGATGAAGATGATATCACCGGATATAAGATATAAGTACAGAGGGTGTTTAGACTTAAAGCCCCACTACACTACTTATAGTTACTTGCGCCCTCTATTCAGACAACAATGCCTAATCGGTGACCATTGGTCCCCCATGGTCCCCTTTTTCTTATGTTAATTGAGAGCTGATTTAATGAGATAACTACCTGTCAGTGACCATGCAGGGAGGTCTAATCCCTCCTGGTCAAACTAGTGTGGCTAGGCTTTAAATGTCAGTTTGAAGGGCTCAAAGTGAGAATATATCTATGTTTAGTGCAACAATTATTGAGGAAATTCAAGATTTTGCCGTATGAATGGCACATTTCAGTACTGTCCATTGGGTTTCATGATTTATTTCATCCCCACATCACCACTAGAAAAAAGTGGCCCAGGATCTGTCAATACGTTCTGTCACCAAGATCTGTCACCAGGGTCTTTCTGCCAGGCAACCAAATATTTATACATGCCATGCTTACCTATGGAATGCTTGGAAGAGAGAGCTGGGGTTGAGAAGCAGAGGGCCGTCCGGTAAGGAAGCCTTGTCCTGCTGAATACTGTTGAGGTAGCCCTTGGTCAGTCTGGCTTGACCGATGGCCCTGGACGACAGGTAGAGGAAGTTGTAGCCATTGAGCTTGATGTTGGAGTAGAGCTGTGCCACGCCGATGTGCGTCCAGTCCTTACCCACCATCGGCAGGATCTGACCGAAGACATCCGATCTGAAAGGAAACAAAAAAATGATATTTTTACTGATAAGCATTGACGTTACTTTATCGATATGCATTAATCAGTTCCACAAAATATCATCTTTAGTTTTAGTGCATTTCATTTTTCACATTCATATGATTCCAAGAGTAGAGGCCCTTCTGAAAGTAACAAGGGTCATGACATTTTGATTAATTGTTCCATTATTCAAAGATTAAAGACATGATCCTTTCCTCAAAATAACAAAGTAACATAAAAGTTAATGTCCAGCACTAAATGTTAATGATAATGTCAATACATGCATATCTTAATCAAATCGGTTACATATATACGCTAGTTAACTTTTTCATAATTCAACTTTACTGCTATGATAACAATGTTGATCAATGCAGGCCTTAAATTTCGTCATTTTTAGGGCAAGGCCAGTTTGGCCTCGAGTACCTCATATTTTTAAGGGCACCAAGGCCAAAATATTTTTACAAAAAGGGCATCGAGGCCAAAATATTTTACAAAAAGGGCATCGAGTATGAGGCCAAAAAATTGATTCTATTTTTGTTAGATGTCATGTGTATTTTATGAAACTTGTGCAGGATCAATTTCCCATGACTTTTAGCACCAGCTTCTTCACAGAATGTATAGAGGTCTACGGTACATACAAACAAGCAGGCGCGTAGCCACGGGGGGGGGGGGGGGGGGGGGGGGGGGGGGGGGGCACATGCCCCCCCTAAAATTTCCAGGATCGGTTGAAATTTTGTAGACCCCTTTTTTTGACCTCGATCGATTACATGTATGTGCCCCCCCAAACACCAAACTCTGGCTACGCGCCTGCAAACAAGGTGGCGGCCCGCAAGCCTTAGATTTAGCAGCCAGGAGCAAGGGGCAATTTTTTTTTTAAGTTGCCCTTTGCCACGGGAATTTACCAGAGCAAGGGGCAATTTTCCAAAAACAGATAGGCCGCTTATCTAATCATAAGTTCAAAGAGAGTCTACAAATGTTAATTTCACAATGTGAATAGATCGAACGATCAATTTAATAACTTTTTAATCTTAACAATATGAACAGGAAAGATTGATTAAGAACATCAAACTTGCACATTAAACAGTATTTTAAAGTAACTAAAAATATTGATGAGCAAATGAATAAATAAATTGTCAATTTCACAAACATCGAAAGTCAGAAGGACTTAATTGGCAAGTTTACCGGGCCGGGTATTCCAAATCAAAATCGCACCTCACACACAAACCTTCCGCCACTCTCTCGGTAGTACATGTAGGAGCAAATTTGAAGAAATTATCTTTTTAACTGTTGTATAGAAAGGTCTACATAGGCCTAACTAATGAAATAAGATGTAAAAATGTCCTTATAGACATTCGACAGCTGAAAGTGACACGCTCAGCTCAGTTGCGTAACGTGCATTCACGAAACCAAAATCGTTCCTCGCACACACACTCTCGCCACTTTTGGTGGGAAGCTGTCGGGCTGGAAGTTTGCCAGCGAAACCGATGCACCCTCGGAATTTTACCGGGACTCGAAACGTTCGTCTTGGGAAGCTGGCGGGGTAGCTTTTTGAAGCGAGGTCGGCTGGTGGCAAAATGAGAGTAACTACGATCGAGAACATCGTAGGTGTTCTTAACTTATTAATAAGATAATTCTAAATTCTATTTGAGATAAAATAATAAACTAGGCCTACAAACAAACCTCGACAGATCTCTAATGACTATTTGAATGCTTGTTTATTTCTCCATTTGACGATTTGTTTTCTTGATCCTGGCCTTCGATTTGTACGTACGTGCGTGCGTCAACAGCATGCACCATATGCATATCATGCGATCGCATAATACGTACGTACGTGCGTGCGCTAGCGCATTGCCTATATTAATAAAATACGAAGCTAGAAGAGAGCTCGTGGGCGGCAAACTGTTCGTGATTCGTGTATTTTTACTGTTCTAATAATTTATGGGCGCATTTTCACGGAAAACACTTGCGCCTTGCCGTCTAGTTTTAGATGATTATGGGCGCAATTGGTGGTTTTATGTGCGCAAATTTAAAATAAAAAGGGCACGTCCAGTTGGAAAAAAAGGCACGTCGGCCAGTTTGAAAAAAAGGGCACGGCCTTTTTGGCCGTGAATATATCTTTTTTTGGGAGGGCACCGCGGCCAGTCATAGGGGCATCGACGGCCTGGCCGTCGATGGCCGTCGATTAATTTAAGGCCTGTCAATGTAAAGCTCTTCAAGAATTTCAGCAAAAGAAATGTACGACAGTGGATACTATTTTAAGAACTTGCTGATGGAATTGTGCTCTTTTGGTACTGTCAGAAAAATCAGTTAAAACTTTAGACGAGCTTACTTGGTGATGGTACCGTCGATGTCTGAGATGATGATCTTGGTATTGTAGTTCCAGTAGTATATGGTACATTCACACACACTTGTACCCTGGTAGCGAGTTGTCACTGAATAGCGAATCTCATTCGGTCCGGGCTGGAGGTTCAATTTAGCCTACAGGAAACAAGATATGTTATGAGCAATATAAATCAAATGATACTTGGTATTAACCTTTTATCTTCCTTCTTTTTTTTTAATACCTTTTTTCTCATTTCTGTCATACTATCATCCTTCTCCCCATTTCAATCTGTTTTCTTTCTTCCATTCTCTCCTCTTTTATTATGTATATTTATTTCCTCTTTTCTATGTTTCTTTCTTGAGTTATTTTCTTTCTTTCCTTTTGTGTAATCTACCTCTACCTCTCTCTCTCTCTCTCTCTCTCTTGCTCTCTCTTATGTTTCTGTCTGTTTCTTACACATTTATCCTTATCGTTCTCTCATTTCTTTCTTTCTTGTCTTCTCTCTCTCTTTTCTCATATACACGTACAAGTAACAGGAGTATTAGAAAGAGAAGTAGGGTGCACAACTGGCATTAAAAGAGTAGTAGAATTATCACAGGAGAATAAATCATAGTACCGGGGATAGATCAAAGTTGTTGGCGAGAAAGGGTTCTGCGAGTAAACTTACCAGTTGTTCAGATGAGAGTCTGATTGCCTTCTTATACCTCTCCGTCCCTCGTCTCATCCTTTGTGATTTCTCTCCTCCTGTCATCTCCATCTCATCTGCAGAGTTTGGACCAGATTCCATCGAGTTCTTTCTCCGCATCATCCTGAAATCAGAATTAAACACCCTACACTCAGAAAGTTGTTCATGGTGCTAAAAAATATATATATTTTCAACTTTTTCTTGACTTCAGGAGGGAGAGTATTTTTTCCAGACCATTACTCATGATTGCTTAGTGTCTTTTGCAAGAAAATGCATGATATTCCCATCTTTCACACATACATGTATATCATGCTGAAACATGGATAATTATGGAGGTATAAATTAGGCAAGACATTCCAAAGACAAAGATGTTCTGCCTTCAACTATATTTCAGTGAAATGGGTACATCCTGGACATTTTAAAAAGCTCATGCAACACCAACACAAAAACCAACAAGACAAATTTAACAAAATGTACAAGTTGAGTACTTCCAACTAATCATGGTATCCTAAAAGATAGGAAAATTACAAGTGATGTGCTCAACAAGAGTTACTTTCTAACTCTTGGATGTAAATAGATTTAGTATTATATATAGATTCCTGCCGAGTACTCTTGGGCTTAGTATTAAATGTGTTCATGAGAATATAAAATTCACAGGAGATCGTGATACAGTGTAAATGAAGTTTACCTTTCATCATCAATTTGCTGTATCAAGAGATCATCCTGATATGACCCTGCTGGGAGCTCCTGTACAAATAAAAAACAACACATATTATTAAAATAAAAATAAAATTGACTGAATCATTTAAAAGTTGGGGATACAGAAAACTCAGCAGATATATTCCACAATCAACCAACCACAAACAAATTGATGTGTGATACCAAATATGCACAAAGGGCAATTTCACCCATAATAAAAGAAACATCTGAATTATTGTAAATTGTATAGTATCTTCATTTTTATTTTTATCTTACATACATAATATAGTACATGTATAAAACAGAGTATTGAGGTCATTTTCAAGGATATTATGGACATCAAGGAGTCATGTGGTGTACTTTAGCTCTTAATGACATAATTTTAAAAATGTGCGAGTCATTGTGACTTTCATGCTCTGAGCCCCTCTAAGGGTCCAGTCCAGCTTCATGGTTTACCATACCTTCTTTGGTGTCGATGGCTTGGGTGAGCTTCCCCAGAACCATGAGGTCAAACTCTTCCTTCCTTTAGGTAGATTCTCCTTCATCAAGTTGCTGGCAACATCCTGAGAAACAAAAAGGAGACAGTTCTTAAAACTTGGACTACCACAAACTTGTATTAATACAAATATGCTACATTACACGTATCGACCATAGAATTGACCACCGAGGGACTAAACAAACAAATCCTATTTTACAAAACGAGAAAAATTGTGTATGCAAAGGGGTCCTCATTCCCTAAAGTTTCATGCTGTGAAAATATTGAAGCACAGTACAAACCATTGGCAATAAAATGATTGAAAGTGATATGGGGAGAAATTCAATCTTGTAATATACTATGATTGATGGATATTAACAAGCAATCTGAACATTGGAATTTTAATTAGAAATACAGGAGTGAAATTGACATTATGAATGACAGGTGTGGAGGTGTAATCTACAATCTTATTGATTTGGAATGTGGGATGAGGGATGGATGTTGTTGATTACAGGAAGGGATGTTCATTACAGGAAGAGTAGTTTGTTACATACTTCTCAAGTCATGACCTCTGTGTTAGGGGGCTTCACAAATTAAAGTAGTTCATGGATTATAGAGGTCAAATGTGATTCTATCAATCCAATTTTTGAATAGGTTGATTTATACCAGGGGAGATATGGTGTTAAAGATACTATGTCCTTTTTGCAAATGGGACGTAGTACCTTTAAGTCCTTTATCTTGGTAAAAATGAAAGTGAAATCAATAGGCCATTTTTGTAATGTAATCAAATTTGATGCACAAATCTTTGATAAGTGCTTCATTTCAAATGATTTCATGCACCTGTTATGAATAATTGTATTTGGTCAGAATGCCAATAGTATACATTAGTTGTTACTAGTAGGACAAACATTATGGCTTGTCCTACCTAGCAAAACAGAACGTGTGCAATTCACATTCTGACTATTGAAATACAATCATTCATAACAGGTGAATGAAATAATTTACATGGCACAATACCAAAGACTTATGCATTAGATTTGATAACATTACAAAACATGGCCAATTTAGAAACTTACTGGTAGAGGTTTCTGGAAGGCAAGCTGTGAGATGATGACCGGTCCAGCCATCTGCCAGTTGAAGAACTTGTTATTGATTCTGATCACCAGCTTAGGGTTGGTTAACATGCTCGGGTCCTTGATGAACTCCTCGTAGGTTATCAGGTGCTTCTTGAAATGATCTGTTGGTAGAATGAAAAAATACACAATTGGCATGATGGCTCAGTGGTAGAGCAGTGGTCCCCAGTACGAAAACACGTCAATGCGCTAGTGCCCTTTGGTAAGGCATCAATCCTCATTACCAAATCCCTCGGAGAGGACTTAAAACCGTCGGTCCCCTTGTTGCTTACAACCAAACAATATCATTGATGTTAAATTAGTGACAGGTTTATAAGGTTGGAAATGTTTTCATTATGAACTAGAAAACATGACTCAAGCCTTTCATGTCAGACAGCTCATTCCTTGACAATTATTTGTGATACTGCTAATCATTTGAGTTCAAAATATTTCCTACATGGAATAGCATACAACAATGAAGTAGAGGTAAACATTTTGTTACATATTTCTCAGCAGCCCACTGCAATATACTTTATATTAACCACATATTGTAGCTTTGAAATATTGGCTAGCTTTAGAGGAGGAAAATCTTGTGCAATACATACAGAACTAACCAATCAGTACCATCCCATCAATAGAGAGAAAAGATCATTTGATAGTATTCAAATCCATAACATCTAATAACTGTATAATAACTCTCCTTTTAGAGAGCACTTACCTATTTCTATCGTGTCCTCATCTTCCTTGAGTCCCCCGCACAAAGAAAGCTGCATCTCTCGAAGATTCTCACTGAATACACAAAACATGAGGCATTATGAGTAAAGGAAGACCCTGGTAAAAACAATCTCATATAAAACATATAATGCAATTAGGAGCCAAATCCTGAATACAAGAATATGTTGGCATTCTAATCAAATTTCCAGCGGAACAAAAAGCTTTGTGGAATATTGAAGAAGAAAAGAAATCCTTTTTGCACTTGATTTAAAACAGCTCTTAATAAGCGTTATCTGACAAGGGAAACTGACAAGTCTGTACAGAACTGTACAGGGCCCCAGACTGTGAAAGGTGCCAAACCTCGATACACAAGTCCTTTGGATAGAAACTAGAGTTGTATGTTTCCTGCAAATTTCTGCTATTTAAGTGTTGTTTAATTTACAGGAGTGACAAGAGAGCACATATAGAAGCTCCAGAATATAATACTGTGCAAAAATGCTTACCAAGTGCACACTGACTTGTGCTCTCAAACATCCCAGACCCACAGTATGTCTAATAAGCCTACCCTACAACTATACAATCATCTGCTTACTTTCTTAAAGGGAGTGTAGCAGGACGAGATTACGTGTCTTTTCCCTGGCCTGACTCTGGGCCAATCGGGTATAATACTACAGAGGAGTATTTACGTGCGTGCAGCATACGCGAAACCAAAGCATGAGGTAAACTTTCGTTTCGTAAACGCTAGCTCGCGCTGAACGTTAATCAAGTCCACTTGTTTATGTGCAGTTGTCCAAAAGAAGTCGTAGGTGGCGTTAACCAGTATTTGCCATGCTACACCCCCTTTAAGTTTCAATAGAAATTCAGCCAATATCAAAAATAAAGAAGATGCAAATGCTGAACTTACTGTGTATCAAGGCATCCCTGCCCTGAGTCCATACTCTGTTGGAGATCTGATGCACTGTGATGCGAGTCGGTCGTGCTGTGGTGTGATTCAGAGTCGCTCACCATGACGGTGTTGGGCGACTGAGGTAGTGAGTTGCCGAGATCGGACGACTTGTCCTCGTCTTTGGCTTCCTGGATAGCCTTGATGCGGTTTGCAGGGACTTGAGAGCTGGTGGGACAAAGGTCATAGGGTCACTGGTTTAATATGGAAAGGCATAAATTGAAGGCATTTATATGTACATTATATTTCACTGTGTAGGGTTCAAACTTCAAAACATCTTTACATCTTGCTTTTTAGTGGACCCCTCTGTTTCCAACATGTATTTTGACATTTGTTGTGAATACTTATAATTGATTTGTAATGGTTTGTTGGAACTGAATTGAATTGAACAGGATTCAACAGAGAATGCTTTTTGAAGCACTTGGGCAAGTTATTTGTCAAAATATATTACAACCAGCCTGAAAACCACATTTACAATTTAGTTTTGCTTCAAGTATATCGTACTCGCTGCATCTCACCAGGACATTTAATGCTAATGAATTAGAGGCCTGTAGTGTTATTCTATTTGTCATCTTTTACCAAAGTGAAGAAACTTTAATTGACATAACAAATTGAAGTGCAATTTTTCGACAAGATTTGCATAGGTTCCTCCAGGTATGAAACTGACAAAAACTATGACAAATGGCTAGTCATAGTTTAGATTTGCGATGATAATTAAAGAGAAGGTTGAGACTGAGCAAAGGTTGAGTTCTGGGAAGAGGTGAAAATTGATTTGTGAGCGTTATCATTGTATTATGCAAGAGTGGATGCCTTAATATTCTAAATATGGCGTGTAACATCATCAAAATTGGGACAGATTTTTATGCCAAATGCTTGTGTAGTCCCATATACATCTTTCTGTGTACAGTGCTTGTTACTTTACCAAGACTGGGCCATATTTTGTATCATTTTGATGATGCCAGAACCTTGCAGTACACACCAATACTTATATGCTAGATGATCAACCTTTTCTGATCGATTCCACAACGTTTCTTTCACAATACAATTGCATGACCAGAACACAACTTTATCTTTTAATACACCTCAAAATGAAAGAACTAAAACACCATCCTTTGCTGCGATACCTACCTCTCTGGGAAGTAGAGTGCATAAACCTCTGGGTCCACCTCCTCTGAGGCCAAGTCCTGGAGGTACATCCCTTCCTCTCGTGGACCCTCATTCTTACTGCTGAAGATCTTACTCCAGATGGAGGACTTCTTCTCCTCCCCGGCTTTGCCCTGAGAGGTGGACGAGGAGGAGGGGGAGGTGGAGGGCTGGGAGTCGCTTCTGCTTTTGCCGTCCAATGGTTGCTACATGGATAAGATTGAGAAAGAACATAGAGTCAACGCGTGAACATATTGGCAGACCACACAGAAGTGCATGATGATACAGTCAAACCTGCTTTAGCGACCACCTGTCTACAGAGACGACATTTTCGTTTCCTTTGAAAATGGTTTCTTATTGAAACATGTACTAAAGGAACCTGTACATTTAGGCCACCTGCACATAAAGACCACTTTTCTTGTCTTTTCTTGTCCAAGGGAGACCAAAAATGTGGTCTTTATAGACAGGTTCACTATATTTCTACTTGGTGGACCTTCTGACAGACTCAAAATGACATGTCCGTTATATGTACAACGCTAGTATAACAGACTTTCCTTCAACACAATGGTACTGCTACATGTAATTAGTAGTTTCTATACAATACTTTGCCAGCAATTCTCTAACATACCCATTAAATAGGTAAATTAAATCTTTCTGTGATATATCTCCAACTTTCCTTTTCCAGGATGCTCCTTTTTGTATTTCTTGCCGGTACATGTACATGTACCTTGTACACAGCAAGAGTACTATGTTGAAACACAGATAGTCAGATACGTAGAAACTAATACTATCATAGATTACTTCCACTTTCATTAATTATTAATTTCATTATATGAATCAATCACAGGAGACAGGACTAGAGAATTGTATTAAAATTGGCAGTCAAGTGTTAATATCCTTTTGTAATACAAAAATCAACCATTCCTTTCCTTCACATTTAATAAATAATAGTCTCAAAGAATATTGATCAAACATGCATCAACAAAACCAAACATTGATTCTAATCACATCTATGAAAGCTAATTTGCTCAACTAAATGAACATAAGGGTCACAAAATTGTTTTCTTGTGAAAGTAAAGACAATTTACTATCAATGGCAATTTTAAAAATGCAGATCAGTATGAATACATATGCATATGTTGTAAACTCTCTTTGGCAAATGAATATGCATGCATTTGTCATGGCAGAACAAGATAGCATACAAATGGACATGATTTTATCTTAAATCGAGATCAAAATGCAACTGAATAAGAAAATCATGGCCAGTGAGAGAAAATAAAAACTAAAAACCTTTAAACAAAAACAAAAAACAAACAAACAAAAACAAAGATTTTAAGAAACAAAACTGAAAAAGAATCATTGCATTAGGAAATAAAAAGTTGAAACTATATTTTCACATTATGAATCACATTCATGCACATCACCAAAGTTGGCAAAAGCAATAAGCAGGCTCAAACAAGAGACCTAATAAAAATCTTGAGTTCCGATAGTGAACAAAAAATAAAATCAGCTGAGAAATAAGCATCTAAAAGCAGGTATATCTGGTTTCAATTATGCATATTAATGCAAGGGCCTTCTTTCAAATATCATAAAATTCTTGTTGTCATATTCTTATTACTTTTTTTAAAACAAAGTAACCGTTAATAAACAAGGGTTTTATATTTTGTACAACTTATTTTTTTAATCAAGTTCAATGTCTTCATACAGGTACATGTATTTTTGATAGTTTTGTACTCAGAACTCAAGATTTCCTCTGTAAAAACTCAAACAAATGCAGATCAAATGCAGCAAGCATGAATGTAGCAAGCGACAAGACATCAAGGCTGAATGAATATGTACCTTAGAGATGGATTCGGCAGCAGATATCTGAATACTTATGGTTGGTTGCGAGACCGTTCGCTATATAACATTATACACACGATGAGAGTGAAATGGATATATATTTCAGAGTTATGCCGTATGGGTGAGAGAATGAAATATCATGCGTATGTGGAGGTGACTGTTATGCATTGAAAAATAGCAGGTTAACCTTCCAATCCCACACTCTTAAATAATTTACATTAAATAATACATGTATAACAGATGTTTATCAATAAAATAAAATTCAAATAAAACCCTAAAATAGAGCATTCACAGATGATGCCATAAACAAACTAACAAAAACAAAACCTCCAGTTCAAACTGTATGAACCCATGATCCTTGTTCACTGGAGTTGTAATTTGGTAGCTGTAATGGTCCCAAATTTTATTTAAGCATTAGATATTAGAAGCATGGGATGAGAAATTGTGATGATGACAAAATTGCAAACAAACTCTACATGTTCACAATTGAAATAAATAATTCTATTTTTCCTCAATATCTTCATGTTTTCCCCCTCTGTAATTTATTGATTACACTTCTCCTTTACTTCCATCATCTACAATGTACACCGTACAATGTACACATGTAGTTGTTCCAATTAATTATAGTGACATAGCTATTACCAGAACTTCAGCTATTACCAGAAATTCACCTACACTGTATCCCTCATTCTCAATTACCATCACCTCCCCAACTAGTAACATGGCCAGTGCCATGACTACAAGAAGCATTATCATTTCCACTTTCACTTCACCCGTTTCAATTACATGTAGACATTATCCACACCTCGTCAGACACTGCCAGCACCAACAGCTCATCCATCTCCACACCATCACCATTATCATTGTACCACAAGCAATATCACCAATGCCATAGTCGTGGATACAGAGCTGTGCCTGAAAATTGCATTATTGGCTATTTGTGCATTTATACTTTACATGATAGAGGGAGAGAGGGAGGAGAGGGGGAGAAGGAGGGAAGAGAGAGAGAAAGAAAGAGAAAGAGAAATATATGCTGACTCACCTCTGGCAGTTCTCCCCAGTTCCACTCAAACTTGTCAATGCCAGCTGCCTTGTTGGCTTGCCTGAGGTTTGACTGACGTAGATGATCAGCTTCAGTGTCACTCTTTGGCGTGGATGGACGGGTTGCTTGGGGGCTGGGGTATAAAAGAGAACCAAGCATATTCGGAGGTCAATTACAGAGCTACATGTACTACATGTATATCATGTATTCCTCCAAGTAATCTGACAACAAAGACATCTAGATCTAAGTTGAATTTACCCAATGAGCCTGCCAAGATAGCCAGTTAAGTTGGAGCCCAATGGTGACAAAATAAGGCCAGGGCAAAAGGCCAGAATGGTAAAGTATCAGTGCTCAAAATTCAACAGGGAATGAAAACTAGCATCTGTAACCATTTGTAATATGGAACATGTATTTAATTTCCTTTAAATTACCTTTGCATAATCCATGGATGTGACCTCAAGTATGCCATTTTTTCCTACATAGTTCACTGAGATATGTTACGCTTAAGAATTTGGAAGAATATAAAGTAGCAGCTTGATACCAAACATTTGCTGCTGTAAATCATTCCCACATCAAGCTGAAAATGAATGGCAATTATAACACACTGTACCACCCCAATATTAAAGAAGAAATGCATTCATGATGAAGCCCAATGGTGACAAAATAAGGCCAGGGCAAAAGGCCAGAATGGAAAGGTATCAGTGCTCAAAATTCAACAGGGAATGAAAACTAGCATCTGTAACCATTTGTAACATGGAACATGTATTTAATTTCCTTTAAATTACCTTTGCATAATCCATGGATGTGACCTCAAGTATGCCATTTTTTCCTACATAGTTCACTGAGATATGTTACGCTTAAGAATTTGGAAGAATATAAAGTAGCAGCTTGATACCAAACATTTGCTGCTGTAAATCATTCCCACATCAAGCTGAAAATGAATGGCAATTATAACACACTGTACCACCCCAATATTAAAGAAGAAATGCATTCATGATGAAGCCTATCTGCACTAGTTTGAAAAGGAGAAATTAGACCTCCCTACATGGTCACTGACAGGTGGTTATTAACATGAGAAAAAGGGGACCATGGGAACCAATGGTCACCGATTATGCATTGTTTTCTATATAGAGGGAGCAAGTAGCTACAAGTAGGACAGTGTGGCTTTAAAACAAACCTGACAATTGGTGTGTAGTCTCCATCAGAGAAGACATGGAAAGGTCTTTGAGTTGGCGTTGTGAGATTGTTCCACTCCTGAGACACAAATTCATCGGCCACCAGGCTGACTGGACGATCTACCTGATGCTCGTCTTCCTCTTCGTTCCCCTCATCACCCTCCACATCATCGATGGGGAAGATGCCTTCCAACTCCTCATCGGAATGCTGAGAAGACGAGGTGCTGGATTCTGACATGGAAGCCACTCTTCTGACATTACTGTTCTGTGGCAGCGTCTTTTCGACCTTGCCACCCTTCCCGCTTCTCCTCCTCCGTCTTTTGGCACGTATCCTGCTTCTGGAGTTGTTGGCTTTAGATTCGCTTTCGATCGTGATGCTTTCTGTGGTGAGAGGGCTTGACCCTGAGAGTCTCTGTTCAAGCTTGGAGGACACATCCTCCTCTTGGCTCGACCCTGCTTCCACGTCTTCCACATCCTGTAGTGTCTTCAACGAGTTCTTTGTCTTTGTCAACTTCTTTTCTTTCGCTTTGCCCGACCCTGAGGCTTCCATGCTGATATCGCGAAGTTTTTCTCCCACCGACTGCATGTCCACTCCCGTTTCTTTACCGAGGGCCTGAGAACTGCTGCTCCGGAGACTGGATGAACTCATCGTCTTGCTGGGTGGTTCTGATTCCCGACTGCTCTCTGTCTCGGAGCGGGAGTGGCGTCCCAGCCTTTGGCTGTGAAGCTCTTTCATACCTTCTTTAAAGAGGTTCCCCGAGGTGGGGATAGGGGATGTAGCAAGGTGGTCTGGGACATTATCCTGCAGAAAAAACAAAACAAAAGAAAAAAGAAATATTATTAATAGATTTTCAAACCCATAAATACATATTTAGTGTTTACATACATGCATGTTTTTCATCCTACAACACTGCATTTCATTTAAAGGGATACTTGGTACTTGGTTGGGTAATCCCTTTGGCAGCTCACTCAGGAAGCTATACTAGGAAGTGCTGGAATGGTGTGTGGACAAGGCACTTGTTAATTTACAGTGCAATATGCTATAAATTCCAGTGCAAGTAAAAACCAAGCTGCAGTGGTAAGCTTAAATGATGCCATGACATATAAAAAGTACTTCTTGGTAGACTTTTTTGTTTCACAAATAGATTTCATCAGTAGTCATAGAAATTAAGGAGAATGGTTGTCATTGGCCATAAGAAAATAATGATAAGCATAACTGTAACATAAACAGTATGTAATCCTGATTGTTTCCATCAAATATAGATAGGTTTAGTCTGTCTGAAAACTGGGGTGCGGGTATGTGTATACGTGTTATAATATCAAAAACAAAACTAGTTTAGAAATTAACCATTGGCATTGTGGTAATGCAATCTAAACTACAAAGCAGGAAATTCCTTGTCCTTTTTAACCTTTATGGTTTTAGCAAGGCTAGATCGACTATGATTTCCTTTTATTGGTTTCACAAATTCATCAATGAAAATCCATAACGCCCACTTAATCTAAATCCAGAAAATAATCAGCTGTACAGATGACGGACAGAATAGATTACAGCTATCAATGATGAAATCTACATTGTTAGCATTGCCTTCATTATCATCAGCTGTTGCTTTTAACAGAAATTACATTATTTTTAGTTTGAATATACCTCTTCCTCTATTTCTTCCACAAAGAAAGCTTCACCGCTCTCTCCCAGCTTCATGTACAGATCGACGGGTTCCCCATTGATCTGAATATCAACCTGCAGATAAAGTAAAGAAAGAAATAAAAAACATTTTAACAAGAGTTTGTTTAAAATGCCATGAATGTAGTGCAATACTCTAGATAAATAGAATTACTGTGGAGAGAAATGCATTTCAATTTGCAAAAACTTGGGGTATTCCCTCCTTTCCTTACATCTTTTCCTACTAAATGTTACATACACTGTATCATCTGCTGAGAGTCATATCATACAACATCAAGTTAACACCCTTTTAGCTCTAAGCCGACATTATGTCATCTGTTTAGAGCCAAAAGGTCATTAACTCATATCACTTCAAATAGAGTTAGTACCAAATGTAGATCTATCGTACAGTGTAGCCTACATTTGTACATTAGTATGCATGAAGTTATGAACTGAATAAGCATGTCATACATGGATTTAGAATAATCCATTAAATCCCTTAATTGGGTTATTTACTTCCTGGCTATGTCTCAATTACGAGGAGACGCCATTTCCTCTCTCTCTTAATTTCACTCTCAAATACTCAGTTTCTTTATTCGATAAGGAATTACTGGTTAAATAAAATTATAATACACTTGTGTCTGTAATTACATTTAGAAATTTCCTCTGAACATGCTACTGGTAATCTAAAATGTCACAATGTTTCAGTTTCCAGACATTAATTATAAAAGGGTTGAATTTTGAAGTTGATCAAATCTTTCCTTGCACTTTTTTGTCGCGATGCAGACAGTGTATTACATTACATGTACACGGGACTGCTTTTTTAAATTAAGTTGTTTATATTTCATGTTTGTTCAAAATAAATTATTTCATTTCTATATTGATTTATATTTTTTTTTTTCTTTTTTTTTTTTTTTTGGGGGGGGGGGGGGAACTTAAACATGTATTTGCTGATTTGTGCAATCAATCTTTATCTAATGATATGACTTCATGTTTAACAAGAATGATTCACTTGTCATTATAATCATGGACTTTGTACAGAGCTATTGCAACATTGTGCCTTTGATTTCCTGTACACGATGTCCCTGTAGCAACCTTCATGTTTGTGATTATTTTCTTGATAAAAGCCATTGAGATAGGGAGATACCAGGTTTAATACTGACGTCATCACTTAGGATAAAGATATGAAAATTGTGCTGACCACTTGCTATTTGTTTTTAATGAATGTGCAAAAAAGAGCAACTTGAAGGGTGTGGATTTTCTTGCAGGGATTAAGTATACGGGAAGCCAACAATACATGTAAACTGTGAACATGCAAATTCTCACAATTTTTTTAAGAGGTCAAGATTCACAGACAAAATTACCAACAAATTATTGAAAACAAACCCTAAAATACACACATACATGTAAATGTGTCCTGAGTCTGTTTCACATCTCAAAGTTTCTGATTTGACTTCTCAAACTTGTCTGACTTTTCAAAATATTTCTGACTGTATAATAACAACAGTACAGTACATCAACAAAATTATGCTACAAATCTGGTGATTTTTAGATAATTTTTTTGTAAACTTACAATCTTCTCCCTGCTCCTAAGGACGCCCATCTTGCCGAAGCGAACGTGGAACGGAGAACAGACGAGGGAGCCATCAGGCTGCTGTACCACGATGACATCGATGGCACCTGTCAGCGTCGCTGGATTGATCTCACTGTAGAAGGTCTTCACACCCGATATCAAGCGACCCACGTAATTCATGGTGGCCAATTTTCAGTTGGCTACAGTCCGCTCATTCTACTGATTGTATTAAACCAGACTTGACTTGAATGATCTGGAGAAAGAGGGAAATGGAGTAAAGAACAGATTTAGAGTTGAAACATTTTAGATCTGAGCGCCTTCAGCAGTCTTTTAGAAAGGATATGTGCGCTTTATAAGTTGACATTATTACTATTATCATTATTATCTTCTAAGCTTCATAATACACTGAATATAGGATGTCAGCAGAAACCCAAAGTTTCCTCTCACTAAATCGTAAATGAACTCAACATAAAAAATTCCACATACAGATACTGTACACATGAAAGAAAAACAAATTGTTGAGAACATGTTCAGGTACATGTAGCAGGCCTTTGAACTTTGTAAAATGCATGTCGTCAATGTTCTAGAGTGACTGTGGATAAACATTAACAAGAGTCTGGTAAGCACTGGCCCCAATAGTTCATCCGAACTCCAACAATTGACAAATTTTAACGGGGGCCCATTGCACTTGAACCCCCTGAAAATGGAAATCAGACCCCCTTCAATACATACAGGTTAGTGTTGAGCCCTGTCATGAACACAAATTCAAACTGCAAAAACTTAAAATATACTTAAGAACCAAGAAGTACATTATCTACACCTGTACTAGGTGAAACAAAGAGATGACAATTGGTTGTTTGAAACATAGAACATCATTCAGAAACTCATCCTTACAGTAAAACACCCTTGCGAGTTGCGACTCTACAGTAAATCTACACAAAATTTCTATGGGGAATCTCCTTCTTGGTCAGCAATGTGTATCTTCCAACAAACTACTATCCGATGTAAGATCAGCATTGCTCAGAGTGACGCGGACAGGAAATAAGAATAGAAGCCGTTTGGTGTGAGGACATGAAGTCAGTGGTGTAACATCCTGTGTTGCAATCAATCGCTTCATTCAAGTGTGTATTGATCATGTGTCTATGAGTCATAGAATATTATAGAATTTCTGTGATGTGAAGACACTTGCAATTTATATCGCCTAGCTTAAAGAGATATTGTCAATTTATTTTTACGTTATATAAACCTCCTCTTCCCCCTGCTTCTTTTTGTTTTTTATTTTCCTCTCCTTCTCCTTCTCTTCTAGCTCCTTCTCCTTCTCCCCATCCCATCCCTATCCCATCCCCTCCCCATCTCCTCCCCCTCTCCCTTCCCCTGCCCCTCCCACTCCTCCATCCCCTGCCCCTCCCCCTCTGAATCCTCCAAAATCTAAGCTTGTAAAGGTCCTACCAAATACAAACATTTCCTGCTCTGCCTACAGCAGTTACATGTAATATCAGGCATTCATCAATTACAATTATGTACTTCACAATATGCATGTACATGTGTAAACGTGTATATAATTATGTAGAAACTAGAATCTGACTTGTAAACAAATAAAAAATAATTACTAGAAAGGAGATCATCAATCATGCTCGTACAAGCTTACCCACTGTATATCCTTCAGGATTCTGTTGAATGAATGGAATCAATTAAATTCATGCACCAGTGCACAGCATACTACGCAATATGACAACAAACCATTGCTTTGCACGATCTCCCTCTCTATAATGAATTAGTAATGCACAGGTCTACAGTATGCACTTGAACTCAAACTGTAATTTTCAAAAGCCTCCGTCTCTGTCTCTCTCTCTCTGCATGTGTCTCTGTCTCTGTCTCTCTCCTTGGCACCATGCCAACATCCCTCCCATCCCATGTACACAAACCCACCCACGTATTTGAACTCCCTGTGTAATCTACATCACATGCCTAGCCAGCTTGACATTTTCTATTGGATTGGTTCCAACTCCATTATTAGGCCCGTTCACACATAACAACTTGTGCAATTTGGATCGCGATGCAAAGATTGATTTATTTTTGTTAGAGACCGTTCACACATGTCAATTTAGTGCGAGTTAGATCGCGATGCAAATATATTTTTATTTTTTTATTTTGGCGACCATTCACAACACAAGGAGAATTCTCGCTCAACGGCAAGAATGTTCGAACTGCACGTGCGTGAATCTCAAATGGTGTATGCGCGCTTGGAATCCTGGGACTAAATGAATAGATTTTTGATTCTCAATACCATTCACACACAGCGCCCGGCAAACTATTGCGATTATTCTAAAAAATTATGCAAGACTTAGTGCGATTCGTGAAGATTAGTGAAATTATTCTGTCCACACACGCAAAAAAAATAAAATTGGATCTCGATGCAAAAATCGATTTTAAATCTCACCTTTTTTTCTGTATGTGTGAATGCCCCTCAAATGTATGTCAACCTTCCAAAAGGTGATGACACTGCTATGGAATGCCACTTGTCAATAATGCCGAGGTCACTAATTAATTCAGTAACGTATCGTTATTCCATGTACAAGCAACATGTAATGTACATGTAGTTATCTGCTTAGAGTCAAAAGGACATTAACTCAGACCGATTGGATTTAACACCCTTCTGGCTTTCAGTGATGTACATTTTGTAAGCAAGTTGAAACAAAATGTTGGATGTCCTCTTCTCTACACAAAGCCCCAAAAGAGCTCAAACAACAAAAAGAAAGATAAATTTGACAGTGGCTTAATTTTCACAAGTTCTACCTGCACCTGTAAGTTACAGTAACATTCAAGAGTCGAATTTCAACAAAATAGCCCACTTCAAACAATTTTTTTGAAACTACAGATGTATATTTCAAGTTGTCATTTACTAGGATGGCTGTTTAGTGCCAAAATGTAACAGCTGTCTTCCCAAACAATTATTGAATTAAGAAAAATCAGATTTTGTTGTGATCAGTTGCTAATTGAATCAATTAGCAACCAATGTCAGAAATTCAGACATGTAACCACTCAGTCACTTATGCAAGGTTAAAACGCACTCACGCATACAGTAGTCAACCTTACGTCTGTAGTACTGCCGAGGTTGCCCACAATAGGCAAATGTGTGTTCTCATTACTATTCTCATTTGAGTGTTTGACGATTCCATTGGAACAAGATTGCCAGCCAAAACAGACTGAAAATGTCACCTGACCAATGTGATACAGATTCAATTGAAGGAAATGTATGGAAATAAAATATTTTACAATGTACATAGTAAATACAGGTAGTATTTTTCAGGGATTTTTCCCCATCATCCTTTTTGTTATTGGTTTCTTCAACTTTAGAGGCCAACCGCCACAGAAATTGATACAGCTCCACTCGCGGATGGTTGGGCTAGTGATGTGTACAATACATGTAGAGCCTACTCTGATATTACGTTGGTTTTAATTAAAAGCAGAAAAATGAGAGAAACAAATTAGTGAAAGTTTGAACAATATCCCACTGAAGATAGGAAAGTTACGGGTATGCATTTTTGCATCATTATGCATCAGAGAAACCTAGGTCCTCTCTGATTTGGTCTGTACAGAAAATTCATAAACTTTCATCTTCTTAGTTATTGATGACGGAATAGTATAAAGAATTACAATACTCACATTTAGGGTGAATGTAAAGGGTATGTTATTTGTGGGGATTTTTTTTTGTTTTTTTGGACAGGTTCCGTATCCGGACATTCAACTTAAAACGGTGATTTGAAGAAGTTCACAAGCAACATTTCATAAATCTTATAAGTTTTAAGACTTATATTTAATAGACAATATCATAAAGGATAAAAATTCATGCAATTTACTGCATACATTTCATTTAAATCCAAAGGCAAAAGTGTTGGCATAATTTTTTGTTAAACGTCCTGACCCCTATCATACTTGCAGTTGTACCTAGCTCAGTTACTCTATAAAAAACTAGGGTATCGTTTCACAAAACAGTCATTTAGGTACAAGTTCACCGACATCCCATTCAAACGTGTGAAAATTTTCATGCACGTTTCAATCACATGTCAGAGAAATTGTACTTAAAGCCAGTATACTGTATCATGCATGACAGCTTTGTGAAACGCTGCCGAGATCTTGGGCAAACATAAAATGAGAAGCACAAAAAGGGGAGAGGTAACTAAAAGTATGATCGAAACAGAATACCGGTATAACAATAATAAAAAGAATAAGCAAGAGATAACTTTAAACAGTTTTCTGTTACTAATATCGTCCTTGTTTTCACGAAGTGAGGAAAATTGTCACGCAAAGTGAATGCAATTTTGTTTCACTACCGTCACTTCGTGAAAACAGCGACGTTATGTAGCTTTGCCTAGTATCTATGATGTAAATAAAATTGTTTAATAAAATCATCAAGTTAAACTGTAACAAGTTAGAATAGTAAATACAACTCTCCTGTAGGACCTACATCAACAATTATCAAAAATGTTATCACAAATTCCAGCTTCCAAAGTTAAGTATAACTTACCCCACAAAAGACAAGTTTTACAGTGCAGTGCAGTGCACCAGATCAAAGATGGTAATGTACACGACAAGCAATCAGCTGACTTTTTGACTATATTTTATTCCTAATGGATGTAGACCGGTAACTAGTTTCGGCACATTTGAATGCAGTGCAATGCAGCAAAGCCAAATGATTTGAAGTCCAAGTTAAAAACTGATGTCCACTTCTCAAATTTTGACGAGTTCATCTGCTTCAGAACAGCAATAAATTGTACATGGCATGCACATAGAGATTAAAGCCCAATAATAACAATAGTTGAACCGAACGAGTTGTATTGTAGTGCTGATTTATAGTATTGAGTGCACACTACCATGGCATCATAATAGCCTGTTCAATGTGCATTCTAATATGGCACCACCACACTATCAGCTGATCATACAACCATCATCATACACACTCACTAGTCTATGTCAAAGTCCTTTCTTTGCCCAACATAACTGAACCACTCATATTTGAATTTATATTAAACTTAAGTCTCATTATGTATTCCAAATATCACAAATCACCTTAAAACTGCAAAATCTTGATTGTCTTTCAGGAAACAAGATAAATAGGAGGAAAATGTCATGTTATAAAAGGCAAACAAGAACTGCAGGGTCTAGGTGTGAGACTAACTCCAAAGCATCAGGACACCATGCCAATATCATGTGATGAGCTGGATTGATTCATTTGACAAACAGGGGTTTGCATAAAGGATTAGTAGAATGATGGCTATATCTGTGTTGCAGTTGATATTTTTGTGATAAGAGAAATATATTATTCAGAGTTTTATTTATTTTCGTCAGGCTTATAAAGTTATGCTATCAATAAATTGAGAACAGTGCGAAAACTTCCAAAGGGTCGAGAAGGCACTACCGGTCTTTTTAGTAGAAAAACAAAGAATAATGATATATTGGAGAGTAGACCGTGAATATATACATGTACATGTATATCACAATCTACCGATCAAATTCCAGTTTGCGATTCAGATGCATGTATGTGTAGAATAAGTGATCTTATATTTAAAACATATATAACTTTCTCCTCACACAAATGAGCTTATTACACGTGTAGGATTGCCCTGAAATAACAGTAGAACTACGCTAATATAACAGTTTTAATAAAGCAAAATAAAATAACAAGAATACTGCTACATGTGCCTCAAGTAAGTCATGTTTTTCATGTACAGTTAATAAATGAAGTATTCATAGTTTTCATACCCCTTATCAATTTTAAGTTTCTTTTTTGTTTTTCGTAGCTCAAGAATCAAAGGTGGGCTGATTAAATTAGGGCCTTTGTTGAATACTTTTAGATGTATGGTATAAGCTTTAATATGTCACATTCTCAAGAAGCATATATTGAGGGAAATCCTTTTTTTTCACATTCTACTCTAGTACTTAAAAAATTACAAAAACTTGGTGGTAAGGTTATGAATAATTTACATGTAGTTGATTACTGTAAGTCATCATAAAATATATATTCAACATACTTTTAATAAATTTTGTTCCTCTGTCGGTTTTCAAAATAAGACATAACAATCATTCTTCAAAAAGGTACATGTAGAATACAAGTTTTATGACCTGCATTTACAGGTAAGCCTTCAGAATTCATGGAAATGTTTCTCTGCTTTATGATTCTGTGAAATTAAACAAGAAACAGACAATCGATGAATCAATCAATCAATGTCAACCACCCCTCTCCCTTCTCTTTAGTCGAGTCCTTGGACACATACAACATACATATGAGAGAATGTTCTTTTCAAAAACATACCTTCCGGAGAGTAGCCTATACACTGTGAAGAGAGCTCTCTCATATCAATAAACTTTACAATCAGTCAAGTATACAGAACACAAAAACGGCTGGTTACATGGTATGTCAAGGAAGTATTACTCTGAAGAATGTTAGATTCTTGGGTTAGAGCCAAATATTAATGCTTTATCATCAGCAACGGATCGATGAACAACTGATATTGTTGATCAATGCTTCCATTGCTAATAGCTTCTGCAATTACACCTTTGAACTTCCGCAATATCTTTGTGTTTTCATCAAAGTTTAAAAGATATCGTATTTAATAGCCGAGTTTGGCTCACAGTATGTTGTCAAACTTTATCCCCATATTAAAGATATGAAGTCAAATATAACCATGTACAAAATTTAAAATTATTTAAAAAATTAAAAACAATAAGATTTAAACATTGTTGTTTGGAGCATGTTCAGGATCTCACTAAATCCAATAATCTTCAGAATTAGTGAGATTTTTACTACGGTCAAAATCACAGTAGTATTGCAGACATTTGTAGTGGTAAGCATCTGAACTGATGTCAAGAGTACTTTCGGGTGCAAATCTGATATTTTGATTAGACATTGTTGGAATCTTTGTAGAGAGACTAGATTACTTTAATGTGCACACTTTTATAAAAACTGAAAAATATATGCAAGTGGCTACATACATAATACACACAAATGCCTTGTGTTGGATATAGAAACGCCTATAATATCAACTGATCAATGGAATTGCAATTTTGTTGTATAGTGCAAAGGTCAAAGAAGTGAATAAGATAAAATATGAAAAATTACCTAGAAACTTCAAACGATGGGAAGTTTACCTCAGTCCACAAAAACATACAACTCACCTTTCCTTTTGACTCCCTCCAAACAATAACAAATGCAGATTGATCAAGAAGCCCAAATGAACAAAATGCTGCTCAGACACACATCAAAGGTGCCACTGAAAAGTCAATAATCAATTCATAACAACCGGACATCTAAGCGCGGGAAAGGGTATTAGACACCTGGGTGCTAAGACGTCAGTGCTGACCCTGGAGAGAAATGGTCCCTACCCATGGACAATGGTCAATAATCTGACCAATGAAGTCAAGCAAAGGACTTACATGGCCTCCTTGACCAGGACCTAGTCTGGACTAAAGAGCAGTCTATCAAATTGACCCACATGTACACAGATCAATACCCTAGGGCCTTGGTATAGGCATATTGATCGATACAAATTCTTTCAATTTGATACTATAGTCTAGCATACGGTAGTCTTGTAATCCTCAGCCTATTTTCCCCACAACTCAGGCATACAATTCAAATATATATATGACATTACATTCCAGCCCAGGTACATTATGAATATCTTTTGGGTCTGACAACTCAAGACTATTCATGTATCTTGTTGCAAGCCTTCACCTTACAGTATATGATGTTATGTAACCATATCACACTAGGTCTGTTACTTAACCCTGAATCCAGTGTTCCTGGATGTCCACGTGATGAGCCAAATATTATCATTTCAGTACCTTCTTTTCCAGGGTAGGATCGAGACTACTGAAAGAAAAACAGCTCTATTCTTTATTTTACTATGAAGAAGAAAACAAATACAAACTCTCATTGACCTTTTGTTGCAATTGGTATTTTAGTCAAGGAATAGGCAACTTCTGATACTGAAAGCCAATCCCCCAGAGTTACACTATTTAGTGCTTGTTTTGAAATGCCAAATGCAGTCTTACCATGTTCCTCAATGGATTTGAACAAACCTGTTATCACTAAAATCATAACAATTTACTATGTGTACATTGTTGTAGACACGATAGCAGTCATACTATTCTGGTGCTTTCCCCTTAACCAGAAAAAAAAGACAAAACATTAATTCCAGTAATCCAGTTCCATTTGATTAATAATAATAAATAACTACAAATGACATCAGTTTGATAGGTTTGAAATACAAGTACAAGTAGACCTGCCTCTACAGACCACTACTTCATTAAAAATGCTTCAAAATGAAAATTCTCCCAAACATCCCTAAGGAATTAAACTGGCAAATAACTGCATAAAATTGTGGAATTTTTAGTTGAACAGGATCTAAGTTTTGTATTAATTCATTTCCTCGTATTCGTGACTTTCATTTCTATAGGAATGCAATTCCCTGAATTATAAAATTACAATTCTGCCTGAGTGCTCATGAACATCGCCTTATAAGTATGTATGAATGCTTAGATTCCTAGTAAATAGTATTGAAAACGCTCCATACCTAAATACCTTTGATATATTCCTTATGGATGTACATGTAGAAATTATGGAATTTTAATGGAACAAAATCTATGTTTTATATTGTATTCATTTTCTCATATATGTCGATTGTGACTTATTTCTCTAGGAATGAAATTATTTGATGTACATACAAATGTACAAACTTCATGTAATTCTTCTTCAGCGAGAATACAATTTTGCCCTACTTCTAGCGAAGAGAGCTATTACTATTGGCATGGATGAATAGCTTCACAGTGAGTAGATTGACAACACAATACACTCATCTTGACATAAAAGACACTCCGTAACTTTGATGGGTTTGTTGTGGAGGTGTGTCAAGAGATTATAGAGTGGGCCCATATTGACTGACCAATCAGAGACCGGCATCTGGCCACAGCCCACACTTCGACCTCGTTTTTAATTTTATCACCAGCTTTACAATGACATGTACACAAAGTCTTTGGGATAGGAGACACACATAAAAGGGGTGTGTGTTTGTGTTTGTGTGTGTATCATGACTGAGTGAATGAATGAACGAACGAGGAACAAGTGGTACTGTTACTACCACCATAACAAGAGCCAATGTTGTGGAAACAGTTAAGGCTATTGATGTTGCATGTGTATTCTCATGATTGTTGATAAATATGGTTTTAAAAGGCATAAAATTCAACATATTGCAGAAGATATGGAGGATAGATATATTATACATACATGTACCTGGCCTACATGTCTGTCAGCAACCAATGTCACATAATATAAAATAAGATGTATTACAGTACATAAAATATTTTGTTGAATGCATATGATACAAATTATGTGGCATGTTCATGATGTACTGGTACATGTATGTCTTCATGTACATTATTAACACAACATTTTCTTTCACTTGTTACACCTGTTTAATGAATGTAAATGTAAGCCCAACAATAAAACTTGAATTACAACAATTTCCCATAATATACAGTGTATATCATATTACACTAAGAGTCCATCTAAGTCTACGTCTATGCTGGTACTCGTCAAAAGCCTTTCCAGCAACTAAACAAGGATATTGTGGTGTGGTGTCTCTCGTAGTGGTCACGATTGATTAGTGCATAGTGCGTATATTATACAAGTTGTGCGAGATATAGATCTACTTCCTTTTTGTAATTGAAATTCATGAGTATTTAAACAAAAAATATTTTAAAACTCTCCTAGTCTTACACATTGTAGCTCGGCATTGACAGATCTTTTTGTTGTACAGACACATGACCACACATCAAACACTCCTGGTGCCGATGC